ATGACTGCTTTCCATCAAGACTAACCACGCAATTTTCACAAAGAAGAACATCGAAAATTGTAAAAATTTGAGGGACAGTCATAGGAAATAATGAAGAGTACATTAATGTCCGGAAAATACCAATTATCATGTAAATGTGTTTTACTTAAATCGGTTTCAAATACGATGCAAGCGTTTGCTATCACCCAAACTCTTCTTTATGCGTGGAGGCGTACAGGAATCTGGATCATTTTGCGCTTCTCTTTGATTTATTCATTCCGATAGGATAAATTGCAGTTTTTTTAAAAATGAGGGAAAGTTCGTCTGTGTGGTGCATGAGAATTCTGTTAAAAGGCACATCAACTACTTGAAAATTCGAGCAATCTGCAAAATAGGATTCCCCGAAAAGAAGCAGAAGTAGATTCTACCGCATTCCTGAAATGTTGACTAATGCATTTTCGAAGTTGAATGGGCTGGTGGTATCGCTAGAATCTGAAGTCCAATTTTTATATTCAACCAGACTCATCGTATATTAGCAAAACACCAGCTAATTGTCATGAGGTCTTTTGCCATTTGTCGTTCCAGGACAGCTAATCGGGTACAATTTCAGCGTCTATTAAAGGAGCTCTATAGTGAATTTAGCAACCTCTCTGAGAATAATATTCACAACGCAACTTCCAGCTGTATTCGACTCATAAGACATGTTGGCAAGGGAAATCCCGTTATCGAATTGAGTTTCTTTAAAATCAGGTGGAAAATCAGGGAAGGCTTGGAAAGGGTTCAGTTGTGCAGAAACATAGCAGCATTTTTCTAGATCTTCTCACAGGAAGTGTTAACAAATTGAAGGATCTCATCCGTTATAGAGCCTAATAAACAAGTCGGCTTACTTAAATATTAAGTTACGAAAATTGGTGTTGCTACTAAACGGAAGCGACTTAAATGGATGTAAACTACAATGTAATGGATGGCATTTGTAGGTCTAATCTTTGTCACTCCGAGATGCACTTCTAGCTCCAACGCTGTAAAATGTATTAAAACCATAGATTAACGACCCAAAAGCATGATTGCGTAATATATTATTAACATTTGAAAAATACCACAAAAGGCTCTCATTGGTCTTTTGCACACAAGGTGATTCTCCTGTTTGCATTAGTTTATGAATAAAACCTTACCAGTCAGATGGTACATATAGAAATGGTGATTTTTGACCAAAGAGCTATTTCTTGGCGGCTTGAACGGAAAAAGTGTGGCTTCTGTCTAGTTCAATTATAGTGGCAAATCATCAAGGGTGTCTGCATTGATTAGTTGGAACGCACTCGACTTAGACATGGGGAATATGGAAATTTACCACATTGAAAGGTATGTGTCATTATGCTGAATTGGTAATCACATATTAGTTGGTTTTCAGGGAAATGGTGGTGCATTCTTAGTTGGCTTAATCACATATTTAATTGAATAACCGCATTCAGAAAAAAGGAAATAATTAACCCATTAGAAAAGCAACTTTTGATTTCGAAAGTCTGCATAAAATTATAAGTCAGCAAGAAAGTTAAGACATTAATTTGTTCGGGATTCAAATCGCCACTATTTCATAATTATCACAAACTAATTTGTGTTTTTATACACATTGGCCAAGCAAATGACCCTTTTCTTTTGTGGAGTGGCTAAGAAGATAAAAAAGAAAGTCAGTTTAGAACCGCCATCCTCAGAGACTAATTCAAATATATCATCTTAATTTCAAGACCGGCAATATTTTTAATTCTTTAGTGAAGAGTTTTATTCTAATAAAGTAGTTTAAAATTTGATGATTTATCAATGAGGTTCATAAAGCTGCAGAAGAAATCAGAAAGTAGCTAGTAACAATACACGAACTGGTTGTTTTTTCTTACTAATGACGCGGTCCAACAAATTTTGGTAACTTTTAGCACAAAAATTTTGATTTGTGGTGCTCAGTAGACATTAAATAAAAGACCTATTGACACTATGGATTGGCTTAACAACTAAAGACATTTTTAGAAGGTTCCGAACACTAGTGAATTTGAAAGTATGCTGGAATCCAGCTGTGATCCATTTGCATACATAACTTTAGGGATACAAACCATGATTTAAACCTGTTTTATAATTAGGCAGAATAACGGACTGTTATTTAATTGCCCTATAGACATTGTATTACACCGAGTGAAACAGTTAGTAGATTAATACAGTCCTTCAGCAGTTGAGTTCTAAATGTAGTTACTATTCTCTCTATTGTGAAGTTGATTTCAATGATTTCCCATGAGCGTTAAAAAATCCGAAAACGAATGCAGAGAATGCATAGATAGATGCAGTGAAGTGCCTTCTGGCAACCCTTTGATTATGTTATGACTACTTTTTCGAAGAGAAAAATAGTGGTTTTTGTTGTATATGGGCTTATAGTTCTTTCAAATAAATATAAAAATTTAGCAGGAAAAGGAATGTTGATAACATTTTTTAATGGGGGACGGGAATTTTATTAGAAAGTATTACAATGCAATGAATTCATTCAGCTGATAATTCCAATCGTATCAATAACTAGGTAAATAGAAATTCACACAGCCGACAATGAAAATAATTACACATATTAGTTATGAAGAGCTTTTATTTTTCCAAACCGTCCTTTGATGCAAGGCAATATCCTGAACTATCACTGACTTTGCAGTCTTCCTTAATCAACGAAAATCCATAGGTCAACTATTATTTGTTCCTACCTGAGTAGATTTGTGCACAGAATGCTCATGCGTAACAAATCTGGATTTTGAAATAAAAGTTTACATTAATCTGCCGTTTTACAAATTTATTAGCTTATAAAGAATTTGCCCTAGCTAAAACTGGCTAAAAAACTAAGGCACAGCAGAAGAGCCTTGACGTTGCGTTGAGTTATTCACATTATAAATAAATTTCAGTTGGAAGCAAATTTAACAACATGTTCGTAAATGGAGGTACAGTTCTTTGTTTAGCATTCTTGGCTTAAGTAAACGTTAATGGCATCAAGAGAGTAAGGTCTCTATACAAAACTGAAACCACGTGCACAATTCTTAATGTCTTACAACTATCATCGAACATTTCTTTTTTTAATTTTAACAAAACATTATTTCCTTACATAAATACGTTTGAACTTTGCTATCGCTTGATTTTACACACAATGGAGCAAATCTGCTTATGCAGTTGTGTTGCATTTATTGGTCTTGTTAGTCTAACTTATTCGTCCTTCAAGTTACATAATTTAGCGTCTAGAGAGCCGCGTATTTTGATGTAGTGAAATGTCTTCTCTTGATTTGAATGACTTTAAACTTAAATACATTTCTCACTACCTTTTTTCATCGCTAAAATTGAAGGAAGAACAATGGACACAATTTTTGAACTCAGAAGAGACCCAGGATATTCTGCTCAAATTCTTCGCAGCCGATCAGGCGAAAAATTTATTCTGCATTTTGGGATCTAATGGCACCCTTTCTGCAAGCAACTCATTTAGTTTTAAGAAAAAAACAAAGATTTGCTTTTTTTTGAAACCTTTGGCGCGTCCTGACTCTAAGGTTAACAGTCAACCTGCGAGTATTGTATGTGGGGATTTTCAAACCGAGATCCTAAATGGGGTTTCTTTGTTTCTTCGAAGAGTACATACCTATTTGTATTAATAGCTGCCTTGTAGCTTTTTTTGCCAATTTTTGTAAGAATTATTCAGGCGCAATGCATAAATTGTGTCTTATCAGAAGACTTGATAAAGCACACCAAAGCCCTTACACGCAAATCAGATTTCATCAATGGAAAAATGGGCGGAATGACTCACTTACCTATTCCGGAAGTGGAAGATCTACTTTGTGATGGGTAGAAACTTCTATTTTTAAATTAACCTTAGGAAGAACTTCTGCTTTTAGTCTGGAAATTATAGTTGTTGAGTGGTCACAAATTCTTCAAAATATATTCCAGCCCCATGTAGCTTCCACGAATGCTTTACAGGTCTCTCAACCACCAGAAACGGAGATTGAGCTGTGGAGACATAGAAACAGGGAGCTTGTTTGCATTCTTGCTCTGCTGACTTCGAGAAAAGCCCAACAAATGCTAGATAAACTCCGAATTTGTGGAAGTAGTTATTTAAAACCCTTGGATCAAATGACAGCCATCGTCCAAAATGGTTCGTAGTATTAATAAAGAATATTATATATGTTTTTAAAGTTTTCTACTTTAAATTAACTTGACCTACTATTTGCAGCTGTCATAGAAGCTCAAGAAATGTGTTCCTTTCTGAAGCCATTTGAAGTTATTTTCAAAAAGCTGGAAAAAGCGGAGTTTCGAAAAATTTCAATATATTTTGCACCACTGTTTCACTTGCTGGCTCTCAGTTGGTCAAAATCACAATATTTTCGTAGTCCGCCTCGACTTGTTGTGCTTCTGCAAAAGATATCCTTTGCGTTGATTATGCAGGTAATCAGAAGTAAAGTATAGAGAAATCACTATAAACTTTTACAGGTAAAACAATTTTTGGATTCTGCACAAATTTTCAAATTTGAGCCGCAAGAAATAATTGAAAAAGTTGACTGCGCATTACAAGTTCTAGAAACATTTGTAAACCAATTTAAGTTATACCGAGCACGGCTTCCAGTATACTTTGAAAAAGCTAACACACAGGTTGTCCCGTGGCAGTTCCCGACGCGGCTTGCCTTTGGGTTGCTTAAGGGAGTTCAAAAGCGCCTTACTAAAATTAAGGTGAGAACTTATTTGAATTTTTAGTCTTAGATTAAATTTTCAAGATATAAACTAATGGATGTTTTTCTGCTTAGTTTCATTCAATTCAGATTTTTCAACCTGAACAAATAGATATCTCTAACAGCCTAGTGCTGTTTTTTAACAGTTAAAATTGGCCAAATATTTGTGCAACCTACAAGATGTACTCACACGAATTAAAAAGTTTAGTTTTGCATTGTGCTTAAGTCACAATATCCATTCAAAATAAATTACTTTCTTTGAAATTATGCATGGAATGATTTAATTTTAATTACGTTCAGGAATTGTTGATCGCAGCAATAGATTTCGGTAACCTCGAGAGAATTGTTATTGGTGGTGTGCTGGGCGCTTCCTTGAGCTCCGAAATAACGAAAATTTTTGAAGACTTTTCTGACACCTTCAAAGTAAGCGGAATACTGTTAGTAGTGATTCATTCAGAATATTCACTTGACAATTTTGTTTTACCTGCACACCTCAATGCTTATATAGGCGTTTGGACAACGTGAATTTGACTTCTTGGATTTGGATTCCAGTGAGTTAGAGCAGGAGTTCAACGCTATTTCATCAAAATTTGCCTACTACAAGCAGCAACTGGTCAACATTTTTTGTCGTGCATTATCTGACTGTCCCACGGCACTACACATTTACAAGGTGCTGCTCCCATTTAAATAATTTTTTCGTTGCCTTTTTTTGAAAAATACATAGCTTGTTTTACCCCTTAGATGTTGACCGTATTTGGGAAGTTGGCTGAGAGGCCGGAAATTGAACCCTCCATAGTCCCCTTCTACCAGCATATGTTGAAGCTGATTGACAAGGAAGTTAAGCAGATTCAGGTCATCATGGAAGGAAACACAATCGACAGTCATTGTGCGTTTTGATTAAGTAAATTTTCCCCATGCTATGTTTGTACAGAATCGTAGTCCTTTGTCTCTGAAAGACCTCAGAAGATGACATTCAAGCGAAAAATATGTTCCTCCAAGCTACCGATTAAACCCATGCTGTTCTTACATCTACAAAAGAAGCCCCCTTTTTATCACTGCAGGAAGTGTGTTCCTAGTTATCATGATTTTCAGCTTGTACGATTCAAAGCACACTGTCCAGTTAAAGACTCTTAGTGTGAGTGGTAATAAATCTATCACAGAGATTTTTTTAAATAGTCTTTTGAAGCTCACAGTATCTTATACTGTCAATTTAATCACTAAACCATGTGGAAAGCTCCATTTTTGTCTCACCTTGAACTAACGAGATCCAAGGAGAAAGTTTTATTTGTCAAAATTAACTGCAGCACTTTGAAAACCTTCAATTAACAGCTGTGCTCTTCATGAACATGGTGACATCAAGTTTTTAATTGGCCGTATCTCACAAGGAATGGTAGAATTGTGTTCAAGTTTTCTAACCTGATTCATTTAGAGAATCCGATGACTGCGTCTTTTAATAATTTCATCAAATAACCGGTACTCTAAAAACACTTTAGAGAGCGTCGATGTGGAGCTTTTCGGTGGAACCCAGAGAGTTGTTACTCCTGGTTAATTAAACATTCTTCATGAATGGTGGCCACTTACACATTTCAATTAATGAATCAGGTTGCCATCGAGACTTGTCAAAACGTGCGCGGGACGTACTATTTCACTCGCCATTAGGTAAAGTGCGTTTATGATATCGACAGGCCGTTCTATCGAAGTCATCATTAAAAACCATTCAGCAAGTTATGACTCTGCATATTTCGTTTCCTTGAAATAAGCAGCCTTTTGTGCCCGTCCCCTTTTTAGATCCCAGTTTCATTATGCTGTTTCAGATGTACACGAGTAAACTAGCGTTGATCTTTGACGTACGACGACTTCAATTAATTTGTAGGGATATTTTGGTAGCAAATTGAATGTCTTTCATATATCCCTTTCCATCTTTTTCAACAAAACTTCCTGAATGCATTGTTTAAATCAGTGTTAGCTTGAAAATTCTGTAATAGCCAGGGATGACATCACTAAATTAAGAAGAGTTAAAATCACTAAGTAACTTTGGTTAAAAGGTGAAAAATCGCCAAAATTAAAAAAAAACATGGATTGTATCCTTGCTTAGTTGCAGGTCCTATGCTACATGCTAAATAAGAACTCATTTTGTATTCCCCTAAATTTAACCAAAATGTGTTCCAGGCTACTTTAGAGTACAATGTGCTGGTACACGAAACGATGTACCTAATATAAAATAACGCTAAATGGTCACTTAGCTCCAACCCTGCTGTTATTTTTAACTACACGCGTTGCGAGAAAAAGCATATTTTGATAGATGCATTCTATGGTTTTCAGGTCAAATCCAGTCGGTAGAAAGTAGAACTATGTCTCCGAAACTCCGCAATGAGACACAACCACAAACAAGTTCCGTAGCAGACCCTGGTGGATGTCTTCCATCACCCCTCATCCACAAGAGCATGCCCCCTGTTGCTGGGCATTTGATGTGGTCCTCCCAAATTCGTCAACGCCTAGAAGCCTCCAAGGCCCTGCTTGATGGCACTAACCACGCGTGAGTTTTGCTACCCTTACAAAATCCATTGCTGGACAGAGCACAGTCAACATATCATACTGGGGTGCGTGTGGGGCTGTTAAGGCAAAATAGTTGACTTCCCCAAACCCGGAAGATATTTATGGCTCATCGTTAGCTCTGGTTGGAATTGCAATCCTTAGTCAAATAGATGTCAGTAAAAAGTAAAAGTAGTTAACACAAATAATATCTTAGTCTGATCGAAAATTCCAGCTTTGTTTTATGAAGTACTTACCTCGTGAGCACTAAATTTTCTTCAGAGAAGTTAATCCTAAATCAAAGGTCGACTTTAAAATTATGAGTAGAGACACCTGATGTGTCTATCATGGGGGCGTTGTGACACATTTTTACTATTAAGGCAAAATATGTTAACTAGAGCAATGCTAATTCGGCGCAGCTAATGACTGCTTTTGAAAAAAAGGGCTTCTGCATGGCATACCTTCGCCTTAAGAGTACTGCACAAGGCTAGAACAACTTTCGAAATTTCTACAAATATCGAGCGTGATATACCTAATTACAACGGTTTGGCAAATAACTAAAGGGAAATTTTTTAAGCCGTTAGATCTGTAGTGGATTAACAACTTCAATGAAGGGTCACATTATGGGTGTCGAGGATTTGGGCTGATATATCAGCAGAACACTCAAAACCTGACTACCCACCTTTTTCAGAATAATGCTGTCAACGAAAGCCTGTCGAATTCGCAAGAAAATAGCTGCCCTCCAAAATAAGCTGATCGAGTAAGTTCAACAAGGCAATGCCTGAAAAATTATGCATTCTTAAATTTGTTTACCTCTTGCATTCATTAAAATATTTATCTAAGCCTTGTCTGATGTGTTTTTTTTAGGCGAGATGAGCTCATTTTTCAACATTGGGCAGAAAATGTTTCAAGGTTTTGCAAAGAAAGAATTAGGCAACCATTGCTTACATACGTTCCGAGTACTAGGTTGTTTGAAGTCAACTTTGACCCCGAGGTATGTCTGTGGCGTTTCTGCTTCATACTGGAAGTTCATGTCATTTAAATAGCACTTTGTTGTGTTTTGGGGGTTACCTCAGCGCAGGCAAAAAACAGTTATTAAAATTAGGTGGCATTATAATAATGTCAGTTAACAGATGCTTCAGTGGTTCATATACCAACGAACATTTTCCGAATGCACTGGCATTGCTGCAGAGGAAAATCCTTCGAGGGACGTTGGAATCACGTATTTTAAGAAATGATGTCTTTGAGCGACTTAAACGATGACCAAATGTCGAGAACGCATGGAGTACTTCAATGTCGAGTATTATCAGTGAGTGAGTGGGACAAAATAAAGGCAACCAGCCTCTGGCAGCCAAGTAGAGAGCTGGTTACCGATATAGGGTCTCATACTTACTAGCCAAAGTGCAATTAATGCTGCAAGCCAGCAAATGCAAGAAGCCAATAATATAGTCCATTTTAAATGCATTATTCAGATAGCCATGGCTTTACGTGAAGTGAAGTACCTTCTGTCACTTGCTGGAACCGTCATCCCGGACGCCGCACTGGATTTATTTGAACAGCGTGAAATGTTTCGCAAGCAAAAACTATGTCTAGATTTAATAGTTACCTGGTACACACATCTCCGAACCAAAGTTTCCAACAGTGAAGCCGCTCTGGTTGCCGTGGAGCTGCAGGAGGTCGAGGGTGCATTGCAAAAGAGTGCCACAAACCTGCTTTGGTCTGACGAGGGTAGGCAACTTCGCACCAGAACGTGCTTGTTTTAACTTTTAATGCAAACCTTAGTTGACTTATCCAACAATCTTTCCCGCAGCATGATCAAATTAACCCTTTCTCTTCAACTTAATTCCGTTGGCTATCATGATCCTTCATAATATTCACCATTGCATTAAAAGAGTATAGGCCAGAAAATTTTATTTGGTAATTACCTTTTTTAAATATCAAAATTATATTTTAGGCTTCCTACACACCCGTTTATTAATGCTGCCAAGGTGGATTTTACGTCTAATACTTTAAAAAATTATCGGCAAACCCCAACTGCTTTAGTGCTCGTCGAGCGCACGTTAAGACTTCAGTGAGAGATTTGGTGGTAGCGGTGGTTAGATATTCACGAGCCGCTTAGCAAGTATGGGTCAGCGGCCAGAACTTGTACAGCACATCTCAAGAGTCATTAGGCATCGGCCCTAACTCACAAAAAAAATATAGTCAAAGTTAATTCAAAATAAGTCAAGGAAATTTACACACAAAGATTAAAGAAAGCGGAAATTTGTTAAATTTTCAAGGAAAACTTTAAATTGCAAAAAAATACCCAAGTGCTCGTGTAGCGTAAACTGTAATCAACTGGAAATACCTACTGATTACCCATTAAGAGAGTTCGATCAGCTTAATCAGACAAAAGAACACGTATTTGGAAAACATGTGTCAAGATGGACCAAAAACGAGCTTTAAGTGGGTCAATAGCGTTGTGAAAACAAAGGAGAAAGTCTTTCTGATATGTGTGTTAATCATATAGATCCGCTTGTCCTTCAGAGTCTGACTTAGCCAGGTCAATACCAAAAAGACATGTTTGGTTTATTGTGATTTGAGACGATCGGGAAAAGGGAAATTGTTGCGTTAGCTATCAAATGCCTAAACTGAATCGGCCCAGCAAAGCAACTCTGACACATTTCCCCCATTTCTTTACTTATTGAAATACCCCTCGTCCAAATCGCCAAAGATTAAAATTTTTTCTTACATGCAATTCAGCTGATACAGAAAAGCAAAGGCAAAGGCTACTAACTACCGGTTAATAAGAATTTTTTGGTGATTTATTGAAAACACTCCTTCCAAACTTATTTCCAGGGGCGTGGGAGCATTCTGAAACAACTCGCAACACACTGAGTGACATTTACCGGCGCGTAGTCAAAGCACAGGAAAATCTTGTTGCTGTTTTGAATCTTATGTCAACATGGACGAGGGTGCCATTGTACGAAAGACGAGATAATAAAGTAGACGCCCTTCTTGAACGGGATGGAAAATTTGAAAAGCGCTGTGTAGAAATCAGGGAAGCTGGCGAATCCATAGTTTCGCTTTTGGAGGTAATATTATTCACGTGTAAACATTCAATCTAATAACTAATTGTGCAGCTTCGGTCAAAATGCGTAATAGTAGATGCGAAGCGTGAAATTCAGTAATCAGGACTCCTTTGTTAATCCCTGCTGACTCATACTTAACATAGCATAAATGCTTCATTTTGCAGAGATGACAATGTTTTAAGACCCTGAATTGAAGATAGTTTTTGATTGGGACAGTAAAATTGCATTTTTTCGTGTAAATTCTGTATTATCGGTGTGTACAGAAGCTGATAGTGTGTCTCTGGGACCTCTGGGGGGTGGGTTGTTTTCTTGTGATTCGCGGCTTGCAACACATTTCTTCTTCCAAAAGTCCTTCAATGAATTCACCTTTCTAGTGTTCCTCTCTTACCAGGAAAACCGTCAACTGTTTAAAGCAGAAGTCGATTCAGGAGTCTGGAAGGATTACTTGAAAAGCGTAGACGACGTTATTGCAGAGTGTTTTGTGAAAACGATTCGGTGCTCTCTTGAGTGGTTACTGGGAGAAACCAATAATGAAAACCCACCGATGTACCCTCTTTTTGAAGTTAAAATGGATTTATTGGTAAGCTCAATCCCTTCTCATAGTGATGATGTGGTTCAGTTCTGCAATATTTCTGATCTTTTAACACCATCTGTCTACGCCATTGTCAACAACTTCATGCATAATGCCAGATTGCGATTTAACAACTTAATGCCTGTGTTTTTCCACCTAGTACTCATATCGCTGCAATTTCTGTGATCAAGCTAATTTTGTTATTTGTTCTTATTATTACTTCCGGTTCAAGGCTTCGGGAATTAATTTCATGCCTGCCCTAGAGCAGGGACCCAGTACCACTTTCTACGACGTCTGCAATGCCATTCTGGAAGACATTTACAAGCAATCTGCTCAGATACGTAGAATTTGTGGACAGAATGGAGACGAGTCAACGTACGAGGTACGCATGCCTATTATGCACTTTTGTAATGATTACTGCCTGGGCACGTTTTCTGAGCCCTTCACATAAGTAGTACTCAAAAACATACCTGATCTACTGAAACAGCTATGTTAATACCTTTAGTTTGTAAAATGTATGAAAGCCTCGTGTTCTTCCTCAAATCTCTGTGCAGGGTATCAAGAAAAAGCGGTGGCCCAAGCCAGAACAACATTCTAAATATTCAAACAAGTCAAATTAAGTTGGATTTAAGTCAAACAAGCATTCGAGAGAAGGCGAAGTTAGAAAATCAATTTATTGATGACTTCGGTGGCAACTTTGTTTTACCATGACGGAATGGTTTTCATTTCTCAATTATGATAAATATTTTCGTGGTCTTATTATCGTTATTAGCGATGTGAGCGATACGACTCTACCTGGCTTTATTTATCCTAAAGGATCTCATGAAACAGAACAATGAAATAGAAGAGATGCGACAAACGTTCATAGAAAGGGTTGAATCTGCTGTTCAAGGAGCTCTAGAATATCAAGATGGTCTCGGTCGATTTGCCTATCTGTGGACAGAAAATAAAGAGGAAGCTTTAGAAAACTTCCTGAAACAAGAGGACAACGCCACGGATGATCAGGGTTTAAATCCTTCTCTTGATCGGTTCAAAGAAAAAATAGAGGAATATGAAGCCTCGTACTCTGAGGTAAGTTAGCTGATCCTTTGTGGTACCGCAGTTGGCACGCGTCTACCCTTACAGATTGGCGAATGCGGTTGTAATCTTGTAAAAACGACATTGCACTGGAAACCAGAGTGTGCAGGGACATGCTTGGGTAGTGGATGATGTAATCAAGAAAATGAAACAAGGGGGGAGCGATAACATGCCGATTGTTGAGTGTTTTGGGAGGTGAAGAAACGCATGAATCTGCATTGGTGTGACAGTGACTGGGAGTGTGTTCATTATACATCAAAATGGTTTGCAAACAGGACCCACGAGCAAGGTGGAATGGTGTTACGTGCCGCCAAATGCAATCCCACCCCAAAATCCAGGTGTGGATACTCTTAACAACAACATGGGCATGAAAAGTACTGTGCGGGTATCAGTTGACCTCTTTCCAACAATCTTGTCTACAACCGTGGTAAGTAATATAGAGCCTTTTAGTAACTTCTTGTACCTGGGTGGACACTAGGACGCCGGAGTGTGTTGTAGAGAAAAGCTCAAGCTGCAGAATGCATTTTATAAAAAAAACTCAAATGGACCAAATATGCTAACACGAACTGTTTTAGAAAATTCTAATCCCGATTTGCTGATGCATCGTGGGGCCATGCACATGGGTTGCGAGAAAAAGAGGAAACAGCTCATAAAACTACTTTAAAGATGGTTAAAGAAATTGACGGGTTGTTTTGACAAAACAGGCAGTGAATAAATCATTACTTGAAATCATTTTCTGACATCAATCTGCTCCAAATTATTCGCCGATGCTTGTTAGGTGTAGTTCGCAACGCCTTTTCTAGCTGACCATTTATACCTCTCCATAATGCCCAGATTTTACCTCTCCATCTCTTTATTTTTATCAAACCTAAAAGGTCAACCTAAAAGAAATGCTTAAATGGACCGTTGACTAGCCAAGAGTATATTTTCACTGGATCAACTATTGCCGAGCACTTATCATTGAGCAGGTCTGTTGATAAAGGCCCAGCTTCTTTAAGCGCAATTACATTCCCGTCCCGAGTGATACACATCGAATAAATTTACAATCCTGCCTGGTTGGCTGAATACTTAAAAGGGTCCAATGTCAGTCCGGTAATCTGTGTTTGTCCCTTGTTTGTAAAGTATATATCGATAAGTAGATTTTGATCTCTTCAACATATGTGAAATCGATAATTTACATTTTCAAGTTTTTCCGCTTGTGTCTTTAGGTCAGTGAGATAGAGGAAACGATCCTCGTAGATTCTTGGTTCAAAATTGATGTAAAACCATTCAAGCATGGTCTGCTTAACTGCATCAAGCGATGGAGCTTTATGTTTAAGAAGTACCTGATGGACTTTGTAACCAACAGTCTCAGCAATTTGGACGACTTCATAAAGGTAAATTATGTCGCATTCCCACCCTTAGTCGCACAAAAAGTCAATGGTCTAGTTGAGTTGTATGCGCTTTACCTTCCTTTGTCATGTTTTGATGCATTTTTGTTGCCAACATTCATATCAAGAAGAGTCAGTTAATTAGGTGGTGCTAAATACACTTACGAAAGCCTTGCGTTTCCACCTTGGTTGATTAATCTGACGTCACACCAACGTTGGCCGACTATTGACTTGACAGTCGGGAGTATTATCCACACCCCCACCAGTAAATCGGGCTGAAATGATATAAAGGGACCAGCATGGCTGCCAGCACGATTAAGAGGACTGTGGATGGGCTTTTCACCATATTCACGTCTGCCGATCGATGCATCGTCTGTACGCAGGGTACAAAAATGAGCACAATAATTTGGCCAAAAGCTTAGGCTGAAGAGACCTTCCCAAGTCTTGATTTGGCGCGATGTGTACCCCATGCAAAAATACCGTATTCAAAAGGGTTTTTTTATTTTGCTGCTTTCGTAAAGACATCGAACAAGGCTTTGGAGGAGGACCCAGCACCAGGTGACTACGATCGACTAGTTGGAACCATGAGTTGCCTCGGCGCTGTAAAGGCCCGACAGTCAGCTACCGACGAGCTATTTGAGCCGCTGAAACAAACTGCAGACCTTCTGAGGTCCTACGGTCAGGAGGTGTCACAGGAAATTCAGCTCTTAATTGAGGTACCTAACCGACCATAGGCTTAACTTCATGTCTCATTAGGCATGAACTTTCTTCTAAATTAAGAATCAGCACCAGGTAATCGAAACATTGAAGCAACTTGATTCTTCAGTAGTACATAACACCTTTTCTCATTTGCATTGCCATAGAAATTGTCATGGCCTAAGCAAGCATTCCAGCTAGCTGTGGCGCTATACGTTTAATAGTCGTATTTGTCGGACCCCTTGGTGCTCAATCTCTGAGTCAGTTGGATGTGACGGGTAACGTGTATTCATGATAAGTCTGTTTTTCAACCAAGTAGCATACAGCACGTTACCTCGTGATTTCATTCAGCTTATACTTAGGCCCCTCTCATGACTTCACTTCAGCCAATACATCTTCCATTTTAGGAACTCCCAAGAAAATGGGGCAATTTGAAAAAAAGGGTTTTGATTTTGAAGCAGGTGGTCGCCCCATTACAATCAGAAGAAGCCACAAAAGTTCGCAGGCGGGGGGCCACGTTCGAGGTCGAGCTGCAAAAATTCCGAGAGGAATTCCTCAAAATCGCTCCATTCCAATATGAGTGCGAGGAGCCATATGGTGTGCTGGACGAGGTGGGTTTTAAATTTTTTGTTTGTTCCAGACCTAATATCTGTGTAGTCACTTAATTACCTATGCTTGTGGAAAGCTTAGGAACTGGCAGAATCACTTGCGACATAATCTGTGAGCAGTTTTAGGTAATGATAGAGGCAGCAGACAACATATATTAGTTTTTGCAAATCCCCTGGTTTTTTCAAGTAACCTAACGGCATACCACTGATTTTCCATCACAATTTTTGTTAATGTTTGAGTAAAACTATTTGTGTGCGCAGTAACAAAAACATCTGACAGTGTTGTACCGAAGCTAAAGCAGCTTTCGCTGCTCTAAATTTAAAGCTATATCACATACTTTATTCTACCAACCTGCGTAAATAGATGATCCCCCCTCTGTCTCTACCATGAGCCAAAACTATGATCACCCTGCTATCCTGAGTAAAGTTAAACCACTTGCATGTTGTCAGTAAGTTCAGTACGAAAGAAAAAATAATGTCTGGAGTTCATTCATTCATTCACGCGGTCCTGTGCCACTTTGACCGTCGAATTTAAGCCAAGATAAGCTGTCGAAATTTTTGCTTGTAAATTGAACTAATTTTATTCACACCCATGGCCAGATAAATTGAAATCGATTTGTGATCATTGTCAACATGAATTCGTCCACGAAATTGACCTTGCAACGATTGACCGGAAGCGTGCCTACTGAGTAGTAAAGATTATTTAAATTAGGCGACTGAACATGCAGAATGAGAATATCATTTTAATAAACGTAGCTTCTAATCCTAGCCACCCTGATTACGAATTATGTCTTTACTTGAAATTTCCCATTACTTATAAACAAGTATCACATTTCTTTAAGGTGCTTGGCTTTAATGTGTGAAGTCATGGACAAAATAGCAGCAGTATTTCATAAAATAATTACCACTAATACATTTCGTGCTCACATGCCAGATGATTTGAATTGATCCCTAATATTTGGGCCTATATAACATCTTGTTTCAATTTGATCCCAAGCTGCTGATGTCGACTTAGGCGTCTCGCAGTGGAGTAACCGAATGCGTGGGATAACAATTAACCATTGTAGTTGATCGTGAACGCCTCAAGCAGGTTGCGTTGGCAGCACCCTCCAATCTCTAAGAAACAATGAGCCCTTTACTTTAGTTGCAATTGTGTAGCTATGCCAGTGGCCCTTACTCTGCATTCCTGAAAGCTCACTTAATGTAGATTGCGATTGATGACTTGGAGGTTTAACCTAATATTTTTGCGCTTGTATAAATGTGTCATGTGTAGGGGTGGAGAATATTAATGAAGGGCTTGCCATGGTGATTTCCACAACATGCGAACAAAGTGTGCACGATGACCTGGATGATGTGGGCATGTCATCATTTTGGCTAGTAGACCGGGTTCAAAGGCCTGTTCAATAATTAGGTATACAAAGTGTCAAATATCATTGAGATGTCGTACGTACTAGTTAACATCCAGGATTTGGTCCACGTTTGATACCGACCAGGCACCATTTACTTGTGAAAGATAACACTGTCCACACTACCTCTGGTGCCGTGTAGATGATTCTTAAAAAAGTTTAATAAATTACCTTAAATTATAGGCCGAAGAACAAAATACCTTCAATTGTTTGATTTTTAATTAAAAAAATTATTCAGACAAAGTCGCCTAGTTTCATTTGGCTCGCATTCAGCAACGAAACTCGCTAAAGTCTTAATTTCTAAGATTTTATTTTTACTTTAAGGAAAATACACGCATTGCTCGGATGGATCTCGAATTGGCGGGGATCAAGCGTCAAGCTCAGTTATTTGAAGTGGCTCTACCTGACTATCGCTTCCTCGACAACTGTCGACGAGAGCTCCGCCTCCTTAAGGTCGTTTGGGACTGGGTCTTTTTCATCCGCTCCACCATCTCGGCTTGGCACGACACTCCCTGGCGTCTCGTTAACGTCGACGAGATGGACTTCACACTTAAGCTGTTTTCTTCAAAGGCGCTACGTCGCCTAGACAAGGAGGTCCGAGCTTGGCCAGTGTTCCTCGGCATTGAAGCCGAAGTCCGTAACATGATGACGTCATTACGAGCTGTAAGTGAACTTCAGAACCCTGCAATTAGGGGACGCCATTGGTCTCAGCTAATGGCAGCTACCAAGGTTCGCTTCGTCATGGACGAAAACACTGTACTTGGTGACCTCATTAACCTGAATCTTCACAACTTCGAGGACGAAGTCCACAACCTAGTCGACAAGGCTGTCAAGGAAGCTTCAATGGAAAAAGTGATGAAGGAGCTTGATCAGACTTGGGGTCAAATGTGTTTTGATGTGGAAACTCACTCGAGACGAGGTATAAAATTATTTAAAGTTAGCCAAGATAAGATGGAGGTGCTAGAGGAAAACCAGATGCAGCTGCAAAATATGATTACCTCAAAATACATTGAGTTCTTCCGTGAAGAGATCATGGCCTGGCAAGTAAAACTTAGAACCGCTGACCACATAATTGGCCTTTGGTCAGAAGTTCAGCGAACATGGGCTTACCTCGAGGCGATCTTCATTGATTCGGAAGATATCCGCGAGCAGCTGCCAACAGATTCCAAGAGATTTGACCAGGTCGACGCCGACTTTCTGGGTGTTGCCACAGATTTTGAGACAAGGGGAACAAATATTATAGAAACTACTCATTTACCGGGGCTCTCTGAACGTCTCGATGCGATTAAGCAGCAATTATCTCTCTGTGAAAAAGCCCTCTCGAATTACCTCGAGACGAAACGGCTTGCCTTCCCACGTTTCTACTTCATTTCGCCCACCGATCTTCTCGACATTTTAGCCAATGGAAACGAACCTCCCAAGATCATGCGCCACCTATCAAAACTTTTTGACAGTATTTGTGATCTGGAAATAAAACAGGGCACAAAGACTGCAACATCCATGAAATCAAAAGATGGTGAAGTAGTGCAAATCTCTAAAGCCTGCAATCTGGACGGTAAAGTTGAAGTCTGGCTCAATCGGTTGCTGGATGAGATGCGAGCTACACTTTTGCATTACCTCCACCAGTGTGTTTCTAACCTTGAAGAGAAACCACGGGATCAGTGGCTTTTCGATTATCCCGCCCAGGTGTCGCTAGCTGGTTCCCAGATAGGATGGGCCGCAGAAGTTACCATCAACTTTGTCCAACTCGAAGAAGGCTTCGAAAATGCTTTAAAATTCTTCAATAAGAAGCAAATAGCTCAGCTTAATGCTCTCATAAATCTACTGATCGGAGAACTAAGTCCCCAGGATCGTCAGAAGGTGATGACTATTTGCACAATTGACGTACATAACAGAGATGTAGTCTCGCGGTTAATTTCACAGAAGATCGTCGACAGGAATGCCTTCGCCTGGTTAAGTCAACTGCGACATCGTTGGGACGAAAGTGCGGGGGATTGCTTTGCCAACATTTGCGACGCCCAGTTCCAGTATGCTCACGAGTACTTGGGGAACACTCCTCGACTGGTTATCACACCACTAACAGACAGGTGTTACGTTACTCTGACGCAGTCCCTTCACCTCATAATGTCTGCTGCCCCGGCAGGGCCAGCGGGGACTGGTAAGTCGCTCTTAGTCACATTCTCTTATCATGGCCTTCAGGGCTACTCACAGCTCGCCTTTATTTCTGCAGAATAAAGGGTCCGCTAATTTAAAATCATAAACGTATGCTGTGTTGTGAGGTCATCCGTAGAACCCCTCCATTGGTATTTCGCCATCACTCTTCGCTTTTTATCTTTATCCTTGAGTGGGCACAAGTATATTTGTTCGCTAAAGCCACACAAGGCTAACGCTAACTCGTAAGATGCCAATTACGCACGGCCCCTTCCATTGTTGGGCAATTTTGAGACAAAAACCTCTCTAACGAGTGCATGACGATTTCTGCCATCAATAAAACACCAACTTATTGATGGCCAAGTGATTTACATTGGTGTTTATATTTACCTATCAACGTTTCGGTAGTTCAGGACATGAGGTCGGTACGGACCTAAAGTTTAGCAATGCATAGACTCATGTGCGTGTGTAAAAATCTTTTTTAGGTAAAACCGAAACAACTAAGGACCTTGGTCGGGCTTTGGGTGTAATGGTCTACGTATTCAACTGCTCTGAGCAAATGGACTATAAGTCGGTGGGAAACATCTACAAAGGTCTCGCCCAGTCGGGCTCTTGGGGTTGTTTCGACGAATTTAACCGCATTTCTGTCGACGTTCTTTCAGTCGTTGCTGTCCAGGTTAAGTGCATCCAAGACGCCATTAAAGATGGATGTGCTCGATTCAACTTTCTTGGTGAGGAGATCAGTCTGAATCCAGCAGTCGGCATATTCATCACCATGAATCCTGGCTACGCAGGTCGTGCGGAACTTCCAGAAAATTTAAAAGCACTCTTTCGACCCTGTGCCATGGTAGTTCCCGATTTTGAACTCATCTGTGAAATCATGTTGATTGCTGAAGGCTTCACCGAGGCGCGAATTCTCGCACGCAAATTCATAACTCTCTATGGATTGACAAAGGAGCTTCTTTCAAAACAGGATCACTACGACTGGGGACTCAGAGCCATCAAGTCTGTCCTGGTAGTTGCCGGTTCTCTTAAAAGAGGTGATCCAACTCGTCCAGAGAAGGAAGTCTTGATGAGAGCCCTTCGCGACTTTAATACACCCAAAATAGCATCAGATGACCTCCCCATATTCATGGGTCTAATTGCAGACCTGTTTCCCGCAATGGATGTGCCTCGTAAAAGAGATGTCGCCTTTGAAGAAGAGGTACGAAAAGCAGCTGTTGATCTGAAGCTGCAGCCTGAAGAAAACTTTATAATAAAAACGGTTCAACTGGAAGAGTTATTTGCTGTCAGGCACTCCGTCTTTATTTTGGGCAACGCTGGCACTGGAAAATCAATGATTTGGAAAGCTCTCTTCCGGACAAATCAAAATTTGAAAAAGAAACCCGTTGCTGTTGATTTGGACCCGAAGGCTGTTACAAACGATGAGCTGTTTGGAGTGATAAGTCCTTCGACAAGAGAGTGGAAAGACGGTCTTTTTTCTGTGGTGATGCGAGAATTAGCTAGGATGACTCATGAAGGGCCAAAGTGGATAGTTTTAGATGGAGACATTGATCCAATGTGGATTGAGTCATTAAACACCGTAATGGATGACAACAAGGTGCTGACGCTAGCAAGCAATGAGAGGATTCCGTTGACACCCAGTATGCGTCTCCTGTTTGAAATAAGTCATCTGAGGACAGCAACCCCAGCGACAGTTTCGCGGGCTGGTATTCTCTATGTGAACCCTCAGGTTAGCAACCTATATTTACATATTTTGTCCATATTAAGATTATTCAAATGCAAATAACCCAGTAACGTGGGATAAGTCGAAATTTCCCCAAGGTTTTGGTGTTCAGGTGTTGTGAGAATCGAAATTTTAAAAGGAACACCAGCCACCACGAGCTCCTAATAGCCTCAAATGCAACAGCCACTTCGTCTCCTGGGGGCATTTAATTAGAGTGGATAGCACCCTCTAGGGCTCTTTGTATCCGCTTGAAAACTAAATACTTTGGCATGTATAATATGACAACAATCGGGTTAAAGCAAATTCCCTTTCTTACTGGTCTACAGATAAGCCGGTTTGTTACCCTGAGATCTCAATCAAGGGGTGTGTGACTTGGCAGGCGTCAAATGTTTGGTAATGTGTCAATGTAAACTATTTACCTGAGGTAACTCATTGCGACTCTTCGTCAATTCAGGTACTGTCTAAGTGTGTTTTATCTACAAAACTGAATCGATAGTTAGAATACCTGCTAAGGGCTGATAAAATACTAGAATTTAAATCTAGAATTTTGCAGGAAATACCGAATTGAAGTTGATTCATGATTTTGTTTTAATCACTGACATGAAACGTTTTATCCAGACGCACGTGGGCAAAGGCCCAATGTATAAAGTTCCAGGATCATTTTAGAAATCAAGATTTGTTGTGATACGCCAAAACCAGCCTTAATCGGCGACTAAAAACAATCTTCCCTTCAAAATAGTGTTTAAACTAAAGAAATTTCAGCCGTGATGCAGTGCGTAAAGCAAGCATGAACATTGTTCTAATTGTGGAGGCATTTTTGAATAAAACGAGTGGTTTCCCCTAGCTCAAGTTAATAATTCTCGGTTTAAAATGGCACGGATGCATTAAGAGAACTCGGTTTTTTTGTATGCCTTGGTTACGGCGGTTGATATAGCTAGACTCGAACAAAACGCTTTCACATTCCCAGTCCTGTGGTTAAACCACAGTAAGGACCATCTCACGTTTTCGATAGCTTTTTCAGACTGATTTGGAAAGTGAGTCTGTATTTGCGGTGCATTTAATTTTGGACGTGCCTTTTACCTATTTGGTCATCATTATTGGCTACGAGTCAGCCCCTTTCCTCGTAAAACCTGGAGAAAGATGAACAAATGCTTATAATAATTTCCAATCACCTTTGAAAGTACTTCCCTTTAGGACCTTGGCTGGGCGCCCTATGTTTACTCGTGGTTAGCAGCTCGGAACAACCGTTCAGAACAGGCCAACCTTGGAATCCTCTTCGAGAACTACGTGCCCGTTTGCTTGGAATCTCTCCGCACGCGCTTCAAAACTGCCGTTCCATTGGTTGAGCTCGGTCACGTTCAAATGCTTTGCCACCTTCTTGAGGTTCACTTAACTCCCACAAATATCCCGTCTGACGCCCCTAAGGAGACTTACGAAGTCTACTTTGTCTTCTGTGCCATCTGGGCGTTCGGTGGTGCTCTCGGCCATGACCAGGTGGTTGATCACAGGGTCGAGTTCTCCAAATGGTGGGTGGAGGAATTTAAGAACATCAAGTTTCCTACGACTTCAGGCTCCACCGTATTCGACTACTATATCGACACGGTGACAAAAAAATTTGAACCATGGAGCAAGAAAGTTGGGCAATTTGTTCTTGACTCTGAGGAGCCTCTTCAGGTACATCCTTAGTTTCATGAATAGTCTTCATTATGTCATATCGTGTTGCAAGATCAGGGACCTTTATCACATTTTTGCATCTCCCAGAGGGGTATCTAATCACTTGGTGATACTCAGATTGCCAGTTAGACGAGAAAGCAACAGTTTTTAACCATGTTTTGCCCCTTCATCAAATAAAAACTCCACACAAGTTTTAGGCATTAAAACTTCCCTAGAGGGTCTCAAGGCCCGTACTTAAAGCTTTTACCAACTACCGTCACTAAAAGTAATACGCCTACGCTTCTCATACACTAAAATAATGAAGATGAAGTCGGGAGTGCCTTCAAATGTGTCACCTGTTTTGGTTTCATGATTGTTTTCTTGATTAAGGTTTGATTTTTATGATGCCGTAACGGCTGATTTGTAATGAGCCTCACGTTAACTGATCCAAGAAAGCACATCATGCTTACCTGTTCTAGTTTTAACACTTTTCGTTTGCTAGACCGCCCTCGTGTCGACCGCAGAGACGACCCGCATTCGCTACTTCCTTGAGCTTCTGATTACGGCGCGTCGGCCTGTCATGTTGGTCGGAAGTGCTGGGACCGGCAAGACTGTCCTCGTTCAAGACCTGCTTCGCGACCTCGGTGAGGACACCCTCGTGGTCAACATTCCGATGAACTTTTACACGACGAGTGAAATGCTTCAGCGAGTTCTTGAAAAACCCCTAGAAAAAAAAACTGGTCGGTGCTACGGGCCACCAGGGAACAAGCACCTGGTGTACTTCGTTGATGACTTAAACATGCCCGAGGTGGATACTTACTTCACTGTGCAGCCTCACACGTTGATAAGGCAGCACATTGATCACTCCCATTGGTACGATCGGACAAAACTTACTTTGAGGGAAATCACCAATGCTCAGTATGTGGCCTGCATGAACCCCACAGCAGGCAGCCTCACAATTGACTCACGGCTACAGGTACTGTTCCTAAATCCTTACAGTAAAATATCAAAGTTATTTGAAATACAAGTATACTTTCAGTTACCCAGGGTAATCCAATACCTTATGACGACCTATGCCATTTTGATACCCCTGAAAGCCCACTTGCCCAGCACTGTTTCTCTTGCATTCCAGCGCCACTTTGCAATATTCAACCTCAGCTTTCCGGGGCGGGATGCCGTCCATTCCATTTATTACTCCATTCTGTCTCAGCATCTTGAACAGCCTGCGGCTGGTTTCCCACAGGTAATTCAACGAATGGCCTCGAGTCTCACTGACTTGGCAATTGACTTTCATTCAAGAGTGACAGCTACCTTCTTGCCAACTGCAATAAAGTTCCACTATGCATTCAATCTGCGGGACCTTACAAATGTGTTTCAGGTATGTATAACGTTGCTTCAAAACGCAATTGTGTACTTAATTGGCTTATAGAACCCTGAAATTCACATCAATTTTGAGGGTAGGATGAGTTTATTCCGTTATCAGAGGTAATCGCACATTGTAATTGAAATAAAGTCGGGGACCAAAGTGCCACGGCAGTTCCAAAGCAGCTAGATGGGATTATGGCTTGGGGTTAAACAAATACGCACATACACCGTAAAAGCTAAAAAATGGTTGTGTCTACCTTGCCATTTCGTCTTTGCACTACCTTTTTGGTATTAGACACTACCAAGAGTTATTGAAGAGTATGGCTGTAAAGAAGTCTTCCTATTCAACGTCTCTGACACAGTACTTCTATTCCCGCCTTTATAAACTTATGAATTTTAGATAAAGCTGTTTTAAGAGCATATAAAAGGGAAGTCGATTCGCAAAAATGTCACTATAGCACAATGACCTGGTTATATTTATGCGTTTCGTTACAAAGGCTAACGAATCATGTCGCCTTGTTACTTTTATTTTACTAGTGCGTCTTTATTGAACTCAGTTCTGTCGCATTTAGGGTCTTTTATTCTCAAGAGATGAGTGCCTCAAAGCCCCCCTTGACCTTGTTCGTCTTTGGATCCACGAAACAGAACGGGTCTACTCGGACAAAATGATTGACACAGCCGATCAAACTTCGTTCAAAAAGCTTCTTCGTGATTTCGTCGTGAAGCACTTCACAGAGTTAGACGTCGATGAGGAAAAGATATTCGCCAAACCCCTCCTTTACTGCCATTTCACTCAGGGTTTTGGTGACCCTCGATACCTTCAAGTAGACTCTACTGCTAACCTCGCAAAACTGCTCAACGACGCGCTGGAGAATTACAATGAGTTGAACGCCACGATGAATCTCGTTCTCTTCGAGGATGCAGTTGAGCACATTTTGCGGATCGATCGCATTCTTGAGTCACCACGAGGCAACGCCCTCTTGGTTGGGATTGGTGGTTCAGGAAAGCAATCTCTGTCACGTCTCGCAGCCTTTATCAGTTCACTTGAGGTGTTTCAGATTGTGGCGAGAAAGGGTTATTCAATCACTGACATGAAGTCTGACCTAGCCGTGCTGTTCCGAAAGGCTGGGCTAAAAAACGTAGGAACGGTATTTCTACTTACTGATGCACAAATTTTAGACGAAAAGTTCCTCGTGATTATTAATGACTTACTCGCCTCAGGCGAGATCCCTGATCTTTTTGCAGACGACGAGGTTGAGGAAATTATCTCTGCCGTTAGGTCGGAAACGAAGTCTGCTGGTTTACTCGATACGAGAGAAAATTGTTGGCAGTTTTTCATTAACAAAGTCAGGCGCACACTAAAAGTGGTCCTCTGCTTCTCTCCAGTTGGTCCGAAACTCCGAGCTCGTTCCAGACGCTTTCCAGCGCTTATCAACTGCACAAGCATTGACTGGTTTCATGAGTGGCCAGAGGAAGCTTTGCTTTCGGTGTCGAAGAGATTTGTTTCTGAAATTGAGCTCCTTGGTCCCGAGTTGCATACCCCAATTTCCACATTCATGTCGTACGTTCATAAATCTGTTAACGAAATGAGCGAGAAATACCTACTGTATGAGAAGCGTTACAACTACACAACCCCCAAGTCCTTCCTGGAACAGATTCACCTGTATAAGAACATGCTAAATAAGCGTGCGAAAGCAATACAGGAAAAAGTATCACGCCTGGAGAATGGATTGCAGAAATTAGGAAGCACCTCGAAGCAGGTCGACGAATTGAAAGCAAAATTGGCTACCCAGGAGATTGAAATTAAGCAAAAAAATGAAGATGCCAATCGGTTGTTGGGTATCGTCCGTGAGGAGACCGACGTAGTAATGTCTGAAAAGACAGTAGCAGACGGAGAAGAACAAAAAGTCGCAAAAATCAAAGCGGAAGTTTCAGCAAAGCAACACGAATGTGAAAAAGACTTGGCCAAAGCAGAACCCGCTCTTGTGGCCGCGCAGGAGGCCTTAAACACGTTGAATAAAAATAATCTGACGGAAATGAAGTCCTTCGGGACGCCTCCACCGGCCGTGGTCAAGGTTGTCGCCGCTGTTGCTTGCCTCTTGGCTCCCAACGGACGAGTTCCCAAAGATCGCAGCTGGAAAGCTGTAAAGACTGGAATGATGGGGAAGATAGATCAATTTCTCGATAATCTAATTAACTATGACAAAGAAAATATGCACGAGAACTCACTAAAGGCCGTAAGCGAATACCTGAAGGACTCTGAATTTGACCCGAATTCAGTTCGAACCAAGTCACTTGCGGCTGCGGGACTGTGCTCCTGGGTTATCAACATAGTTAAGTTCCATGAAGTTTTTTGTGTCGTCAAACCAAAAAGAGATGCCTTAGATGCCGCCAATAAAGAACTTCAAGAGGCAACCGTAGCACTCGAGGGCATTCGGGAGAAGGTCTCGCGTTTAGAAGCCAAATTGGCAGAACTGACTGCCAACTATGAACGTGCCTCGGCCGAGAAGCAAAAGTGCCAGGATGAAGCCGATAACACAATTAAAACTATTGACCTGGCTAACCGTCTTGTCGGAGGATTAGCTTCAGAACAACTGAGGTGGTCCCGACAGATTGAAGAACACAAGCAACAGGAGTCATGTCTCCATGGTGATGTTCTCATTACGGCAGCTTTCCTTTCTTATCTTGGATACTTTACAAAAAAGTATAGAAATGATTTACTGGACAAATTGTGGATGCCCTACCTCCAATCGCTGCAACCTGCTGTCCCCATGACCCCCGAGCTTGATCCTCTTTCTTTGCTAGTTGATGATGCAGTGGTGGCAAGTTGGAATAATGAAGGGTTACCCAATGACCGATTTTCGGTGGAAAATGCTGCTATTCTCACTGCTGCCGAGCGTTGGCCCCTCCTTGTTGATCCCCAGTTGCAGGCTGTTAAGTGGATCAAAACCCGTTATGGTTGTGACCTTAAAGTTATTCAACTGGGTCAGAGGGGCTACCTGGAGGATATTGAACATGCAGTTTCCGAGGGGGGAGTTGTGCTTCTGGAAAATATTGACCTGAGCATCGACCCCGTCCTCGAGCCCCTGATCGGCCGAAATACCATCAAAATGGGAAGCGTTATTCGATTAGGGGGGAAAGAGATTGATTACAACTCAAAGTTTCGATTAATTATACAAACTAAGTTGGGTAACCCACATTACGCACCAGAATTGCAAGCACAGGTAACGCTGGTAAATTTCACTGTTACTCGTGACGGATTGGAGGACCAACTTTTAGCAAATGTTGTCCGAAAGGAGAGGCCAGACTTGGAGGGGCTGAGGGCAGATTTGATCCGACAGCAGAACGACTTCAAGATCACACTAAAAGATCTCGAAGACTCGCTGCTTGCACGACTTTCAGAAGCGGAAGGCAATTTCGTGGGAAACTATGCCCTTGTCGAGAATTTAGAGACCAATAAAAGGACTGCATCGGAGATCGAAGGTAAAGTGGAGCAAGCCAAAGCAACAGAAGTGGAAATCAACGCGGCTCGTGAAATTTATCGACCTGCTTGCGAGCGTGCTGCAATGCTCTACTTCATCATGAGTGACTTAAACAAGATAAACCCAATCTATCAGTTTTCTCTCAAGTCTTTCAGCTTCGTTTTCGATTCGGCCATGACCAAATCAGGTCCTTCAGATGAGGTGGAGACGCGGGTGGCTAATATAATCGATTCGATTACTTATTGTGTGTATGTATACACATCCAGGGGTCTGTTTGAAAAAGACAAGTTACTCTTTACTACCCAAGTTGCCTTTCAGATCTGTCAAGCGCGAGGTGAGGTCAATCCTGTGGAATTAGACTACTTGCTGCGGTCGCCTGTCGACCCGAATGTAACAAGTCCTGTTGATTTCATCACAGACATTGGCTGGGGAGCAGTTAAGGCACTCTCCACCTTGGACGCTTTCAGTAACCTCGATTCAGACATTGAGGGGTCTGCAAAGCGCTGGAAAAAGTTGGTTGAAAGTGAAACTCCAGAAAAGGAACGACTGCCACAAGAGTGGAAGAACAAAACACACCTGCAGCGCTTGTGCATTCTTCGAGCTCTTCGTCCTGATCGCACTCTTTATGCTATTCGCAACTTCGTTGCTGTTAACCTTGGCAAAGTTTATACTGACAGCATTAGTCTCCCATTTGCAGAATCTTTTAAAGAGTCTGGACCAGAAACACCAATTTTCTTTATCTTATCACCTGGTGTTGATCCACTGAAAGACGTTGAATCCCTTGGACGCCAACTTGGCTTCACGAATGACAAAAAAAACCTGCATAGCATCTCCCTCGGTCAAGGTCAAGAGAACGTAGCTGAGACAGCAATGCAAGTGGCTGCTTGTGAAGGTCACTGGGTCATTCTTCAGAATGTCCACTTGGTTGCAAAGTGGCTGCCGACTTTCGAGAAACTTTTGGAGAGGCTGGTTGTCGACGCGCACACAGACTACAGAGTATTTATAAGTGCCGAACCGGCAAGTTCACCGGAATTTCACGTGATTCCGCAAGGTATTCTGGAGAATTCTATCAAAATCACAAACGAGCCCCCAACGGGCATGCAAGCAAACCTTCATAGGGCCCTTGGCAATTTTACTCAGGCTGCTCTCGAGGTGTGCACTAAAGACAGCGAATTCAAGATGATATTGTTCACACTCTGCTACTTCCACTCCGTAGTGTGCGAGCGTCGTAAGTTCGGACCTCAGGGGTGGAACCGAATTTACCCCTTTAACAACGGCGACTTGACGATATGCATCGATGTGCTTTATAATTACCTTGAAGTAAATACCGATGTGCCGTGGGAGGGCTTACGCTATCTCTTTGGAGAAATAATGTACGGTGGACACATTGTCGACGATTGGGACAGACGCCTTTGCAAGACCTACTTGGAAGAATATCTGCCAGCGAACATGATGGACGGAGATCACTTGTTAGCCCCTGGATTCAAGGCCCCACCAAATTCTGATTTAGCTGGTTACCACAAGTATGTGGACAGTAATTTGCCGTCAGAATCGCCGTATCTTTATGGACTGCATCCAAATACAGAAATCGAAATTATGACCGCCGATTCAGAAAAGCTGTTTCGACGACTGCTTGAAATGATGCCCCGAGAGGGAGGTGAGGGAAATGTTGTGGGTGACAGCCTAGAAGCAAAAGTTCAAGCTACTCTTGATGACATCCTCGGAAGACTACCAGAGCCATTCAACTGCCAAGATCTCCAAGCTCGTGTTCCTCCAGAGGAACGAAGTCCTTTCGCTGTAGTTGCACTCCAAGAATGCGATCGAATCAACATATTATTAAAGGAGATCTCGCGGTCGTTGAAGGAACTGCGTCTTGGACTAAAAGGTGAACTCACAATAACTTCTGAAATGGACGCTCTTCAAAATGCCCTTTTTTACGATGTTGTTCCTGAAAAGTGGGCTGCAAGGGCCTACCCTAGCCTTCACCCCCTTGGTTTATGGTATATGGATTTGGTTGCTCGGTCGAGAGAATTGGAAATTTGGGTTACAGATTTCACATCTTTACCTAGCTCTATTTGGTTAGGAGGTCTATTCAACCCACAGTCTTTTCTGACTGCGATTATGCAGCAAATGGCCAGAAAAAACGAGTGGCCTTTGGATAGAATGGCTCTGAAGGTTGACGTAACGCGGAAGACTCGAGAGGAAATACCAGGGCCCCCTAGAGACGGGGCGTTTGTGCATAGTCTCTTCATGGAGGGAGCGCGCTGGGACACCCAAGTTGGTCTTCTAGCAGAACCCAAATCCATGGAGTTGGTCGCATCCCTGCCAATTGTCTTTATTAAAGCAATTCCAGTTGATAAACAGGACACAAGGGGGACCTATGTCTGTCCGGTGTACAAGACCAAAGCACGCGGATCAACGTTTGTGTGGGCGTTCAACCTGAAAACTAAAGCAAAGCCGGCCAAGTGGATTCTAGGAGGCGTTGCTATTGTTTTACAAGTATAACCTTTGGCCTATCTTCAGCATGTTCTAATAGTTAATTTATTCTACTTTAATACTGTCAGTAAAAAATTTAACTTTGTTGGTTCTATTTATAGAAGGAATGGCCTACGACATTAGGCCATTGCAATGTATGTGGGGAAAAGTGATTGGTGCTAATTAACCGCAACACGTAAGTGCACATAAAGTTGATAAAAAAAAACAAATGACCTTATAAACGGCAAGGAACGCGAAGAAAGGAAATACAGATGGTGTTTGTAAGTGTGGCGGCTGTGTCTTAAAATACTACCGGTTGGGATTGAAGGATTGCTTCAACCTCGGATGATTAAATGCTCCCAATAGAGTAACCAGGGGTAGACTGGCGGGTGGAAACAACAAATGCAGGTACTGTGTACCTCATCGCTAACTCCGCAACACTCATTTGCTCCTTATGGTAAAAGGGCAAGGAGTCTTCCGTACAGCTGTCATAGAATGCTCGATGAATATTTAAAAAGAAGGTTTTAAAAATGCCACATTGATGGAGTTAGCAGACCTGACCTGACATATTTGTGCTCGCAAAATATTGTCTTAATAAACGTGCTTCTTAAACAGGAGCTTAATTTTGTGCTTCGTGTACCTCGCTTTCTCATTTTGGGCACCAATCGAGGGTAAAACCATATGGCAGGGTTGTGGTTGAACTGCACTTGGACAACTGACTGGGCCCACTAGGTGGGTTGGTCATCCCGTGTATCGATCGCCCGTTCCGATCACACGATGGATGTGGGCTGGTAGGCGAGGCAGGTGAACGGGGGAGAGAACCACGTGATCACAGTGACTCAGGTTCCCGATGCCCACGGTCTGCTCCTCACGCTTGCACTCATGTCTCCTTGTCAAAAACAAATAAACTTATGTGAAGTACACTTTCTAGGAACAACATATCCTGAACAAGAAACCTTTTAATCCACCCTAATATTCCACAAATTTCTATCTCGTATTTCATTGACTTTTTTAATCGGCATACATTTCCTAACTTTATTCACAATACTTCTGTGTGCGTCCTGCGACTATGGCTAGTCCTGCAAAACCACAAGATCTGGTTTGCCTGAGTACATTTACTGTCAGTGAGGGTTCTCCGTTACACTGGAATCAACCGAGTTGCCGTAAACCCTTAGTTGAATGCTGTGCGTTGAGTGGCTAACTGCTTTTACTGATCACTGGGATCTGCCAACTTGTCGCAGACGGCTCCAAAGCAAAAATTTGGTTTTCTTGTGTACAGCTGTGTACTAAACTCGTGGTTCCCTCAAAAGTTTCACTGCTATCCTTTAAAAAGTCAGCATAGGGCTGATGATGTGGTGCCTTATTCATAGAAGAGGTTCAATACTGAAAAGAAAGTAGGGTTAGACTGTGCTCGACTGGATCAAATGGAGTAGGCTTTACTCGATCATGTCCAGGAACAGTCGCAGAAGGTTTATCAAAATCCTCCAGCAAATCTGCTGGTAACCAGTCAGCAGAAGTGTTTCTTACTTTGTGGTTGTCAAGGTGGATCCCACGTTTAAAATTATACAGATCACCAAATAAACTGTTCACTTGGTTAAAAGTTCAATACAACATGAGTTCTCTTGATTCTATAGAGTAAAAGACCTCTTTTGGTTCACTGCTTCTATGGGTTCAGTCCGGTGTACTTGCTTGCCAGAAACACATTTGGCTCTTTAATGATGACTTTTCTCGTCTTCGGATAGTTTACCTACACTTCCCTCACTTTTCACCACATTTCTCACTTGCGTCTTCAAACGAGACCTGGCTGGGCAAAAAAAGAGGATTTGTTTGTAGAGCCTCGTTACCATGCGGGTAATCTGTAGGCGGCAGTGAAGGTGTTTGTTTAACGACGAAATGGACACTGCTGGAACGTGTCGATTAAACGTGCCATCTGCCGTCGCGCGATGTCTGCTCTTGCCGCTGACATTGGCGCCTTGGTACATCCCGGCTCTCGCTGGCCTCGGCCTCCCTTCACACATTCCACCGCCCACTGCTGAGGCGTCTGGCCCAGCCCAAGCAGCCACGCCCCACCATTGCCGCTCCATCTGAGCCCGAAGTTTGATTGGTCCTCCACACCCGAAAACTCCTCAAGAAGGATATATATAAATTGAATGACTACATCATATTTCGACTGTTTCGATTGCAAGCACAGCATTGACCTAGCGTTTAACTGATCGGGTGGTGGTTTTCTAGAACATGGTTTAAGATCAGTTCAGTTTCTCAAAAAAACCGCTCAACTTAGACACGTGCATTAGCGGAGTAATTGCTTGCATTGGCTTGTCCCCTGTCATTAGCACGGCGTCAGCCCTTGTGGATCAAAGGAAGACCTCCCAAGATAGTGCCTATTTTTTTCCCTTGAAAATAAAACCTACATCAATGGGGAAGTGTGCGTGTGAATATGCGCAGGTGTAAATTTTTGTGTGTAGAGAAAGCGCTTTAAGTAACTATGTTATTATGAGTATTGGCATTGTGTGAATGCTCGGCTATCAAAAAGCCAAACTCATGTCAAACAAGGAATAGCACCCACCCAATTTTGGACTTATTGAACACGTCACCGACAACCTCATATACCTATTTACCTCTGACATGACAGGCTTGACAATGGAGCCACGATTTATGTGAAGCTAACCCCACACCTAAATTAACTATTTTGGTGAATTTCAAAATCAGTGTTGCAAGCTTCAAAGTGGGGGACAGGACGTGCGCAAACGCACCCGTACCTCCTGGGCCTGCGACGACGTGTCCCCTTCGCTTCGGCCCCCTCCGCTCCCACTTTCTCTCCTACGTATGGTACCAAATGGCGTTAACAGGTGTGCATGTGTGCACATGGCACCTTTGGCCCCGATTCGACCACTTCGTTAACCTGCCTTCTTCACACACACGCACACACCCTTGGGTGTATCTGATTTACTAATGGTGTGCTAAGTGTTTAGATAAGAAAGTGTTATAAATTTCCGAGGCAAATTTTCAATATTTCCATGCGTGCAGTTCGATATAAATAACCATTTTTTTATAAAATGCAACACGACTCAAGTTTCAGCATAAATTAACAAATTTAACTTCCGGTTGCATTTAGCAAACCCAACATTACACAATTATGTATCCCGCGAACAAACTAGTCAAATTAAGAGCCAAGATAGCCACGGTAATGCACGGTAAAATGCCATGGGTACTATGCATGTTATTATTTCAGATGTAGGTCTAGTTTCAAGTTATCAGATTTTTGCACGTGCCTTTCGAGTTTTTTCCTTGTTGTTAACGTCTCAAACAAAACAAGATTTGTCAACAAACACACATTAAAATTAAATCCGCATCATTAATTAGGCTCACACCTTGATTATCCGATAAATTTTAGGTAGACAAAAATAATTTAATCATAAATTTCCCTTTTTTGCAATCTGCCATGAGAGCGGAATCAAATCAGCTGGGTCCACATGCTTGTCGACGTCCCCAGTTAAAGGTGCTCAAAACAAAACAAACTTCATATACTTGCGGTTATCGAATAGTCATATCTGGAACTTAAGTCGAACCGTTTGCAAAGTTAATTCTATAACATTTATTTTATAATTGTCAACGGTATGACTTGTTACGGATAATACTCTCGCTTACAGACAGAAAACCGCTAGCAAATATTAACAAACTGCTATTAATACATCTTGTATGCAGTCTGACTTCCGATTAGATTGATTTAGCTTCGACTTGGCATCCAACTTGACAGATTACACGACGAGAGCTATCTGTTGCTTTTAACCTAGGGGCTCCGCTTAACCGCGTAGGTCTCTTAAGGAACCACGAGACACACACATACACACGTCACCGTTGAAAGTGATAGCAATTTTGTATCGAGTTGGCACGAGAGAGCGTCTGGCGTGATGCTGAATGTTTCAAAGCACCTCCGGTGACTGGGCTGGCGGTGGTAATACAGCTTGCGCCATAGGTGGCATTCGTACGGGTCTGGATTATGTATCGACTACTGCTGATTGTTAATTGGTGGGGGAGGGGGGAGAGTGACGGGTGCAAAAAGGCTGATGATTACACCGTTAATTGGACGCCTCAGCTCAGCGTATGTTACAATTGTATTTTGGTGAACAGTGATTTGTGGTGCCACCCCACTGCCGTGCAGGGGGGCTGCGATCATGGGCTCCACCCCGCGTGACAGAACTTGTGCTTTCGAAAAATGACACAAATTTACCTGGATTACCATAAAAGCCATATACTTTCGAAACCTCAATCAAAAATCGGTGGTTGATGCAAAAGTTAGCCTAAAATGAGATATTTTTATAATAAGGGCCGAGCATAATAATGAGCTGTACAAGACGTTTTAACTCAGAATTGATTTAAAGCCAAGACATTGGTATCTTTCCTGAGTAAATTTGGGAACCACTTAAATCCTTCACTGTAACGACCTCAATCCCTGAACTCCCTGACACCTGGTCTTGACTGTGATCCGCCAACATCGTCCCGACTCTGAGCATCTTACTCCGTTATATTAGTGGTCCACTTTTACTGCTCCCATTTTCTGACCTCCATTCCGTCAGTTCTTCAAGCAAGTAGCTGAGGACCAAAAAGCAAATTGGCGATCTCAGTCCTTACATTAACTACGTTTTGACGTTTTGTCACCCGAAGCCGTGTAAACATTAAAAGCATTTCTTTTTAATCGATACAACCAACCCAAATCCTTAAAATCTTTAGCACTATGAATAATTTCAGTTCTCGAGCCTACAACAGTTTGCGTGTTATGCAATCAGCGCGTGGCCCAATGAGGTTTTTGTGGGGTGGGAGTCACCAAACTGGAATACCAACGTTCTTATCATTCCAAACTCCTTTACATAGTCAATATTGAATTATTATGAAACAGGACAAGGCTGTCCACCCTAATTAAACGTCGATTTATCAAAAAGGAAGAAAAAAATGAAACAGCTCCACCTAACCACTTCGTTAATTTAAACAAAGAGACACCTTGGGACACCTTATGTAACTGAGCATATTCTTTTTATCGCTTTTGCATTTCTGCCATAAGTGTTCCCTACCGAGGATAAAAAGGAATCAACACTGAATTCTGAACTTTAGACCACGGAAATAAACACTATAAAAGCATAGTGACTAATAGCCTGTAGTCAAAAAGGGAATCACAGTGGTCTAGAGGTATCTGGGAGCAACGTAAAAGACCCTGCTGCTAAACACATTAACTTTACCAAAGTATTTAACCACAAAATTATTAACCAACCAAGGCATTAATTAATTCAAAAGGTGTGCACCATGTGATGCAGTCGGAGAAATCAATGAAACAAATGATTTTGAAGATTTCCAACTCTGTGCATCGAGCCGAATTTGGTTGAAATGTAGAGTTCAAGTCCTCAAGAGTACAAAATCACCATTCCTCATCAATTTTGAGCACAATCAGGATGTATTTTGATGTGCTTCTGAAATAAATGGCCTCAAGATGTTATTGAGGATTAAATTGAGACGTTAACTTCTGGTCCATCGATTTTTCAATTATTTAAAATTATCGCTTGTTAAACAGAGGTAAATAATTTAAATGCCTTTCTGAAAATGCGTGGAGATATGGAGTTACATCCTAGGAAAGAAGAACCCCGTCGTATCCACTTAGCATCACAATACGCAATCCCTGATTCAACTTCTTGTAAAAGCCCACAAACGTTTGAGGGGGAACTTGAACGCCCTTCTAAAGACTACATCGAATCGCTGAAGCAGGCCATCAGAAAACACACTGCAACACTCCAAGGAGAGGCCCGGCGATGCCAAGAAACACCTGATGCCTTATACGAAGTGTCTCAACTGGAGGAACAGGTAGACCGCTTACAAAAACGTCTAGACAAATTGGACTGCCAGGTGGAACTTTGCATCGTCGCTAATAAACACCTGAGAACAACCACGAAAGGTGTTATGATTAAACTATTCCAGCAATCGACCCAATAATATAACATTCCACATGAATGTCTTTTATGACGAAAAGCTTCGAACATGAGTTGCAATTATTTTCGTTAAAATCTATTCCATTCTCTAAAGTAGGATCCCCATCTCTAGACCACTAGTAAGAGTTATAGCTGCTAATTAGCGAAAGTGCTTTTCCATTATCATCAAATTGGTCAAAAGTAGTCCTGTTTCTCCATTTAGATGGAGACATCATTTTTAGATTCTGATTGGTTCCACTTCACCTGATGAACAGTCTGAAAAAATCGTGTGCTGACACAATCATTGTCAGTTATTAATCAGTGTCGTTAATCAGACAAAATCGATTTCATTTGACTTTACCAACGAATGTCATGTGTTCTCCCGATAAACAGGCTTGATTTTGTAATTCACCAGTTGGTCACAGAATATGCAGTTAATTATTTTATCCAAATTTTAAAAAAAAATTATAGTTGCCCCATTGTCAAACGAAAAAGACATGACAACCGTGGTGGCTGCCAAAACCACAGAAATGTGTCCACACAAAAAGATGCAATCCAATTCGATGGTTTGCAAAATTGCTGTGAATTATCTTTTTAATCAAAGGAACCATTTCCCAACATGTTTATAGTCATTTATTCAAAATATCAAATGCTGATGTCGTGAATGACAATAATTTGAAGTCGGAAAACCTAAAAGAAATTTGCTCAGTCTTTCTAACTTAAAGCAGCTTATGTGGCCACATGATAGCGAATTATCCAGTTTCAGCCCTATATTTGTTTCTTGATTAACTAGTTAATTTTGTTGCTGCCGATTTCAAATTCAGTATTTCCTTGAAACCTCAGAACCGATTTCCTATTTTGCACGTACCAAGCCTAGACAGAATCGAATTGACAGCAGTGGTGGGGTTATAACCCAGGCACAGGCACAAACACACATGCACGTACACACACACCAAGCAACAAGATTTTGATCAGAAAAACCCTCAAATGTCGCCTTTGTACACTCAGTCTTTTGTACTATCGTATTGCGGAACGCGCTTCTATGCTTAGTGTAATCCCAATGTGCTGCCTAGAAAACGCAGTTTTGGAAAAGTATTGCATTTTAATGATGTGGCTCAGTAATGGTGTTTCCGATTATCAGTTATGAGGAATTCTCAGGTATTAAAATATCACTGGGAAAGGTTCAGCCAAAGGATGCCACAAATATGAATCTGAAGGTTCGTCTTTTAAAGGTATAGCAGGTAGTCACCCAGAACCGGGACAGGAGGTACCGGGTTCTGGGAAAAGGTGTTAGTGGTGACCCACCTTTCAGAAAATTGACTGCCTTAGTTTGTGTAACGATTCACCAGCGGCTGCAACTACTGTACCAGCTGGTGGTGTCAGCACTGCTGGGTGGGCGGGTGGATGGATGGGTGGAGGTGGAAGGGGGAATGGAACAGTGCACCAGGTGTCAGTGCTATCTCTCCCAGGCCATCTCGGGCTGACCACGTGCCTGATATGTGACATCAGTGACCTGGTGACGCACGTCAAACAACTTATGAAACATTTCTTTGAGCAAATCGCTACTATCTTAGACGGAAAGTGGAGGGGGATGGAGGGGACTGCATCAGGAACGAAGACATGTGCAGATTAGATCACTTTTGAAATCACTTGCTAACTGCATTGCCATCAGCTGAAAACAACATTTTTTAAGATTTGAAATCTCGAGAATCGTCCAAGACTGAAAAATCCAACCATTCAGCTTAATCTCTGCCCAAGTACCCAATTAAACCCACCTATCAAATATGAATTACGTGTGGGAGACAGGTTTGTTGTGTGAAGCAGTTGGAAATATTTCCATTTAAATAAATTTTGCCAAGGGTCGACCTAATCACCGTCCCACACTTTGATAATGCATTACGACAATCAGTAAAGTCTCACGACTTTGTGACGACCAGCAATGACCATTTGTGCAGTTGGTGGTACTAAACTTTCGAAAAGATCTCTTGGCATTAAGCAGATCAATGTTAAGAAATGCTACTTTTTCGGACCACATGAGCTGAATTATTCAATAAGGGAATCCTAACTTTGAAAAATCGAGACATCGAAATTTGAACAGGCTAAGGACCACGTTTATGTCAAGGCTGTTTTTAGGACCTAGAGGCGTGGTACCCTAGCAGCCGGCTGTCCCTCAAAATAAAAAAAAACCATTATTTTTCAAAGTCCGCCTTACAGTGTTTAGAAGGAAAGTCATTGTCCAAAGTGGGAATAACATTTGTTTCAGAAAACCGTTTGTCTGTTTTTGCCACAGAACAACATAGCTGACTTTAATTGTCTACAATAAAATATATCAGATTTACCGTTTATTGCTGAGTTCATATTTTATCAAATCCATTCCTATTCGAGGAAAGTAGTCGGATCTACTGTTTGCCCCAGTGTAAAGTTACGTAATTCATATAAAACAATGAGAAAGCCAATTAAATTTTCCAGTAGTCATTCATTTTCGTAAAATCACTTCGTGCGGTAAAAAATTACAGGCTTGGAACACCGTACAACTGTGTAAAAGTTCATTAAAAAACTTGTTGTTAAACTGATTTATAAGTCAGATTTTCGCCACATTGGTTTTATTTACAGGATAATTCACCCTCCATTAAGTTGGTTAATCATTTGACCAATCCACTGGGCAGGAACTCGTCTAATACCACCCTTATCAGTTCCGGTTACGCGTCTAGCCAGTCGGTATGTTATTGTTTCAACCGTCCAAGTCCAGCACCCACGACCCCTGTCCACTTCCCACACTGAAACCCCGATTTGACACGGATTATAATCCGATCAGGTGCCTGACCGAGTTGGCCGAGGCGAATCGGGGGAGGAGGGGGGAATTCGACTGGGTTGGCGTCGAGGGGTGGCGGCGGCGGCGGCCGAGGGATTAGAGGCCTACTGGAAAAACAAACATTGCGGGAACTCGAAGGGTGTGCGTGAAACTTGAGGGATCGATTACACCAGTGGGAATAGGTCTGAGTTTCATAGTCAGAGACCGGAAAGTCGTCGTCTTTCTGCGTATTCCGTCTGTGCATATTTTTAGTCACAAGGGCCCCGCGCTCCGGTGCTAAACACCATTGAAGATGAGGAGCTCACTCGATGGGTCTGGTCGGTTCACTTAGATATTCCATGCCTTTAACTGTTCTAGTTCACCTTGAGCACCGTGGTTGGTAAGTTGAATTCGAGGGATCAGAATGCCACACTGGCCACCTCGCAAGAACTCACCAGGTCAACTCTGACGGAGTTAATAGATTTTTCCCAGTTTTGTTCCACAAAGTGGTAATAAATGCGGGTTTCAAACCTTAACCTAATGTAACCACAATTGAGAACTAGGAAGTAGTTGCAATGGTATTCATGTTTTGGAGCTCTCTGTTTGTACTCTCGGGCTAGTCGAAGATAAGACAGAATATACAACGAATGACACTTTAGTTGGCTCTCTTAATTTCAGATGCATAAACTACGGTTTGTCGTCCAGACCGCTTTTTTAGACCACCATAAGTGGCCTGACATTAAATTTAGCGAGTACCAACCAGAAAGTGCATATTTTTCAATATTTTTGGGTCTCATAAGTAAAAGCATCCTGTTTTTGCAGACAATGTCATCTACAAAGCAGTCGTTTGACGAGACAATGTGGTTGATGTGGTCTCCGAAGTTGTCCCTCTTTTCAGAATCCACGTGACTGAGCCGGAACCACGGACGTTTAATAACAACGACGCAGTGGCCTCTAAAACTAGCTCCGGGCAAGAAAGATCCAAGATTCCATATCTACCTTGGTCAATCAGATTATTCTGCAATATCCATCGAGTCAGTTCACATTGGGGCTCTGGTGTAGTTGTGAATGCAAAACCAGTTGAAGGATACAGAAACCCTAACGTTTTGCGTTTGTGGAAAGCACTTTTCCACTTGTCCAGCATTTAGTATCACACATTGAGCCAACAGATTTATTTCAAGAGTATTCAATGAGATATGAGGGAGCCTTTCTCGCTTACGCTACTCGTGACTGCCAGAAATGAGTTGAGCTTCGATAATTGCGATTACCGAAGCCTGAATTGTATTTTTGTCGTTAAAAAGCCACACGTTACCTGTGTGTCCTTTAAATGTGGCATAAATATCCTCCGAGGTAGTTATGCCCCTAAGCAATTTCGAATCCACCTGATCTTGGGATTTGTTTGCACAAATAAAGTTCATTATGACCAACCACTCATGACGCACTGGCAAATTTTTACCCCTCAAACAAACCTTTTGTCCACGATGGTAATGCAGAGCCCTTCAAGTGTTCTCACGACGGGTAAGTGGGATCACATTCATTTGATTGCCACGCTGAGCTGTTGTATTCAGTTGAATATTGAGGATTTTCATATCGTCTAGGTTGCTAACTTGTGCGTTGCCCGAATATTTAGAAGCCAAAACAACTCGTCCATTCTGGATTCAACCAGTAGATCGATAAGTGGCTTCGCTGCCGTCTCTATGAGCTGCATAGCCCCCACAATGCACACGGCCACTAGACAAAAAGTAATCTCGACGTTCGCAAGCTTTCCTCACAGTTCTGACTAAATTGGAACACGTTGGTTGACAATTTTTCCAGATGAGTGATGCAATACGATGCACTCTTTAAACAGACTGAACCAGAGAACAGGCCATAGGCATTGTGTTTTCAAATGAATCCAAATCTATTAATGAACTTTGGGTCGTTTGATTATTTTTGGTGCTTGGAAAGGTTAAGGACAGCCACGGACTTACCGGCTTGTCCTAACGTCTTTTCCACACTACAGGAACGTCACAGCAGAAGGCCCGTGGAGGAATTTTCAGTAGGCGCCCGTTGTTAAGGGGGTCTGTGGTGATGATTGGTGTGTGTGTGTGTGTGTGAGGGGGGCACGGCTTAAACGCAGTTGTGCAAAAGCAAGAAAGAGGCACACTTTGGGCCCATCATTGTGGTTGGAGGTGGTGGATTTGGTTCGACTGAGGTTAAGCCTGTGTGTGAAAACTTGTGCCACGAAGATTTGCGCGTGTGCACGCAAGCATGCAGCATCTCTTTAAACTAGGTTATGGAATGACGCAGTGGTGAAGATCCAGTTGATTTCATCCATTGCAAACGCGCAAAGACGACGCCTTTCACAGTATGATCACGTTGAACCCTAAATTGGCAATAGGTGAAATAGGTGACCATGGTTTCACGTTTTTAGAGCCGACCCACCATCAATGCTTTTCAATCTTACACTCGATATTTCGAGACAAGCCTCGCGATACTTTGTGAGAAAGAGGAGTCGAGATGTGCTTTGGCTTCTCAAACCGCAAAGCCACCAATGAATTTTGCGCCCCCTCCTCGACACCTGAAGCGTTGAGGGTTTTTCACGGTAAGATGCAGAAAAGGATTCTTTCTGGTAGCGATAACTGAGACCGACGTGAAAAATTTGTTTTACTTTTGACAAATATAGTATATTTGAAAGAGCGATTGTCTTAAAAACAAAAGGAATGCTTAAAATATCGGGGAAATTCACCTCATAAAAACTTTGGTTCAGTGACAGAATTTACGCTAACTTAAAAAATGACGGATGGACATAAACGGATTGAAGCTACGTATAGAAAATATTTGACGAAAACCACAACGTGCTTGCCTTTGAAAATCTCCATACTAAATGGAATCGCTCGTGAGTTTTACTACTGGCCTGTTGTGCGCAGCTCTTACACGAAATTTCTGAAATCCACGACTGCAGCAGGACTGCTCGACTTTGTTTGTGTCCAAAGTCCGAAAAGGAGCGGCTCATGTCCCCTTCCACCTAGGGTTTCCTGTCACAGTGGCTTTTACTCTGCAGCAAACCTTGTAAACGCACACAATGTTTGCGTAAGCCTCGTGGCTGCGTTGAAATTAGAGTTAGTAAGCACCCTCTTTGCTCTAGATCAGGTCCTAGTCTTCCCTTTAGACATTTGTCACAGTTTTAGAACTTTCAATTGGACTAGTCATTTAAAAAATGTATGGTGAGAGTTAACCTCATTGACTCAAATGAATTAGCGTTTGTAAATAGCCAGAGCTCTTCGTTTAACGACTCGTGCAAGTACCGTGTTACAGCAGAACGGTGCAGCTATCAAGGTGGTATTTAGCCTGACTCACACACACTAAAAAAGCTTGTGTTGGCCCACCAAGCACTGGCTAAACACCAAAATAGCCTATTTCTGCATCAGGGCCAAGGCGTAATAGGCTCCACTCACACGGCTACTTGTTGAGTATGTATTACACTTTGTCAACAAAAATGCTGCTGTGGCCCCCAGTGTGGCTTTAGGAACCACACCAGGGTCGGCGATGCCCATCGACACGGTCCGTCCAAAGAAGGAGGCGGAATGCAGATAACGTGTAGCCCGACTTGTTTATTGACACAATAGTGATGTGTGTGTGTGTGTGTACAAGATAAGTATCTTCGATCCATTCTCGGCTTGGTTCTCGCCTCTCGTAAAGCTTCAACTATCTGACACCAACGCCCAGGCGTCACGTGCCACCTATCTTACGATCAACCTTTCAGATATCCTGCTGAAAGAAAAAGTGGTATCTACCACAGCAAAATCATCCCGGATGTCTTCCGACAACGTACAATTGCGTCAGAAGTTTCATTCACCATCCGGCGACGACTATTCACCTCGCTTAGTCCCTCGCGTTCATTAATTTCCAAGGCCTCAAATCGTCCAAACCATACTTACGACCTGCCTTTCAGAAATACTGTGGGAAAGGAAAGGTTCGTCCATTTCATTCGCAAAGGAAGAGAGCTATGGCGAGCAGTAAGCGAACACAGCAATCGTGAGCAAACTCTCGTGGCAAGAGTGAGCGAACATAATTCGATTGATTTATGTGAATGCATTTTACGCAGCTGTGTTCGTTCAGGAACCGGTGTTTAGCCGATCCTATATAAATTGATTTTTCACTTTTTACACACACACCAATCCTGCCATAATAAATTAGTTGAGCTACTCGTTATCTGCATCTCTTCACTTTTTTCAAACAGACTGTGTCGACGCCATCGTCGGTCCTTGTGTGTTTCCCAAAACTGCACCGAAGGCCACAATAATACCATCCCTGTTGTGTAGAAAGCAAAACTCAGAATGAGAGCATTCACTATTTTCGTTTGACCGATCCCACTGCCTACGCCAGTTCCCGTTAAGTCGTCGCGGGCCGATGGCGTCACACAATACAGATGTTTTGCTTGAGACCATTTAAGTCATGGTGAGGCCCACCAGAACTTTTCTTTTATTGTCACGTCACCGTTGGCAGAATTTGTTTGCTGTAACCCACATCTTAAGGAATCCAGATATAGACAAAAATGCTACCTAGTCAATACGACAATTTTCAAGTGAATTGCCGAAACAGCGAGATTTTGTGGCTGACGTTGGAGAAATATGCAAGAAAGTAAGGAAATTAATTCGCGAACCCGTGCCCTTTGCGACACCAACGACGATTTATATCGAACACCCCGCGTAATCAATCCGGACAATTCCCAGTAATTTTCATTATCACAATTGTACGTATTTGAGAAGGGTCCTTTGCAGTCTACTCGATTAAACTTCGTGTAATTATTGGGGATGGGAAAGTGGAAATGTTGGGCAACTCAAAAGGTGCTAATCAGGTGGTATAAAGGTGCGAAGTCGGAGGTAAACTTAATCAGTCACTGAAGGAGAACTACTTCTTCACTTTATTAACGTGCGAAGTAACACTAAGGTCATGTTATAATTTACCAGAAGACCGCCTACTTATCGTAGCACCAAAGAAATATCTGAAAGGACTCCAGTCTTGATACCTTAAGAATTTTGCTAGAATGGGAAAAGCTACTCATGTCGAATGGCTAACATATAAATCCCTATACATAGTGGTCAATTAAGCTATTAATATAAGTTGAATATTCGTCGCCTTTAAGAGGTAACTTTCCTTGCGGCATGACGTATTACAACCACCCGAATAACTAAACTCCGACGCACGCAGTAATCCCTCCAATAAAGTGTGCGAAACCATTCAGCCGTTCCAGCACACAAACCAATCGCTGGATAGCTGGACGCAACGTGCGCACCAATCAGTAGACGCGGCTCTTCAATTGGTTCGCGCACGGGTGGCCAGGTTAGAACAACAAGAGACTGAACACTCTAGCTGCCTTGCCTTGCACCACACGCAGCGGTTATGTTTTTGTTATCTCAGTAAACACTCCATCAATGCATACCCTCCAAAACAATCTTGGACACCCCCACACCCATCTCTTTTATAATACAAACAGAAACGTCATCGGTAACTCTCCGCTAGTGGAGAAAACAGAGGAAGGCGACAGCAAACAACCTCAAAATATTTCTGTTCCAAACCAGTGTGTTTCGGTCGAGGATTGGTCCGGAGGTCTCCCAGAGGATATTCGCATTAATGGAGATGCCAGTCAAATACAAGGCAGCTCACTACCTACTTATCCCAGTGATTTATCCTGTTTTGCATCCACTTTGACAAGGATCCCGGGCACAGCAGATGGTGGATACGCATTCCCACCGGCGTCGCAAATGCACAGCACCACTGACCAGTCAATGAAACCTCCATACTCGTACATTGCTCTTATCACCATGGCCATTGACGCCCAACCAGACAAATTGGTCACACTGAGTGGCATCTACCGTTTTATTGCAGAGAGGTGAGCCGCTTTGCCTGACGTTGTGCATTATCTATTGAGAACTTATTGCAAATTATTTGACATTTGTTGATTTGATATTTTTTTGCAAAAAAAGTTCACGCTGAAGGGATTTTTGAATGGCATATCCTATGCCAACAGTCCCCTTCGCAATTTACACTCGATTCTCCTTTATGGTCACAGCAAGACAAATCACGGGGTTGTTCACGATGTAATCAATTATTAGACTCTCCTTTTTGACAGTGCATGTCAGCGCTGCTTTGTGCGCTTTCCAGACTTTGCGATCAGTGAGGTTTTGTGCAATCCCGGATCACCAGCGTCGGTGAGAAAGCTCATCTCAAATGAGGCTGTTTTACACACATGTCCACCAGAGTGATCCAGTTTTGAATTGGCTCCAGTCTCACAAACGCAAGTACGGAGTTTCATTAAACCATCCAAGTGCATAGTGGGTGGATTAGTACAGAGGGCCTTAGACACAGACAACCTCAGAGGATGTCGACACTGGACGAGTGCTTTTAATCTCAAAGACTTCCTTATTGAAATATGACGAGACACAAGGGTGAGGAATGGGATTGTAAGCGTAAAACATTGCTAAGCGAAAATACTTAATTAGGGTCATTGGGACAAACAACCAAAATATTTCCTTCTTTGTTAGACATCCAAATTCGTTTTATCCCATTTTAAATTAGCTTTGTCTACCTATCTGTTGAAGCAGAAATACCTGCCACCTGAAAATGCGCTGCTTATTTGCCCATTATTAAATGTCACCAAGCAATCCCTCTAGGCATTATCAGTGCAGAGATACGCTTACAAATTGAATTCAGCTTATACTGCATACAGTTTGAAACCTCTCTAGAATAACCCATATTTCTGGCTTACTATCTAAGCTGGATGGAACCACATTCGGTTTTGTTTACCTCAGAGATTGGTTGGGCTCTTCGAGTTTACCTAGTATCGAAATCGCACTTTTATGGAGGCGAGACAAATTATCAAAAGGGCGCTCAAAATACTGTTTTCGGATTGCACCACACACACTTAACAACTGGCGATGATGCGATGTGACATGGCATAAGCATGGAGGAGTTGGGTTGTTGGCATTATGTGACTCACCAAATCCCCTCGACCGCACTTCACTCAATCTTTTAAGCTCATTTGCTATCATAATAAAGTTATCTATTTTCCGAAAATATTTCAGATTTCCCTATTACCGTGAAAACAAGCAAGGGTGGCAAAACTCCATTCGGCACAATTTAAGTTTGAACGACTGTTTTGTAAAGGTTCCACGGGACGAGAAACGGCCAGGTAAGGGCGCATTCTGGACGCTGCATCCAGCCGCGCACGGCATGTTCGAAAATGGCTCGTTCCTTCGCCGAAAACGACGCTTTAAAACACCCCACAGTGACATGCCTTTCGGAAGCTCTACAGCAGTATCAAATCTTATTCGCAAGCGAGGTGCATCTAAGTCATCGAGGAAACAGCACAACTCTACATCGTCTAGCACTACGGAGACGGATTGTACAGTGGCTGAATCAATGGCAAAGAACGCAGACGTTAAAAAGGAAGATTGTCTGGAGGATGGTTCATCATCCTACGAGGAGGTGGCTCCTCTGCAACGCCTGGGAGGCTTTGCTTTCCAGGAGCCCGCCTACCAGCCGTACCAGGCGGCCGGGGGAGAGGAGAGGAACGCCAGTGAAGACAAGCACAGCACGGTTTGGGGATGGTCCGGGTTTCGTGGGTGCAGTCAACCTGGTGAAAGAAACGGCCACTGTTGTGATGTGGTCGAGTATGGCAGACCTGTGGTAAGTTCTGGCAGTTGGCCTGAGGCGTTTCCCGCGTAGGTGTGAAAACGTGGCGATGTCGCGTTGTATTGCTTTATGTGCAGAGCGTTGTGAAGATTGAGGGACGCCTTCACTTCGGATAATCAGGCTCTTGCAATGTGAACATAACAGAGTAGTTGGCAATAAGGTACTTGATGACATGCGTGTAACGGTGCCAGCCGGTGGTGCGTCAATGGCAGACTACTTTCGTTGCTTAAGTATACTGTATATTCTGGCGTTATAGACTGACTCAACAGATGACCAAATCAAACCTCTGCTCAACTCTACACATACAGGACAATTGCGCCCATTTCCGCCACTGACTCATAATCAAGATTTTAACTTGTGGACATCACGGCAATTCCTCCCACCGAGCAACTCCAACCTCGAGCTGTCCACCTCGTGCCCTCGTCCAACTGGAACGATATACCCTTTCCAAAACCCCCAGCAATTGCCTCAGTACCCACCACACAACGCTTGGGTGGGCGATGCATCCTTGATAGACCACACCTACCTGATGATGTCAAGCCACCTGAAGCACAGCGCCATGCAGATGAATCAACAACAGCATCAACTACCGCCCAGTTGGTTCGATTTAGGCTACGGGGCTGCGTCCACTGCGTACAACGTCGCCTCGCACGACTCCTCGGCCAGTCTTGCGAGCCCGTCACCGGAATCGGGCGGAGTTGCGCCCAGTGCCGCCATGGTCGCAACAGATCTGCCGTCACGAGCGTCGGAGTACGCGCAAACCCACAACTACCCCTTCAACGATGGTGAACCACACTTTGGCAATGCCGACACTGCCAGGAACGAGGTCATGGGTTACCCGTTGGTCTTGAAGAGAGAGTCATGACAAAAGGCTCTTTATTTTCTGGGCTAGTTTATAATTTTGCATATTTATTATACAGTCACTTTTGTACACGAGGGCTATGAATACTTATAACTTCCCTGAATGTAGTCTTTTGGCAGAAAGTTTGAGCATCCAAGGTAGCACGCGTTAAATGCTTTGGAAGGGAGGAACTGTGAGTTAGCGAACCAAAAATTGTCAACAAACGGGGATCTGCGTAGTGGTTTGTTCGCCGTTAACTCACAGCTCTGCTAGCTAACAGCCCGTAACAACGTGAAAGGCAAAACAGACGACAGCGAATACTACAGTTTTTTTTTAACTCAGACCACCCAACTCTATTTACATGAGAGTGCGTGAGTGAATATCGATCGTCAACTGTAATCAACAGTCGATGATAATCAACTTTAAGACAGTCTACGATCAGAATATCCTGTTTTGCATTTCTGTCAATTGTGACACACTTATTTGCGCACCGTGGAACATTTAAGGGGTCACCATAAGGTGGCTATTAAGGCCTCTTGATTCTATCGACACTAACGAAGACATAGGGGAAAGTCAGCAAACATGGCTGGATCTGTGTTTGTCGTAAGGAAACTCTTGTTGGCATTGGTGGAAGTTCCTTCATGGAACATTTTAACTGGGTGACGTGTGACGAAGATGGAAAGTCAGTAGTGTGATCAGAGTTTGTGACCATTTTACCAGGCAGACACAAAGTTGTGCCGAATACAAGTTCTGCTGGCGTGGAGTTAATGTCTCCCTTTACTATATCGCAAATGGAGAATAAAATCAAAGTAATGCACCGAACCAGTTAGTGGACGTAACTTTTGAAACAATAGCTGATTTAGCTGCTGAAGGAAACGCTCAAATATGCGATTGAATGCCCATGATACGCTGTAGCATGGAAATATTTGTATACAAGATAGCTGTTTAAATCATGAAACAAATAAGATGTGAATTGTGCATCGCGATCAGATGTAGTAGAACTTGGTACACTGAATGACGCAACTCATGATTCTATAAACGCTCGGGCAACACTTTCAGCAACACTGTCTTTAGTAGAGACTGCTATCGGCAAACGCGCAAACAATCCACGAAAGTGAGGTTATAGGTAAAGCCACAGGATGGGGGAAGAGATCCAATTGAATCCATGTATACGTGTCGAAAACGCCCGTCTGGGAGGGGAAAATGTCCTGGTTGATACACCGATACTGAATTCAGAGTTTGACCCATAAACCCACGTTTTTGCGGACGCTAGGCCAGAGCAAAGCGATCAATTGTCAAGTGCAAAGTGGTGTAAACACCAGGATTTGAGAGCGAATGAAAGTGGTCGAAAATTCGCCTTCCAAATTGGAAAGGAAAATAGGGTTGAGGTCTGCCAAATGAGGTATTGCACGTAGTTTTGGTAAAATAGTGAGGGAGTGACAGCTCTTCCAAACTGAGACCAGAATCTTGACGAATTTGTCGTACTCCTGGGTCATTAATCAAGACCGACACCAGGAACTGATAGCTAATGGATATGTGCTCGGGAAAGTGTATCGCTCACGGAGTTATCACTCCTATCAACGTGGAAAAATGCTCATTGTGAACCGTGAAACATAGTCAAGGCACATGGATTCGAATGGGAAACACCGATCGAGCGCTTCATAGCAGGTATAAATCGAGGGCTTGTGATGAGTAAAAATGGTGAACTCAGGTCTTTCCAATAGGCGACGGGAGTTTTTCACAGCTAAATTAATCGCCAACATTTCTCTGAAAACTGTCGTGTAGTGGGTCTTAGCTGGTTGGAGCTGTCGAGAGAAGAAGCATGATGGTTCAGTAAAAATGTCTGGTTCTTGTTGAAGGACTGCACCTACTGCAGTTCGGGAAGTTTTACTCCCTTTTTTCAGTGACAAAATTTTGTGATGTCTGTTAGTGCCGCATTATGCAAACCAAAAGCCATTCGAAGGAACTCGTATAACTCAAACAGAGTAATAACGGCAGTTGTAGGGACGTCTTCAGGGCAACAGGCATCTGACGGAAGGCCCGGAAAAGGTTAAGTCTTGAAGAGACTTAAGAACCGCTTAAACCTTAAATCGACGTAATGAATGTGTGGGATGGGCTACCGGTCAGGAACTGTGACACTTTCCAGGGCTCTATAATCGCAGGGTCCCCAGCCTTCAGATTTCTTAGGCACCATTGTAACGGGGCCGGCCAAGAGCTGTCGGCAGGACAAATTATGCCACATATGCTCATACTGCTTTGGCTGCTCCGGGTTCATCAGGCGCAAGTCGGCTGGCTTTAGTGGGCGTTGGCGGACCTTTAGTCACAATATTATGCATGACTTGGTGAGTAGGTTTGCAGGGCGCGTGGGTGACTGATAATTTCGTGAAACTCCATGAAGGTTTGGGAAAGGGTAAATGGAGCCCGATCGAATATTTTTTATACTGAACTTGCGTTGTGCCACATCAATTGGTAGACCAATCCGGGAAAGGAATTTATTTCAAATTTTTGGGACGTGAACATCAGCCATTGTAAAAAAAGGAAACTAGCCCTAGGCCTTGACCTAAAGTAAGCAACTTTTGACCCTTACGCAGCTTGAATTTGTAGGCCGAAAGCTTTGAGGTGGCGTTTGTCAGGTCCTGGAGGAATTACACTAATCTCGGCATCAGGTTCGACCAAAAACTTGAAACCGCCTACTGTATCAGAGCGGAATAATAGGTGACTAGATTTAGCGCCTAAGCCATTCGTAGCCGTTGTGGGTCAGTTGTCACGATTAGCAAATGAGCACTTGAAAGGCCTGTAGGTGCGTAGTTTAACCAATTTTTAGTTAGGGTTACATCTGGTTTTTAGGTGTATCCACAGCGTGAACGACGTGAGGTGCACTCGAGGTGACCGATTGAATCCGACCTCATTCAGATTTGTTAATAATATTTGTCCACTGACCGCCACAGGGCCATGACGAGTACGATTGGCAAATACCCACTATGGCGCCTGTCTACAGAAAACCCAAAATAGCATTGCTGCGGCGTCAAAAATTACAAAATCGTCTCATCGGATTTCCTGTATGGACTACCAGGCATTAGTACAACAAGGTTGACTCGATAGTTTACCACGAAGGTGCGTTATACTATTCAAATTTCATTTGTTTCCTGTGTTTCCCAACACCATACCGACCTGGCTGTCAATTATGATGAGCTAAAAAAAAAAATTTAATCAATGTCTCTATCGGTGCAAAGTGATCCCAGAAAGTCGGAGATTTGTTTTGAGAAGCTAACGACCGCCCACGAACAAGTCCCAAGAAAAAAAAACATTCCCGAAAGAGAAAACAACTCGCTGAAGGACCAGATCGATTTTACTTAAGCCTCACACGGTTGCTGCTCAATAGCAGTGGCATTAAAGTTCTCTTTAAAGGTTGTTCTGGACCACTTTCTACACTTAGATATGACACAGGAGTGATTTACGATACAGTAGTAAATACAACAAAGAATTTACAAAAGTGAGGTGCATAATGTGGGCGTTGGCACACACACACACACACTACTCTTTAATTTCGCAGGTCAACTCGGGGACGAAATTAAGCGTCAGCACGTAAGGCTGACTGGCCGCGAAGACAGGTGCCAGAAGTTTCTGGAAGAACACAGGCGAGTGACCGTCTTTCTTCTTCTCCGTGATCGATGGAAACCAATCCGATTCAATTTGACGGCTGGCGAAAAAGGCCACCGAATTTTCCGAGGGGCTTGTTCGTACCACCTCGCTGAAAAGAGCACAGAGAAAAAAGGAGATGCTTTTTAAATTTACAACCATTGCTTTCCACGCCAGCTACCGATGTAAGCCAGCAAAAACTTAACTTAAAGGCAAGCACGCATTATTCTGAAAATCCTTGGTCAAGATTTGCTGACTAATAGTAAGACCTGACCCCGTCCTTATGTCTCATTCCTTGCACCCAAGATAAGAGTTCAGTTTCGGGGAGTGGAATTTGTTCTACCGTATGGACGAAACTTTGGCAACGCAGGTGAGGTGGGTGACAAAGGGGTGGAACAATTACTAGAGCGGCTAGTTTCGAAGCATGCAGATCGGAAGTCGTCTCAGGCTGCTCCTGACAGTACACCGGCAACTGACGGCCTCTCGGAGTTCTCCTATGATCAGGAGAATGGCGTAAGGATCGAGTCCTGGTATTGGCGTTACGAAGACGTGATCCGGGCCGATCTTGCATCCCAGAGCAACGCGTGAAAGGTCAGTCTCCTCACCCGCAAACTGGGTCAAGCAGAACTGAAGAGACACACGGACACGATCCTCCAAGTCCTCGTTCGACTTCACTTTTGGAGAAACCGTTCAAAATCTCAAGCGGATGCTTGGAGAACGCACCACCTTGTTCAGTACTCTTAACCGATGTCTCAAACTTGCAATAGGAGAGTTCGACGACTTCCTTGACCATTTAGCAGTCGTCAGCCGAGAGTGCGAGAAAAGTCAATCCAAATCAGTGACTGATGACCAGCTCAAAACTCTCGTTTTCATTTGCAGCCTTCAAATCCCTAAGTACACGGGATCTGCAAACACGGCTGCTACATCTGATTGATCAAAATCCCTCTGTGACGCTGGGTGATATCCGCGATGAATACCTAAACTGGAGCAGCGTGCTGCATGACTCCAGAATGGTCCAAGCTGGGGGCCGCAGTCCTCCCGAAGTTAATGCGGTTCAACGTATCCAAAAACCACCTTCCACTTCTGACCCTCCCAGCCCTTGTCAGCCAAAGTCGGACCGAGAATCAGCCGACACAATTCGTCAAAGGAGAACAAGGGACAACCCTCCTTCTGCGTGTTGGCACTGTGGAGCCAGGCATTATGTCAAGTTCTGCCCTTACAAGCAGCACCGATGCCAGAAATGCAAAGTTATGGGTCATTATGACTGATTCTGCCAATCACCCCCATCTAACAGGAGTGGACGCCACCCCCATCTCCGCACAAAAGATCAAAAGCAAACCACCCAGCCCCACCATCGCTTCCCTCAGCCTACGGGTCACCTCCGAAGACACTACAGCAGCAGAGGATGTATGCAACTGTCCTCATCAATGGCCATTCGGTTCGTCTGCAGCTAGACACAGCCTCGGATTTTGCCATCATTTCGGAGAACCAATGGCGCTCCCTCGGTCGGCCTCCACTCAGGGCGGTGAAATTCACTTCCGCGGAACAACCTTTAGTGGCAAGTGTTATGTCATCAACGCCAATTGGAATTTTCTTGGTCTGGAATGGTTCGGACAATTGGGTTTGGCCGATATCCAGACCAGCTCCATCTGCAATGCCCTAAACTTGTCGAAACCATCCTGCGAAAATACCACGGACATCATTAGTAACCAGCCCACCACCAAGGAAGATGCCGTCATCGCCGCCGTCTACGTCAACGAAGGTATAACACAACAGATATCTCATATATTTTGTGCGCTGGCGGTTTCGATTCTTAACATCAAACAGGAAATGGCCTTGGGCAACACTACAACAGGCCATCCGTTACGTCCAAGGCAAATTGCCAAAACGCCCCCCCATCGGAGATCCTCAGCAGTTATTCCAGCGACGCGATTCCCTCTGCGTTATAGACGGTTGCTTGATGTTCGAAGAACGCGTTGTGGTGCCCAAATCACTACGCTTGCGGGTTCTTCACCAATTTCACACTGGCCATCCCGGCATCGGTCGCATGGAGTCTCTTGCCCGCAGCTACGCTTACTGGCCAAATATGGATCAGCAAATTGCAGACCTAATCAAGAGTTGTCGCCAATGTCAGCAGGCCGCCAAGAACCCTCCCAAGGATCCTTCGGTCCTTTGGCCACAACCACAAAAACCCTGGTCACGCATCCATACCGACTTTGCGGGACCGATCAACGGAGTCTCGTACCTTGTGCTAGTGGACGCCTACTCAAAATGGCCGGAAATCGTCCCAATGACTACCCCACAACAACGAGGACATTACAGGCTCTATCCCGGATTTTCAGCCACTATGGGATTCCGGAAACCATAGTCTCAGACAACAGATCACAGTTTACATCGCAACAATTCAAGGAATTCTGTCGACAACATGCTATTACACACATGCATTCCCCACCCTACCGCCCACAGTCAAACGGACAAGCGGAAAGGTTCGTCGACACATTGAAGTGAGACCTGCTAAAATCCCGTGGGAAAGGAACAACGTGCATCTAAAGTCTACAGAATTTTTTTGTTGGTGTATCGTACAACTCTAAACGTAGCTCTTCCACATCGACAGTCGCCATCTGGGGCACTCATGGGTCGTAAATTGCGGACAATAAATTCCGCTATAATCCCGGTACAAGACAACTGTCTGGAGCCTCCGAGTACGAAATCTACCAATCCATTTGAGATTGGAACGGCCATGCACGTTCGAGACTATCGACCAAGGCACAACCCATGGATCGGGAGGAAGACTGCATGTCGATACGGAAAGGTTATGTTTGACGTGACGGGGGGTCACGACACGTGATTAAGGTATTGCAACCAGCTCCAATGAAGAAAAGGATCTGCGACACTAAATCGCCAGACCAGCGTCCAACAGGATGTACTTTTGGACACTCCAGGTGCCGACATCGATGGCAACGTTAGTGAAAACGAACACAGATAAACTAGCAGCAGACAGGTCTACATCCCCAAGGCAGAGTAGTCGAAAACGACGAAAACCGCCACTACTCCAAGTCGACCCAAAGAAGAGGCGTTACTGGCTTTCAAGGAGAGGTGTTGGGGATCCAGGATTCCCCAAGATTGCCCATCGATTATTTACATCAATTCCCTGACATCCATTTTATTACGCTTTTCATCGGGTCAAGGTTGACCTTGACCTGAATTAGTGTATACTTTTGTGAATTAACTCGCATGTGGCTGACGTGATTAAAGCTCTCTACACGAGCTCTGGTCTTGTTCTTGTATTAGCGTGGGAAGGTCGATTCTAGCGTCAACAAAGGATTTGGTACCGTTATTACGGGCAAAAGTAACAGAAAGGCACAGATAAAATATGTTCAACCATCTACTAAGAGTATAAGCAAAACCTTCAAAAACGCGGAAGTTTACAATCGCAGTTAGAACAAGAGGTGTTCGTTAGTCTCTTGGTTGGATACTCTCGAAAGTCCCACAGTTAAGGAAATGACACAAATAGCTGCCTAGTTAACTCCAGTTGACAGCTGTAGAAGAGGCATTGAACGGTTTATCCAATAAGTGAGATTGCCATTTGAATGTAAACGTGAGCGACAGTTAATCACAGGCTACGAGGAATTAATGCTTTTGATCAAACATACGTGAGCAGATCTTCCAGTTTTTGACATTGTTCTAGCGTAAAAATCCCGGATATTGTCAGGATCGTTGCACCTCTCAGACAAATTGCCTGTCGTTGCGAAGACGAAGAGGCACGACGCGAAGACAGCGGTGATAAGTAGCTATCACTGAATTGATGACAAAAATGTTATAGATGAGGCTGATCTACGAATAACTTATTTAACCACTGAATGACGTACTTGGCAGGGTAGACGCCAGCGGCCATCTGCTGAAGTGTCGAGTGCGCGATGCGGGCAGATTCGTGGTCGACCGAGGAACCTGAGGGATGGTCCACCGCGGAGTTTGCTTCGATAAATCGAGGCACCTCGGCACCAGCTTCCAGGTTGCACACCTCCACTGTTGGAATCGCCTAAAGGCAAAACATGACCCCACACAACGTGAGCTTTGTGCACTGAGGCCCAAGTAATCGGAATTGACGAATGTAAAGGTCTAGGCTGCTATGTTGACATACCTTCAGAATGGTCAACATAAAAGTACTACGACCGACACCATTGTCGGTCAAACGGAACCAGTCGAGGCACCCGCACAAGCTACACGAGAACGGTGGGTGTGTGGGCTGTGAGGTGGGTTGTCACGTAAAATGTGCCGTATCAAAAGACGCGGATAAAAATAAGTAATCAAACCGGACTGTAAACATACTTTGTTATGACAGAGGAAGAACAAGTTAAATATCAATTAAAAAGTAATACTGGTGAAACATCTGGCTTGATTGGGAGATGAGGGATGTAAGATACCTACAATGCGAAAATCGGAGGCGAGGAAGCGAGCCAGGGAGTATGGATGAGGCGCCTCCGACAGTCCCCCATTCTCAGCCCGCGTCCAGTCGATGTTTTTATTCACCGCCCAACGCACCACACAGGGACCGGGAGGGCGACGAGAGGTAACCTCTTCGCTATTGAAGAAATTACGCAATCTCATGTGTGCATTGTCGTTCCGTTTGAAAGTTGGCCAGCCGAGGTGAATGTTGAAATCTACGTGAAAAGTAGAATTAACAGAGTTCGAAAGTGAACCTTTGCTTTTCAGACCCTCATCAGCAAAACACAGAGGGCGACGAAATTAGCTATGGACACAAGCTACCCCAGGCTGACTGAACAACACTTATCTCGAGGCATTACTGGGTAGGCCGCTGTCATCAGACGCGTCCTCTAGAGTAGGAAGACACGCCGAGAAGGCCTTTACCCTACAAACATTTGTCTGGAAAAACCAGTACACCGGCTATTCCACCGGAGCGTTATTTTCCTTACTCATTAGTTTAAGGCGTGGGGAAGCGTGCCGAGGAGTCGACACAGCTAAAAATATTACCCTTGCAGTGATCCCGTCACGAGAAACCAACGAGCCAAAGCCATGCACCTCCTCAAACTCCCTCAAAGAAACTGCTGTAGAGACGATTTCGTACTGGGAAATGCATACGAAATCGCGTTTCGACTCGACGGAACTCAGAAATGTTGTCTGCTATCAGATTTTAGAAATTCTACTATTCTACATTGTAAGTAGTATAGCGTGCATGAGTAAAATTATCGAAAATAAACTTACGATACATTTTCCTGTTGTTGCACATAAATTTAACGCCTGCGAGTCCAAAGGCAGAATAGACAGAAGCAGACATGTTGATAGTTAGCATATCTAAAGTAGGAAAAGTAGGGAGCTAAGTGTATATGGAATCATATATTACGTCGATACAGCCGACTGACTATGCTAAACAGATGGGGATAGCCATTACAAGACAAACCGTTACCTCAAGGAGAAAGATTTGTAGTGCATGGGTGCTAAAAATATAAATAGCCGGAAAAGCAGCCAGCGGTGAACCAGCGAAGCGGTGTACATATCACAGAGTTTACGAAAATAATTACTTTTTCGTACGAAAACTTCGAGGTCGTTGTGGTGTGCCAGCGGGATAATATCAACAACACCTAAAATAGGGAAAACGGTTATATAAACTCAGGAAAACTCATAACCAGTTACATGTAGGAATTAGGTCAATTGAGAAAAAGGCCGTAATGTTCTACGTCACAGGTTTAGAACAGTCAATAAGCCTTGATAATCAGGGGAAATTAAATTCATGCACAGAAATGTTAAATACGAGCAGTGCAATTGCAATCCCCGGCAAGAGGTGAGCTTCAAGTAATGCTAGACGAACGAGCTACATGTCTTTTTCACAGGGCATTATGAATGTGGAAAGTGATATAGAGAATCCCCGATAAATGAGAATTCCTCCAAGATCAAGAGAAATTAGACGGTAAAACCTGATAGAAATTTGGCGTGGTATATAAGCAAGCCGATCACTTTAAACGATTAGTATTTTAATACAAAACTACTCTGGTTTTGTAACGTCCCATTATATTTTGCAAATACTTCAGGGTTCAAAACAGCTTTAGTCTTAGTGGTCTACAGCATACAAAAAACATTGACCTCTATCGGAATATGAACAAAGAGGTAAACGACTAACACCTGATAGCTTTCTGAAAAGTATTTCGGTTTACAATCAGAAGCATTGGAAAAGTGATGCCAAAACCAGCTTAAATGACTGACAGAAAATAATGGTATCTCGCGAGGACTGTCATGCATATTGCGAAAGTACTGAGCAACGAGATCAAAAAAAGCCTGTGGTATAGGGACAAAAACTCACGGAAATACGTATATATTCCTTACCTCTGTGGCAGAATCCGGCAATAAAATCATCATCAACAAGATACGAGAGGGGTAATAAAGGAACAAGATAATTTTGCAACTGCAACTCTGTAATCCCATCGCATAGCTTGGCCTCTTCTAACTGTGGACTCAGAACGATAAAAATCTAGAGGACATATGTACTAAGAAAGCACTGTACCTTAGATGCAAAGTCCATGCGGCTTAAAATTCAAAGGCTAAAAAAATAAAAATTCGATGAAATGAGAGCAAGCAGGCACAATTCACAGAGGGTGGAAAGCGATCAAATATAAACTCGTTCTGAGCAGGGAATACTAAATCGACCTGAAAATTCACAAATGATTTGCATTAATTTAAAGACTACGATATCAAAAGCACAATAAGAACAAGCCTTGTTTAAAGTAACGACTCAAAGGAGCAACAAAGTGGTTTAACATAAATAGGATGCACCATAAGTCACACCTTTGGAATAAATGCCAAACAATGTTTATTGGGTAAACAGAGTTCAAAGAAAGGTATTTTTAACCCCAACAAATCATAATAAAGACGGAAAAATAAATTACAGCACACGAAATTCTATAACAAGAATCTCAGTTGCAAGTCGATTGGTTGAACCCACAATGTCAAAAATCCGAGAGGTTAAAACAAGATGTTTGAACACAAATTGGTCGAAGAAATGTGAAATTTCTTTTAAAGCCATAACCCGGTACCGTGTTAACTACATGATTTTGAAAAAAACATTGACAAATAATGTATGGGCCAGCAGTACAAAGACCGTTTGAAAGGTGAACTTATAACAAAAAATTTAGGACAGGTCTCATTATATTTATGGAGTTCAAATTTTTGATTAATTGAGAACACTTTAATCTACGATTACAGAATGACACACAAAATACAGATGTAAGTGTAGCACGTAATTATGTTTAAAACCTAAGGCCTAAATTCATCAAAGGAATTCATTTTATGTAATCGGATTGCTGAATAAAAATCTTTCTAACACTGTGGTTCGTGTTACTAGGACCTATCACGGAATAATAATACTTAAAGGTCTTATGAGTTAGGATGAAACAATATGGTACCCTAAATACCTTTTCGCATTACTAGTAAAATCAGCCAACTTTAGGTCTATAAAAATGCAAAATCTTTCTAGGGGCCTCATCCCTCTTCCGAATTTACAGATTGCATAGTTTAAATGAGCGTCGAATCTAGGCTTACAGATTCATAGGGGCTTTGATAATCCATATATGCATAGACACGAATGTTCAAATAATATTCAATCTCAAATCAATAATCAAAAAAAATTGAACAGATTGAAGCATGGCAATTTTTGATGCTAGGATCATGTGGTATGCAATGTTTGCTCAACTAGATCTTAGTTCGAGTACTGCATAATGATTTTACAGCTTTTTGTAGACCCCAGTATGTTGTCTTGAACCTTCGTGAAGCCGCAGAATTGAATCTGCTACTTCTTTTTATGAGTTATACTTTGCCGTGGTATTGTATTCTTCTAATTTTAGCTATATATATGGGTAAACAAGACCATCTAATGCAGAAAGGCATAATATTTAGGCGATTTTCATTTTGTTTTGCAAGAAAATAAAATAGTGCAACAATTTCTATTTATCGCATTTTGAGTAAAACTCTGAAAACAACCAGCAAAAAATAGTCTCAAGTTAAATGAAATTGCAATGTGCATTACACGCAAATTTAATGCGTCACGGGAGTATTATGATGAATATTAGTCAGAAAACGAAGTGTTTACGGAGGTTGCAGACCAAAGCATGCTAATATATTTTTTATTAAAATCCTTGGTTGTTTCTTTAGGGATAAGTCCCTCCTTAGTAACCTGCAGTGTTTTCTGAGAGAGAGAATTTCCGATGGCTCAATTTCCGATATCTCGTTTAACTATCCAAGTAAGTTAATATCTGCAAGTGAAGTAATCTTTGTATTTGTTCTAGGAAAACAATCATTCAGAAGATGGAATCTACACATCGAAAATATGCAGTGCCTTGGGAAAATTAAAAAACGTTGAACGAATGCCGCTCGTTGTAGAAAATTTTGATGATCTTAAGCTCTAACTCACTTTAATTCAGTTCCAAAAAGTCAAATTTGCGTTGTCCAAACACCTAAGTGCGCATTCAGGTGGGCAGTTAAAGCAAAATTGCCATGTGAATGTTCTAAATGAATCACTACTTGCAGCATTCTGCTTACCTTAAAGGCCTCTCAGAAGTCTTCAAAAATATCCGTTATTTCAGTGCCCAGGGAAGCGCTCAGTACACCAACAATAATAATTCCCTCGAGGTTGCCGAAATCGAATGTTGCGATCAATTGCTACTGAATATACGTTCGAATTAGATCATTCCACGCATAAATTCAAAAAAAACATTATTTTTTACATGAACAGTGTAGTTTAAACACGACACAGGTCCAAAAATTATGTGCTTCAAACCCATTTAATTGCATTATGTAATTTGCACAGCCGCTTGTGACGCGTTCTCTAAGCATTGGGCATTGTTCGTGCACGTCATATTAACACGTATCATTAACAACAAATCTTAATGTTTCAGACGTCCTTTTGTCTAATTCGTGAAATCATTCATTGAGTTTTGATGTATTAAATTAGTTCTCCGAATTTGTACTACCAGAGTACTCACAAAAACATTCATTTTACTCACATTAGTTTATACAATTTTTTCCGAATTTGATTAAATGAAGCATACATTAAGAATTAACTGTGATAAAATGAAAATATATTTTTTTTAAAATATCAGTGAGCACTAAGAAATCCTCCTGAGAGTGTCACTAATTTGGCCTTGCGCAGAAACGCTAATCTTATTGTCCTGTATTGCCTGATAGCTTAAAACCCTAAGGCCAATTTTTTGGCTTATTTTCAGCAAAATTACAATGAATGCTAATAAACCTATAAAGTCAACAATTAATTATCAGATAAAAAATAACAATTTGGAATTTAAAGGTATAATGAAAGATTGTAGTACTAGTGCCCCTTTAACTTTGTTTTCATTTATGTACATTTTTTTCAGCTAGACGAAATAATTTTTGTCTGAATGGAATCCCGATGTTGACACTGAGGCCCAATCTTATAATAGCTTGATAAGACGTTCTCTGAAGTGACTATTCTTTTATTCCTACAGGTAGAAAGCGTGAACAAAATGAGCATGAGCTATTTGACGTGTTAACAGGAATGTTAATTCAGTAAAAAAATTTAGTTCGCTGGCTGTAGACGCAGAGGTAGGATGGATAGGATCAGCAGATTCCGTAGGAATTAACAAATATATTTGTCAAATCAGGCAGCCAGGAAGTTAAGGCAGGGATACGGGATGATAACGATGCATAATTTCAACTTCTAGCACATTTGAAAGCGTTTTAGACCCGTTTTTGAAATAGATACTAGGTATGCGGTGACACATTACAATAAGGGTGTCACAGTTAAAAGTGGTTTGAACGTTTGTAATCTCCATTAGCACTCTAACGGCAATTTTTAATGCTGGAACCCGCACAAAGCCTTAAAAATTACTTCAAACACATTAAGCCATGTTCATGTTCCTATTACATGATCTTTCGATAAGCAGGATAAATTGAAAACCCTTAGAAATGTATTGTGCAAAATAGTGCATAAATTTGTTCTGCAAAATAAAATTTGCACAGTCCTATAGTTGCGTTGTCTGTTTTGCCAACGAGTTTATTTATTCCCCGTTTTTCTAGCAGATCGATCATGCGTGGTATTTCAATTCATTTAATACTGATTTCTTTAGCAGATGAGAAAAATTGCGCAAGATCGTATAATAAAATAATTTTATATTACAGGCTTATTTTTACTGAAATTTTACTTGATGACGAAACCACTGTAAGGTTGATTCTCTGCACTATCGTTATTCATAGTCAAACTCACGACGCATTGACCTTGGTCCTCGAAATTAAGGAACAACGGTTTGCTTAACTGTCGCTTTAACTGCAAGTCTCAATCAATGAGTAAAAGTCACTTTTCAAAGCAAATTTTTTATAGGATCTTAACTAGTACTCTTGTTACCTAACATGCGTACATATGAAATTTAACTGAAGAAGCCAATGCACCTATCTCTAAGTAATATTTACGGGCTTGGTTCACTAATTTAAGCACTCATAGACATTGATAGTATTTAAAATGACATTTTATAGTCAAGCGGATAATACGTATTTGATCTTTATGTTAGCTGGGGTGTCAATGAACGTTGTAAATTTTTTATTCATTCTTATAGCTGTGAATGAATAAGATGTGTGATTTTTAATACGCTGCTATTGGCCACAGTTAAATAAATAATAAAGAGGAGAGGTGGGTTTGCGGCGTTTACAAAGATTACGTTGAATGAGGGAGGTTCCTGTACCTCTTGTTGATATCTAGTTTGCCCCTTTTGAGTGTTGCGTTATTTAGCGGGGTATGGTTCGGTCTCGTCAGAAAGGCGCTATTTTGATTTAAAATGAAGATTTTTATTCGTTTCTGTTTAATTCCAATTAAGTCGCCAACCCATTCAATCATGCATACGAGTCTGTTTTTAATGTTTATTTCACATTTCGGTTGATTTTAGATGCCTCCTTCTTGAAAAGAAACTTTTGAATGGAATATCTTTTGGACCCTCTCATTTGTCACATACAACGACCTGTTAAAAAACCCCTCTTCAGTTGTGATTCCTTGCCTTATACTCCTCCCAAAGTCCACAAGGAATGTTTGGACCATATTTTGACCCTAGCAGAAGAAAGTCTATTTACGTGGGCAGACTGGACGATATCGCTACCGCCATCACAATTGACCTCAAGCTTCGATAACAACGAAGCACCCAACGTCGGAAAAATATTTGTACACGAAGATTTTAAGGAGTGTCACAGGCTGGCAAAAGATAGCCACTGCAAGAGCCGCCGGTTAAACAAAACACAGCTTCTTCAACTACACAGTCTGGGCCAATTCGACATAGAAAGCAAATCTTTTCCAGGACATGTCCATAGTTGGCGGATTTGTGGTGCCTTGCAGAAGGGTACACTTAGAACTTTGGAGAGCCTCAAAAAAGTATGCTCTCCGTCATGACATTTCATTTAAATTAGGATATGCAGAAGGCACTTTTTTATCTAGTGATTAAGGCTAAAGACCGCTTTTTCGGAGATTACTTCAGCATTAAGGTCGCCATCTTTGCATTTACGGATTTTCTTCAGGTCCTTTTTGGTAAGTGCTGTTTACATGCCCAATATTTTTACAATGTTTAATCTGTGCAGATAAATGACAACACTATTCCATTTTGAGAAATTTTTACGTGAAATGTCAACATTGTGTAGAAATGTATGCATTAAAGCATTGAAAAGGGCCTTTCATAGCACCAATCAGGTAGGAAATAGTGTTTATGACAGGATATTGTAATGCAAACTGAATTATTAATGGCTTTAAGTAACCTCGATGTTTTATGAATCAGATTTTTACTCAAAAATTGTGAGCTTTAAACGCTTTATTGCACTGATAAGATAGTGACCATAGCATTTTTAGATGAACTCTTAAACTGGACCCACTAGCGAATGTTGCGTGCATAAACACATATTTAAAAAATGAAGAAAATGTATACATACTTTATGCTAGTCGCAGATTTGAATGAGCACTTTCCCATGGTTGCTTCTGCATACTTTTGTGACTATGGGAATTGATTCATTTGCCAAAAACTTTCATTTTCAAAGCTTCTTTTTTTACTAACAAACTTGTCAAACTTATTTGTAATAAAACAGATTCAGAAGTTGAGTCGATTTTGAAATAGAAAAAGTGACTACTGAAGGTTGAATGGATTGACAAATGCCATATTTTCATCCCTGAAATATTTCGTGCATTCCATAGATTAATCTCTCAAGTCCTTGCTTGATTTCATTTATTCGGTTATAAAATCTACTGTTACAATCGTTTACGTAATTTTCAGTCATCTGGAATGTGGCCACGACATGCTTTGTCCTCGCTTATTGATTTATCCTCTCATATACAATTCTGGCATCTCATAGTTCTGTGCGATTCGTTCTTCTGTTATTCAGATACTATTCTTTCCAAATGTTTTCATCAAGCCTGGTCGTATTCATCTTCATCAGATTCATTGTCAAGCTTTTTCTCGTGCATCAAACATTACAACTGTCGCGCTCTTCTCTCCCTAGTTTTAGCAGGAGGTGAACCCAATCTCGGAACTGAATTATGAAATTATGTGCTCAAACTGGATATTTTCAAATGCGCATAGGCTGTGTGGTTTCATACTTTGTGCGCATTGTAACCCGACTGTCCCACACCTATTTTTGGGAGCGTGTAGAGCCGTCACCCGGCAATGTGCTGAGGCGATCTGGCCCGTAAGAGGTTGCCTGGATTATTTTTCGTCATCGACCTCCTTGATGACACAAAGACAGTTTCAAAGAACGGGCACATTTTTGTGTCCAAGCTTTAACCCACCTTCCTATCTTAAGCCTACTGCTTAGATACTGTGACAGTTACCTCAGATTATATTTAAAGGGTGGTGAGAAGGAAATCCGTAAATCCGATGCTCTCCGTTTGGACGTTTTTTTTCTGTGAATGTTTTTGTTGTTTGAACCGATGTTTTTAGGTTAGTAAATGATGCATACTGCTACTTTTTCTTAAGGAGACATAATCTGTGATGGTAGAAGGCACACCAAATGCACCTTCCTTCTTGATGTACGCACAAGAGGACGTACACACAAACTAAGGCATTAGTTATGTTGCGTGGACTTACGTCCATCAAAGTGAGAGCATGCAGGCGTACGTTCAACGTTTCAATTGCGCGCAATGAGGTTACATTGATCGGTTAGCAGGGAGAGAGAAGGCTAAAAGTAGCCATTGGATTAGTTCTAATGCCCTTCCCGCCAGGCTTCTCTTGCAACGCATTTCTTCAAGCATAAGGTCGACGTACAAATGCATCTACGAAAAATCGTACCACTGTAGTGGAACCCGTGGCATGCAAATACATGGGTGGTTATTCTGGCGTAGAGGAAAATTCATTGTAAATGGTGAAACAAGTTGCCTTAAAATAGAGGATGGCTTAATTGTAAAGACTGTAACAATTTCAAAAATTTCTGGTAATATCATTGGAGTCGGTTCAAAGTTGTATCAGTTTCCTCATTGCCACTAGAATTAATTTCGATTTTTAACAGCCCTGAATACATGCCTCGACAACTTATTTTGGACGACTTTTAATAGAAAAAAATGCGCTTATCAACAGACATTACATCACTAGCTGCGTCGAAACCTCAAAGGTTTTGACAAGCTGTGGACTCGTAAGTTAGAACTCGAATAAAGACAGCGAACAAAAGATTTTTTTAACAATTCTGGGTGTGCGAAAGCCTTTCATTTTTATTAGTCAATTACATTAATTTCACTCCTTCACGAGGACACTTAAACTGGTTCTGGGAGAGTTCACCTGAGAATTCGTGGGTTGACGCTTTTCCTAGACTTATCATTCATACATTTTCTACATTCTGCTATTACCAAATGGCAAATTTATCCAGGATGGTCTAGATGTAACCGAACCCCATTTATTATTACTGAAACTTCAGAAAAATTGAGCAGAAATTAATTACCCTTAGACGATACCACATCTGTAGTTTAAGTAATGGCTTACATTTTTAATACTTGTTGCTAATTAATTTAATAAATTTACTTTTCATGCAGTCATAATTTTAATGATAATTAGGGTTTAGTTACACTTGAGCCACTCTGAATACGTGGACTTTGCTTCTGTTAAACTGGGTACTTGATTAGAGGATGTTGTTCGATTTGTGGATGGAGGACAATCCATAAGTCGGTAGAAGCCCACACTCAAAGTCAAATATTAATCAAATTTCAAACATGACCTCACTTGTGGGACACTATGCATTGGCGGTGATCAAAGCTTTGTGTTTTTTTTCGGTGATTGGATTAATGTGAAGTTCGAATAACATTTGAGAGACATAACGTTGATGAATTACATGGAAATATTTCGCGGCTCCTCTGCTATTTTATGCTTTTAAATAAGCACAAAACTATGGATCCCAAAAACGTATTTTGAACTAAGCCACACTGAGATAACTTGACCATTAATTATATTAACCAACACAACTGAGACCTCATGACCGGTATAATTGATGCCTCCTGCGACCAAGAAGCAAAGAGTTTTCACCAAATAGCGTATATTTAACTCTTTTAATAGCCAATACTCGGACCATATAGTAAGGAATATCAGTCTTCACTGCCTAGTTGCTCTTTCATTTAAACTAAACAAGCAAAACCACTTGAATAATTCCTACTGTTAAATGGAAATTATCATACTAGCCTAGGCATGCATCCATCAAAAGAAGCTTAGTTAGTGGAAGCAACACTTTAAATCTTCTTGTTGACTAAAAACTTCACTCACTTCACGGATGCTTAGTGTGTTCAGCAGAAGAAAAACCTTTCAACTTAGCGTTTCCGAAACTTCGTTTTGTGGTTAAGCTGCTGAAGGTGGGTCAGCTGGTGGCTAATTTGGTTTGTCGACATAGTCTATAAAGCAGACAATGCATTTGAAAAGTCGGACACTGCTGATTCAGGCTCCACTGGTCAAAGAATGAAATGACCTAATGAGGACTTCAAAAGCTCTGAACATCCGCCTCATTTGACGACCCCAATACCGGTCATCCGGGCAGTGGCTGTGCGTGCGTGCGTGCATTGTCAAACAATTGTGTGCGGTTGGCTTTAGACTGACAGTTAATTGGCATGAGTGCATCAAGGGCTTTACATAAGTTGATAAGGCCATGAGATGATCATGGCACTCCTGAAGCAATTTTGATTGTCTACACTCGAATTTCTGTTTGACGACGCGCCCATGTTACTCTAGCTGCAGGTAAGGAAATCCTTGGCGGGTATTGGCTTTCCGAGTCGGGACTTTGAGTTGTGTCTCTTGATGTGCACAAAACGTATTCAGCATCATTCAATTTAGGTAATTTGCTATCGTTACCATCAAAGACACTATTTCAACTGGGTTACTTCGTAATTTAAAAGAACACGCAACAGTACAAATCGTGGTATGGTGTCTGCCTAATCTAGACGCGATGGTCTGCATTTTATTTTTTTAGTAGCTCCAGGTAAAGGATCCTTGATCATAATATTTTCCAGGTTCTCGTTCCTCCGACTTTCATTCTTGCTTGCAAAACAATTCTCTTTCTAGTAAGGGTGATATGCGCCATCGGCAGAACACAGGAACAAGATCGTAGCTTTCACTCTCGACCTGATGACGTGCATTGATACATATTAACAGGTCATTTTACATCAAATTTCATTGGTGAAATTCCCACCACCAACTGACTCACCTTGGTGAAAATCCGGATATTTCACTCATCCTAAAGGCATGCACAAATATGTTTTCCTTATCGCCATCGACCTCTAATTGTTTTTCTCTCCAGATCTCTTCATTGGCTGGCCTCACGTTCATCAAGATGAAATTGACAGGAGGCTTCTGGAGGAACGGTTGGAGTTTTCAACAAGTGACCTTACAGTGAAAGTGAGTTGTGTTGGTGATTTACCAATAGCCAATATTGATAGTATACCCAATAGGCACTGCGTCGACCAAGCCAAATTATTGTTGGAACAAAATGTTAGGGCACGAAAGTCGGCCCAATTTCCTCAAAGCCACATACCCAGAGAAGTTCTCCATCTGTACTCGGTTTTATTTCCAGTAAGCCATTTTACCTGGCTATCGGAACAAGGCGGCATCTACGTAATGAGGAAGTAAAATAGTTGCATAGATGTGAACTGCTTAACACGATGGAGTTACCTTGTTGGGATGATTGACATGGCTGCAGCCAATTTTGCCTTAAAAAAGGGGATAAGTGACTGGCGAAATGAATCAGCTTAAAAAATTTAGTGACTGTGTTTTTTAACATGCCTTGCCAAAAGGTTAAAAGTTGTATGTCTTTTCCAAAAAATACACCTAATTTAGTGTAATGAATGGTTGGGAGAGTAAAAACCGATGATTGTTTAATGCAGCTTTGAATGAGTGGGATCGTCACGGTAACGAAGGCCATTTGATGTTTTGTTGCATGATCTCCGCAGGAAACTTGACACTATAAGAAAGCCAGGTATCATTCGAGTGTTTCACTGAGTTTTGATACCATGATTTGTTTATTGACTTCAGTCAATAAGTGTAGCTAGACAGAGGTCTGACTAAAGTAATTAGGCAATTAGCAGGACTTTTGAAGTTCGCTTAATTATGATGCATGTTAATCACCACTCTTGAATAAAGACAGCAATGCTAGAAGCCTAATATCACTTCTGTAGAAGTCTCGGTGGCATAACCTAGTACTGTTTCTCAGGTCTCAAATCCAACGAGCTAATGCTGCACCAGAATTTACGCTGGTGATTGGTGGGTGCGTGTGTGTGCGTGGTCAGTGACCCCAGGGACTTCACGATTTCTCACACCTTAACTCGTGCAACCCAGCGTGTCGACCTTATCGGTCGCCAGTCAACCATCAAAGGGCTTCCGCTGAATGGAAGCCGAACATCAACGTGAGAATCCTCAGATGTCGTCCAGTAGTTGGCCCAGAGCGGCTTGAGTAGTCATGATGTTGGGTGCTTTTCGATTTCAACGATGTCATATGCATTTGCATGAAATGAAGAATCTTATAGTGGATTCTGCCAATCCAAGCTGTGAGAATTTTTGGAAAAACGCATTTTTACTTACGAACAAATGCTCACTTGATCACATATTTCACAGACGTAACAATTTCTAAAAATGTTTTCTTGTTAATATCAATTTATCGAAAACACAATTTAGTGTATTTGAAATTGCCAACAATCGATTAGGGCAAGACCTAGTGGACATGAGTGATCAATTTCGACAAATCCAAGTACACTTATACGTAAGCATTATCAGTACACTTGAACAATTATGTTCCAACAGTTAGTGATGTCTTAATAAAGTCTAGGGTATTGTATCATGTTATATTTAAGACATATGGATCAGTTTATAATAACACACCAAATCATGATATGCTACCTCGAACATGAAAGGATAGGCCAATTTTGATGAATCTAACGAAATTTTCAGGGGCTCTACACCAAGTCGTGGAGCCTTTGGTCCCGTAACCTTTTGAATCAGACTACACTTTTGCACTATTACTAATGATTTTGGCGATCTTGTCATATTTGTGGCAGTTGGATGAAGCCAAGTTTAATACTCATCTTAAAAAAACTATGGGCAGAATTGTCATCTTTAGCAAAAGATATTTTAAAAGGTAAATGTCGAAAATTTCTGCCATGGGTGTGTGTTTATGAAGTAAAACGGCCTACTAAAATAAGCACAGAGGAAATAAGATAACCTCTGCTGACAGGATGATTGAGAGTTCTTAAAAAGCGCAAGCAATAATGTCACTCCGATGCTAGGAAAGAAGCCACTGATTTACTCTAAAAATCACCTGTTTTCGGTAGATTGTGGGTTTGAAAAAAGACGAGAGTTACACAAATATAGAAACTTCCACCAAATTTGATTTTGGGGTTAGGCAGTTGATTCACTTTAAGCACGATGTCGCCTTTCCACATTACTCGTTACTGTTTATATAAGGTGACTAATTTCATCAAAAATTATACCGAGAGTATTATGTTAACACGTGAATCATGAGCGTAAATGTGAGATTAAGCGGATAGCTTACAATAAAGCGTGACTTTATTGTTCTGACAGCGGTGTAATGCAAAAGAGTACCCGGAATAAAAAACGTGTGAACTAGACACAGATCTGTTATTTTAGCGTGAAGTCGATTTAACTCGCGATTCTTCATATGTGCAAGTGAGCTAGGAAAAATTACAACAACTTCGATGAATTGCGTACAAATCGAAGCCACTGAAAAAGCTTATGACAATTAGCATGGTTGGTGCATGTCTAGTGGTCAGCTCTAAGGCAACCCAGGGTATAGCATCGATGTGCCGCGCATAAGGCAGTGCTTTTTGAGAAAATGTCACGTACATTGTTTCTAAAGCCCCTTGCTCCGTTTATAGCTGGGTGTGGGAATTTTGTGGCGCGGCTGAGTGGCACTGTCGATTGTCCTCTGAGGAGGGTAATCTGACTCCATTCATCAACCTGTGTTTATCTCACACCTTTCGTGCAGTGCTGCCTTACAGTTTAAGCCGGTCTCAGTCGGGTGTAGCCCCACGTAACCAGCGGTGAAATCTGCGAACTAAGCATTGTTCTATCAGACAAGGAAGAAGTGTGGCAATCTGACACGTTACATAGGTTCGAGAAGCGATGCTTTTAATTTGCATGTTGTAAGGTTTTCAATAAAGAAGTTCCAAGTAATTAGGTGTTAACATGGGAAATTTAAGTTATTTGTCCTTATTTAGTTATTAAAGTACTCTACGATCGTCTGTTAGCATGGACGTAACCAATTTCTGTCAACACAAGACTTGTAATGTACAAAATAAACTGGTCCTATTTCAATGCAGAATTGCGTTTTAAGACAATGGTTTGTGGGCTATAAACTATGCAAGTTAAGTTTATCATATAATAACTATTTTAATTATATTGCAGTTATTCGACCAAACACAACTCCAGTTTAGGTACCACCGGTGTCTCTTAGTCATAAGCTCTCAAGGAAGCAATTTTAGGGTTTGTACTAAACATTTTGATCCAAGTTTTAAAACTTTAAGGGAATAATTTTAGGATTTTGGAAAAAATGAGACATGTAAATTGATATTGCTTCCGATTAATTTACCAAAAAAAAAATATGTCTTGACAATTTATGAGTTAAAAACAAATAATTTCAAGCTCTAATAAGTAAATCTAAAAGTTTTACTAAAGTGGACTGTTAAAACACTTGTCTGTCTCACGGTCAATCACTCACAACGTTAAATGAGAAAAAAGTCAAGCCACTCTCATAAGAATGGTAACAGGATATACTTTTAACCTACAATGTCGTCATGTTATGACACAAGAAAATCAAAATGAGGGTCTGGAAAGAAGTAAGGAGCCAGGAGCAGCTCTTGAATGGAGGCGGATCTGACAAAAGCAGTGGTGAGCTGTTGAGAACAGGGTTACCCGGTTTATAGTGCTTAAAACAGCTATTTTGTTCGTAGTAGGGGTTTGAACCTCATGCAACCGATTACCTTAACCGGGTTACATTAAAAACAAACAAGGTTTGCCAAATGCTCAGACCTCCGTTGTGCCAAGTATTTAGTATTTTGTGCACATATTCAAGTTAAGCTTGGGCTAGATTGTATTTTATAAAGCTCTTTATCGTTTTGATATTTTAGTCTACTAATAGACAAATTCTGGAATCCTTCTGGAATTACGTTGAACGGGTGTCGTATTTACCTGAGGATATAAATTTGGTGAGTTACTGAGAAGCCCACAAGTATTTTTGTTAAAAGTTCATATTGACAGATCAAAAAACTGATTTTAGATACAAAAATTAAATAGAAGCGATTAAGTAATACTAAAATATAAGTTAATGGATGTTAGTAAATAATTTAATAGCTGAATTTATGATAGTTTACTGGGCTTTGATGCATGAACAATAGACCCTTTTAAATGTTCAGCAAGAATATTAACTAGGTTCTAGGGGGACACGAAACGCACATCCTTAGACTTGAGCTATGCTCACATCCACCGCATCCATGTGCAGCAAGGTAACAATTGAGGCCACGACATGTTTTTGCTCGAATCGCACATAGTGAAAGGTGTAAAACGCAACGGAAGATGTGCACGCGAAGTCAAACAGAGGTGTTATTAGTACGAGTGATAGAGTCCCTAAAAGATCAATTAAAACTACTCGCTTGGAATTTGTTCAACAATCTCGCTTTCTAAAAGTCACATTTGGTATCCTTTCTTAGTGCTTAGTAAAGGAATTCTCTTTTAGTACCTCAAATTAATGACCCAGTATGACTCACCATGTGAAACGCCTATATTGACTAAGCGAAGAGTTTAAGCTAAGGATTATTCGAAAACAAATGCTTTCATGAAATGGCATTTTAAGCATCTGTGAGAACAAAATTGAATTAAAACGAACGTGCAAAATGGTGTGTGTGTGTTGAACTAGCCTAATGACGTTTACTCGACTCCATCAGCGCGGGAGCAGTGTGTGACCGTCTGTGAGAGGTGTAATTTTTCATAAAAATGTACATTAAATGGTTGATGTCAAACCATTTCAGGAAATATTTACACATTTAGTTGAAAAAAACTATGAAAATTTACCAGCTCATCATCTTGTCCGAAATCTACATTTTCATGTGATCAACTCCGCTATTGGAAGTCCTCTAAAAAAGCATTATGCCATAAGCGGTTAGCTTACATATTGGTGCAATAAGACGTTTCCTGAAGTATGGTATGTGGGAAATATGAGCATGCCCATCGTGGTTGCAATATGCCTTGGATAATTTATTCATGATATGCATAACCGCATAATCTTGTACTACAACTTTTGGGAAGATCAAACAGTCATGTTTTTAAGCTGTAAGAATACAAGGCTGGGTGATATGAGTGGATGAAGACTTATTTACCCAGTCAAGGATAGTCAATCGGTTTAGCCATGTTTTCACACATCTGCCACCAAATCCAGCTTAAACTATGGATGTTTTGGTTTTCATTGTTTGTAACTTTGTAAAGAGTCTACTCAGTGCTAGTGCAACCAGCAATCAGTCTGCTCTTCTGATCTGTGTGCATGAGTATGTCGTGTTAGATTTCCGTTTTGATATATGCGTGTGTGTGTATGCAGTTGTACAACCTGTTGTATGCTTTCAAAAGAGTTTTTCGCAATCGGTTAAGGGTTTTGTACTTACAAACACGCAATAAATTTGTGGAAACACCGAGTTTTGCAGAATGTTTTCAAAACTGCTGAGTTCGCATATTTGCTGTTCCATTAAAGTGCAGAGGTTTTTGAAAAAAAAATACAATGTTTTAGGGTCAGGTAAATTTAATATTTGTAGTATGGTCAAGACGTAAGGAAACTGACAAGTTTCAATCTCAACAGATATGCAATGAGTAGAATTGCAAAAGGTGGAAGTTATTTCTACAAAATAAGCCTGCCTTGGACCAGAAAAGTACCTATGAATACCATTTTTGTTCCCTTGAATAATGTTAAGGCTGATTTTATAAAAACAACTACCTGTCTGGTTCAGTTGCCTTTTCCGTAATTGTGCATTAAATTGGTTTATATAACTGGCTTCGAAACATTTAATTCACACTGTCAAATGGCTCGCTTACCTCAAAGCACCTTTGTCTGCACCTGGATCCACTTGCTGCCAGCCCGCTGTATCTACCTGCCTCATAAACACTAAATGCATTCTTTTCGGCAAGGCCGCTGCGATGCTTACCAATCAAAACATAAGTTAGGCGGATAAGGCTACCCACTATTCACGTTATTAACATTTTTAAGGAATGTTTTTTCACTGTGCTTCTAATGTCAAGGATTTTCCCACTTTGGGACCGAATAAATGGTTCGAGCTTAAACATGAGACAGAAGCTGTTGTTGAACATCTGGAAGTTCCAAGAAATTTCGGATGCTCAAATCTCACTGTATTGGCCAGTCAATCAACAATAATGGCGCGTGCGACAACTTGACTGATTGCCACTTTATCTCATTTAAAATATACAAGAAGCATTTAAAGAGTCTTCCGACATCATTTTAACGAAAATAAACAGGTTTTTCTGAAGGAGATGCGATGTAGGTAGCCCGTCATGGATTTCCAACGAATTTTTTAGGCAGAAGAAGAGGGCCAGGCGCCAATGCCGCCTTTCACGTTTGTCACGCCCTCCAAGCTCCCCATTGACCTCCGGCTCTACGACAACCAGCTGCTCGAGCGTTGTCTTGTCGTCATAAATCAGCTGCGACGAGAGGTCCACGAGGGTTGGTTTGACGGATTCAAAAGCACTCTATGTGCAAGCCTAAAAAGTAAGGCGGCAAATCTAGAATTTCACATTCACATTACAAAGAAAAAAGGATGCTTTGCCGTGGATATCCGAGATATTAGTGATAGACATGCCAACATTATTTACGGTTTCACTGAAAGAAAAAACGGATTGATTAGCGTATATACAATAGAGTGCCCGGTTAGACTGTTAGCTACATTTCACTGCACAAGGCATGCTGGAGACATGACACGATTATAACCTTTCACCAAAATTTTCAAACATTTACAATTTTCTTATTAAGTTCCAATTTTTCTAGCTTTGAATTTGTAAATTTATTAGTCACAAATTTATTCACAATTGGCTTACGGATTTAATCAATGTTTCTACACTGTTCAATGTTACAATTCAATATATGAGCTATTCACCGATATCCGAACACGTCTACCACAGAGAGACTCGTCCTTAAAAAGTTGTTTCTATTCCCCTAGACCTGATCTCGTGGGGTTACAAGAAATGACCGTCTAATTAAAAATGCACACATTGAGAATTTGGCCTGATACAGGATAGACCTCGAACAGATTTTAAACTAAATAGTGTTCAACTATTGGCACAACCCAAGCTTAAAATGCCACATATTTACCATGCACGAGCAAACGTTCAGACGGTGTACCAATTAACAAACCGAGATTAACAAGGTGGAGCCTAGTTAATGCTGAGACAGGTGAACTTTACAAATCTTGATGCATTGACACTCAATAGGTGTAGCAAAGACTAACTTGGTATGTTGCATTCAAGGATAAACTATATTGACTCTCACTGGAAACGTTATTTCATTTTTAGAAAAAAGTCCAACCTTGTAATTACTAAAAACATCGCATGGAATTCTAAACTCAAACTGCATTCATTACAATCAGATTGGAAGGCAAATCTATTGGATAATTGCTAGGTGTTAGCACCATACTTCCCCAAAAGAAACCAGTAATGGACTCTTTTTAGCCGTACGTTACTAATCAACGTTGCTTTAACTGGTTATTATTTCCATGACCTAAAGTCCATACCTGTTAAATTGCTGGGAAGTAGTCGTCCCAACCCATATTTGTGGACCTTTGTATTAACATTGTTAGATACGTTTGTGTTTTATTTCAAAGTATTTGCATTCAATGACCGTTACTGCAATGTTTACAAGTTGTCTTAAATTTGCAGGCTCCGGAAAGACTGACGCTGAGACTAAGGAGGTAAGTCGTCTTCATCCATTGGCTCAATGTGCACTTTCTTAACTAATGTCACTAGACAAGTAGTTGCGTGATATGTTTTGGCTGACTAACAAGCAAACACGGATTTTATCCCCTATAGGAATGCACAAACATTCTTTACATGCAGGTAACGGAAGCCGATGGCTAATCTACGAAGAAACCTAACAGCTGTCAGTTTAAAATGCTTTATTTACCAGAATACGTGCCAGCAAATGGAGCCGTTAAAATGTATGCACAGTAGTTTCCTTAGTTTTGTGCATTTCAACTTGGATTTGACATGGGAAGAAAGACATTTTCGGATCTCAGATAATTAGATTTTTATAAAGGGATGGTAACAGGCGATCCAAGAAATAAGATGGTACCACTTTGCCGGAGTCAAAACAACTTTCATGTGCACAAAACCAGCAATCGACCGGCTCTTGGGCTCCAAATATAGAATTATTATAATTTTGCAGCTAAGTACATCTAGTCGCATCGCGTGGTGATGGTTTCACGTTAGGTGCTTCACAAGCCAGTCAAATACAATAAACTATTCTCCGCGTTCTTTGGGTGTTATTCACTTGCTAATTGTTTCAGCCATGCCTTTACTTAAATATTGCATTTCGAATTGGTTGCGCGTGTCTGACGAGAAAGACACCGAGAACTTTGAATAGTACAGTAGGGTATTGGTGAAACTACTCTTTCAATACCCATTACCGACCGTCCCATTGTCTTGGGAAATCAAATTCACCATCTACGCACGAGAATAAGGCTTTTCTTTGATTGAAATTGTAGATGTGAGTGAAGGTATGTGAAATCTCAAAGTAAAGCGGCAACTTCATTGTGTTTGTTTAGCTATGTGCTAAAATACATTATTAACTTCATTTTCCCTGTAGATAATCTATGCCCGCGGTCTTAGGGAATATGCAACGCGCCTATTTAAAGCCATCCGGGACAGCGAGGCTATTCAAGCAATCAGTCCAACAATTGGTAAAAATTTTCCTTAACCCTAGCTAAATTAAAATTCTATCCAAAAATTCACAAACTTCCAAGTAGGTAGCTCGAAAAATTGAATAGATCATTCGAAAGAAACGACACGCAAATCCATAGAAGGAAATTCGTGAAAGTCCCTTCAAGCGTCAAGCCTTATCAGAGAATGCCATTCAGGATTTGGGTGTCGGTAGATAAAAACTTAACCTTTTTAGCTCAATGATGACCGGAATCGCGCGATTTTCCCAGAATAGTGTACCAATTAAAATCTGTCGTACCCGAGGATTCACAAATAATTATAACTGGTCCAGTTCAGATTTTTGTCATCTTTGGAAATAGGGGTCAAAGAGGAAAGGTAAACCATTGACAATGCAGTTTTTTCCTTTCATTCGAGGTAACATCAAAACACTAACATTTTCAACACGAAATAACCGTTGTGGTTAATTTCAATTGATCACACCTATTCCTTACTAATTGAGTGTCAAGTGAAAAAACTATCTTTAAAGCTCCATAAAAGAGTAGTCAATAATGAGTTGTGTGAGCATTTTGGTTGCCAATTAGGCGAGGCTCTCATCCAGCAGGCCACCTTCAGCCTGGCAGTGGCGGAATCGAAGGCGAGCCTCTCCGCGTCCTGGTTGGCCCACAAAGCTGCCGCGGAGTTGCGAATGAAAAAAACCCACCCCATTCTTTGGAGCATTCCGCAGTGGCGAAAACAACACATGGTGAAAGCCAAAACAGCATTTATGAAGGTACCAGTTAATTTTTTATCCGCTACACCTTAGAACAACCCTGCAAGTCTGGCCTGGAGGGAAGCGATTAGGCGCTTCAGAGTATGCAATTGTAGGGCTTTGGTGTACGTTCACTGTCTCACGTGTTTTTAACCTCGTTCCTCTGTTCACTTAAAAGTGGTTTCATTGGTATTGTTAACTTCTCATGACCAAAAACCAAATGATATCCATCACGAAGGCCTCAAGTCGACCGCACAAAACCTACGACCTACCTTTCAGAAATCCTATGGGAAAGAAAAGGTTTGTCCTCTCCATTCGACAATGGGGCAAGCTGTGGCGAGCAGCAAGTGATTCAATCGATCTAAGTGAATGTACTTCCAGTAACTATGTTCATTCAAGGACCTATGCATAGCGAAGCTATATAAACACGCAGATCGTCGACCCTGGTGTGGTTCCCACAGCAGTTTCAGTAAAAGTTTGACATTGGGAGAACCCTGAGAAGCTCTGCTTTTGCCAAAGACTGTTTGTACGAATTTCAGTTTGTTTTCTTGTTAACAGCATGATGTGCCATTAAAGTTTCGGCCCGGTTGTGGTAGCTAGTACTGCATATAACCTCCCCGATCCCACTAAATGAATTGCACAACTTTATCTCAGAACAAAATTTTGCCTTTGCGACTTTCAATGCTGCTAGGTTATGGTCTCTACCTCCTTGAAAAAATTACACCGTGCTCAATCAAATTTTCGTCCCCGGTGGTTAGCTGTTTTAAGTAAGTTGGTTAATAAGGGGATCTACTAACGGAACTGTGGTGCACACATCTCCCTGTGTGCACTAGACGAAGAATTTAAGGACATTTTAAAACTGCAACAGCCCTAGTTGGCGTGGTCAAAAAACACTCACAGTTGGTGAACCTCAATAAGATTGATGTCCTTTCAGGTAGGTTTCAGGCTATACGAGGCATTCACCAGATTACCTGCGTTAAACTGATAGCTGCCTGGAAAAGTATTTTTCTTCCGGCAAGCAAAAAACGGATGGATTCGTATGTAGTAGTACGTTGCTTCTGGGGTGCGGTTGTCTTGTCAACGTTTTTATCCGTTTTTCTGCTGATTGCCATATCTTAAGAAAGAGTAACACGAGACCACGTCAAAAACCCGAATTAAAAATCTTTTACCGTTTTTTTACAAAATTGTGTGGTTTTGCGCAAATATGATACTGGAAACCTATGAAAACTAATCACAGAACTTGGTTGAAAATGCCATCATGAACCCATCAGCTGGGGCTAGAAACTCGAAAACAGAACATAACGAAGAAAAGAAAACTGGCAAGTTGGGGCATGACCACATAGCCATAGTAAATCGGTTAGGCTGACAGGCACAGCACTTTCCTCTAGGAAATTCGAACATGGAAAAGTTGTTTTTAGACAAACTCGCTTAATCATGTAAAGGAAATTGTGAAAAGCAGAATATTGTACGCGTGATTATGAGTTAATGTCGCACATTGCAAGTCTGTTAGCTTTCAAACGACTGAGTAGAACTTATGGAAAATGTCTCCAGTGACCCAGCTTTTCAAGTTTAATTTTAAGTGCTCAAGCTTGACCTAACAATGCATAAACCATGTGTGAGCCATCTTGTATCATGGTGGGTCTGGGAAAGGGGTGAATTTATTTACAAGAAAGCGGCCGTAACAAAAACTACGTGAGGCGGCAGGCCTACCAATCTTGTTGTGTTACATTATATGTAACACAAGGTGTAGAAGTTAAAACGGTGTTGTAACATTTTACAATGAAGCGGCAGGAGCCTGCTAATGGGCAAATGCGAAAACAACTAATGTTACAGGAAATGTGGTGCCATAAGGATGCAGTAACAAAGAAAAAACATAAAAGTAACAATGGTTTTCTGGCCACTATCCCCTTAACATGTTACACAATTTGTGGCTGGCTTTAATTGTATGTACTGGGAGTTGATGTTCTGAAAACAATGATTCACATGGTTTGAACAAGTATGCTCTGGGTTTTCAGATATGACATCAAAAAAGAGGGTGGATTGTATCGTTTAAGCCGTTTGCGTAGGAGACGCTAAAATTAACCAGAACATCAAAATTCAACTACTGATTTAGTAACATCAAAAATGCTACCCTTGTCGGACGGCTTGTTTATTGATCTGCTTTCTTATGTAGACATGGATTAAAGATGTTGATTCTGTGTTTTTGAGCATGGACAACAAGTGATTAATAATAAACAATAACTTTGCATAGGCTATGTTGTGCCTCTGTCGTATTTGTGCCGGCGTTTAATGTGAATCAAATGTTTTTTAAAAACTCTATTTGGGGTGTTTATCATGAAATGGCCTTGAAGTTGCCATGGCAACATTTGCATCTCCTGTGTTACCAAGTGCCTGTCTCACTCAAAAGCAGGCTAAGTGGAAAACGCATAACTCACTAATGCATTTTGAATTTAGCGCTGAAAGACTGACCAGGGCCCTAACATGTGAGATTCGTTTCGATGCCTGCGCAATAAAGAAACTGCATGGTTTGCAGGACTGAAGCTCTGTAGGTGTTTTATCAAAATGGAAAGTCTCGATATCACTGGGATATTTAGTTAAGTGCAATCACTTAGGGAAATTTTTTTGCCGTGTGACTACTTGTTGTGGACCCCAGCATGTGGTCTTGAACCACGCCAGGGCCACTGAATTGACCCTGGCCCGATGGCGCTTCCCTGATACCCGCGATGAAGAAAAAGATCGGAGAAGACGTGGGCACAGCCGTTTATTTCAGAGCTCAACCACGTTGGTGTCGTGTGTGGGGTTTTCGTGTATGTATTTATATCTCAGATGCGTGAGTCATAGATGCGCTGACATCGAGACCTAGGTGAGGATAATCCAAGATAAATATTCGAGCGAATGAGGGGGGAGTTGAGGATCTGCGCTGCTGGCGACATGCTGTGAAAAGGGGAACCCTGTGTCGGAGGATGGAGCGACCGGATTAAGGAGTGTGAATAAACACGATCACATAATTATTTGCACAAACAATGAAAAATGCCGGAAAAACAATGCGGTCAAGTGGCGTCCTGAAGGGTCTGTGGCTTCAGAAAATGTACAAGGGTGATTGGTATTTACTCAAAACACTATTGCATTCATATGAAAAATATCTTTTGCTGTTAATCTGGACAAAACGGAGGAGATAGAGTGGATCGGATGGTCTTATGTTTAGTACTTATTTTCGGATGGCAGTGGGATTTTATAAGTAAGATGTTTTGACTTTATCGTCATGCCATGACCCAGCGTTCAACGCGTTTATCAGCAATGACTCTAGCTATTCGTCAGTGATTTTGCACAGTTACGGTTTGTTGTGAGAAAAAGCAAACCAAACATGCTGGCAACGTGAAGGCAGTCGTAAGCACCTGGCTCAGAATTAGGCGCCTAGCTGTAGGCGGGCCTTGACTTTCGTAAAGCCTGGCGTGCACAATGAAGATTAATTGCCCTTATTCGGTTTGGTGCACGTAGCTGATTTCCTTCTTGCGTGCCTATGAATAGACGCATTTTACTAGTAATCTGTAAGTTGTGACATTTCATTCGATATCTCACCAAACCTGATCCTCGTGTTGTTAAACTAGCCCTTGTTAACTTGTGGTCCCATCACCAGAGTCCGATTACTCCCACGCATGAAAAATGAACCCCAGAGATCTGACAACATTATTATTTGCAAAGCAAGCTTGACAGAGCGTGAAGTGTTGCACGAATTTATTTATGATTTTCTAGGAGCACAGGCTTGATGTTCACAAATCAGTTATTGCAAAATGCAAGGAACTCGGTCTCTATCAATACCTACATTTTGTGAAACGAGATTTACTCTTCTTTACCGAGGTAAGCTACTTGGATTTCATCGTGGAGTTAAGTAAAATAAACATGACCTACGTAATGATATAGGGGTACCGCAATTCGGGCTCCATCGCATTTCTGTGTGAAATTTGCCTGACTAACGGTAAAAGGCCGATTGGTTTTGGCGGAGTCATGCATTCAATGAAATACTTGTTCTGAAATTATGGAATATCAATTTGAAAGCAAACATCCAAAATACCTGCTAACAAAATCTGCAAGATGTGGAAAGACTTAAAGAATGCATCATTAGCAAGTCAGTTCCAACGTATCGCCATGTAGATGTGTTGTAGCGAGAGAACCGAATCCGTGAAGAGCTTATCAAAACGGCCGTGATTCCGGACAACCGGTTCACCCACCAAGTGCCCTGCAAGCTGATGAGCCACTGGCGTGTCCACTGCCGCGATCCCGTCTTCCCCCATCGCCTCGAACGCGTCGACACGGTCCTTCTGATTGAATCGCCGTCCACTGAGCCACCTACGTGGCGAGCCAGCGTGGAATCGGGCACAGCAAAGAAACTGGCAATTGACCTGCCAGAGCACTCGCTACCGGCCACCGACAATCCACCGGGAGATTTTAGCAAAGTGAGTTATACTCAGTCCTCTTGGTCCCCAAATACTACTATTGTGCATTTTGGTCCCCAAATACTACTTTTGTGCAAGTCGAAACAAAACCGACTCGTTATTTGAATGCTTCTTTAACTTGATTTAATTCAAACAAAAAACTGTTTTAAGATACTTAAGTAAGACTAATAGCAGAAGGGCCTCAACTAAACAAGATTAAGGTGGCTATTATTATTGAGTAGACTTATTTATTTAGTCTTACTTCTGCAATCGAAATTCTTTGTTTGCAATATATTATGCACCTTTTGGCAGCAAATAATCGCCAGAATAGAGAGCATTATAAACTGAAAATGGTGTTCGATAACTGCTAAGACAATCCATCTATGGTAAACAAACATTCATTTGCCCTGTTTAATTTAGTTGTGCTCCTTAGGAATCTTGGTGGCAATTCGTGTTTTCTTGAATTTCCGTCGATGGACAAAACCTAAATTTCATTCATAGTCAAGTTTACAATTATTTTTTAGTCTCAGCCGGAATATAGTGTGACAAAACACTGGATTTTCAAATCTTCAACCCGTTATATATTTTGGCGATGGCATGCTTTCTTTATATCAACCTTGGCTTTTCTGCTCCACTTCTGCCAGCTGTTCCTTGTAAGTTATGCGACATCATTTTATAGCTGCATTACTACTGGTGGTACCAAAGTAGACACAATTAGGCAAACGTTAAGCACAGTGCCGTCTGCTGTTTGATCCTAGACTTGACTGGCTTTTCACTCGTGTTCACGCATGCGTCCGCCTGAGTAAATTTTGACTATGCAACCGGGGCCATTGCAAACTTGGTCGGCACGAAAACCTAAATCATAGAGTCAATTGATTTACGATTTAAGATTAGTTTGTTGTTGGCGTTCAATAAAACATTTTCAGGCAAAAGTTGATTTCCATTTTTAAACTGCCTGAAACATTATTGATCGAGGAACCATCACTGGCCCATTCACGCATTATTAGCAGTAGTCTGACCAAGTGTTTGCAACGACAAATCAAGCCAACAGGTTAATAGTGCTCCGTAAGTATGACCATCAGGTTGAGAAAATCGAATAAAATGGTGAGGTAAGAGAGTACTACAAATCCACAGTTACGCTGTGAATTTGAGCAGATACGAAACGAATGAGCATTGTCTCTTTTCGCCATTTACGCACCGCACCATAATTAATCATGTGTCGCTCTTTCTATTTTAGTACACAATCCCATTTAAAACTTCGGTCAGCTTTACAGCGCTTTTTCGAAAAAGTCCAATCTACCTTTCTGCCGAGATTGACCGGAAAACAGTAAGATACATTTACCGCTTTTGTACACTTCCATGTGGGAGTGTCGGAATAAGCGTTAATGCGTCTGCAAGTCAGGTAATTCAGTCAATGGACCCTGGACCAAAAGCACACCAATTCGAGAGTGTCGCAACTTCTCGAGTCGTTGAAAGGTTCCACAACTGTCACACTTTGAAATATCCAAGTCAACCAAACACGAACCCCGGTTTCGAATTCAGCGACTACCGTTTTGCCTGCTTTAGGGCTTTTGATCGACACGTTAAACATCCGACGGAAGTTTCAATTTCTGTAAAAATGCCTTTTTACAGATGACATCGGTCACGTGAACCGATGTAGCAAATAAGGCATCCGTGTTATCGAAAATCGAGTGCTCAAGTCCATGTATTTCGTTCACTCAGAAACACGTATTGTAAAAATGGGGAACGTTAGAAGAAAGCGAAATATATGGCGGCAACTCAAATTCTTCGGGCTGTTTAACAGCTAGATTTTGTGGAATGCGTAATATGTGGAATTACTAACAAGTATTTTATTTCTCGTTTAAGTAGGAAGATAGACATGTTGCATAATTTGTGAGTTTATAATCTTGAATAAGTTGTCTATCATGTGGAGATCGGGACTGTCTGTAGGGATTTTCAGAAACCAGATGCTTGTAGTCTGCAATTTCGAGGCTGTTCAGGGATAACAATTGGTCATTTAGTACATGCGAGGTTCGGTTTGCGAACAGGAGCTTTATACCAATGCACGCTCCACCGTGGTCAGCAGTGGTGTAGAAAATGAATTTTTTGTGTGTTCATATTCGCAGTAGTGGCAGACCCCAAATACGCGTGACTCAGTTTTCCTAATAGCCATCCGAACCATTAAATTCAGAATATTTGAATTTGCGTGCCTTCGCAAGGGTTGGTCAGAGGCATAGCTTCGTCAGCAAAATAAATTGTTTGCTAAAATGGCATAGGCTATTTATGGAATTTTGAGGCGAAAGCGCCGCTCACAGCCTTTGCTTTCATGGTCCAAACGGTCTTTTAATTGGCCACTCTTTCTTTAAATACACATACTTTAAATGCTTTCGCATTAATTATGGCCAATTTTTTTGTCAAATTTCACGGAAAGGGCAGCGGTGATATGGAAGGTAGCACTGAATCAATTTCTGACTTGTCTGTTATTGTCACCACAAATGTGTCGCGGACTCGAGCGTTCCCTTTGGACCCTACTGGAAATGCTTGTTCGACATATGTCCTCAGTTTAATCATGTTTGCTTTCAAATGAATACATTCTTGAGGTTTCCTATTTGCACATGATTTTAAAAACATTCGGGGAAATTTTTTTAGGGCGCATTAACGTAAAGGACAAGTTGGCAGACTGCAGGACTGGATCATGCTTAAATATGTACAAGTAGTTGAACGAAGTTTTAGTCATGCGATCTGACGAAGGCCTCGACGTGGTGCTTCCGCTGTGACATCTAAATTATTCTTGCTGTTGCGGCCTGATCCGCCACCAATTACTCACGTAAGCATAAGTTGAACAAAGACAACGCAGTCTCAACCGTTTATAGCGTCGACAAAACTTGTGTGATTAATTGTGATAGTTCACGTGCATTCATCGTTTGTGTGCCTGTGGCCTTGGAGCGTTAACACGGAGGCTCAGAGGGGGAACGAGGGTGAACACCCGGACACGGGGTCAAGTGACTTAGGGGAATCAGGCGAGGGGGCTGACCAAACAACCCGTCATTTCAGGCATGAACCGTGGTGACGGTCGTGAAGTGACCACATTCATCACTTATTGTAAGTGGCATTGTACTCAGTTGAATAGCGGTGAACCGGTTGCCACACGTTATGTGTTTTCTTCGATTTTATTAATTTTAGCGTACATTACCAACTTTCTAGGTATTTCGAATTCGTTTTATTGGTTTTCTGCATAATTTTCCAAACAGGGGTCACTATTTTGTGGTGACATAGGCTACCCATGAAACCCCAGAGAAGAATGTAAAGGCAAAACAACGGTTTATACCTCCGCCAGACATGACGTGGAATTGTGTTTTGTGCTTCAACTTAGGATGTCTGTGTGAAAAGTCTGAGGTGGAGGCACGTGGGAACCAATGAGTGGCATGGGTGGGATTCATATGCATGTGTTTCCAAGCTGACGGGTTTAGACAAGCATTCATCCATAAACCCCCACTGACGGTCCACTGCCAGTGTAACTTACACCTGTATAGTTATCTCTGTTGAATTTGGGTTAATCAGGTCAAAGTATAACTCATGGCCAACTTGCGGGAATTAGATATTGGTGCTATTTCTTGTTATTGATTTCTTTATTTATTATCGGTGACCTCTTTCGTTCTGGTATTTATTACACTCAACTTTATCTCGTGAGGTCAAATTCTTTCTTTGATGTTGTCAGCTGATCTGGCAAATAAATGTGCATGAAGTAGGTCGCTCTCCCTTTCTCAAGTTTACATTACTAAAGTGAATTTGGTGTGGCCTAAGCGAAGACGGCACAATGAACTTTGGGCTTGTATTTGTGTAGATTCAGTTTACAATAACACCTTCCTTCACTGAACAATGAGATTTTCAAAATCTGGCCCATTATAAAGTCCTGTTTATTCATCTGAAAATTTTTTTGACCCACGTAATCTGCAAACGGGGTTTGGCAATTAAACTTGATCCCTATTAAAAACCCTTCGTTTGCTGGCAATAAGGTTGGGTAGCTGCAAGTAATTGGCTCCTCTACCAACAAAATTAGTTTACCGAAGCCTGAGTTTATGGGCCAACGGTAGCCTGTGACAGCGCCCATTTACTGGGGTTAGCTGTGGGAAGGGCAGGCCATTCGCCCTGCACATTATACGATTTAGTGAAACGAGCGGTCAGCGCGTAATTACAGGGTTTTAAACGCATCTTCTGTGGATCTATTCTTTTCTCTCGCGCCACGGAGGCTGCGTATTCTATGACTTTACTAATGCGACAGAATCGAGACTAAGGTTTCACGACCGCGGAAATCAATCTGCACTGATCGGGTCAAAGTTTAGCGCGGCTAAAAAGTTTAGGAATTTAAAAAAAACGTACGACATTAATGAATATTTCGAGCCACATGTGCTTAGACTTGTCATGTTTTCTACAATAACCCTCGGGAAACTAATTGGAATATGTTTGGGCTGCCTTTCTGAAGAAAGAACATAATAAATTAATTAAGAACAAATGGAGCGCTTGCGGCCAACCAATATTTAGGTAACTTTTACTCTTTAAGTTTACTTGAAAGTGGATTAAAATCAAATTATGCCCTTAAGCAGACACGTATAGACGGGGTCCTCTCCAGTGTCATGTGAGACGAGCTTGAGGGTGGCAGAAAGCGAATTTTAGCCAGAGTCATCAACAAGATTATCGTGAAGGTACAGGGAAGCTTCAGAAGTGACGATGAGCTTCTTTTGTGCTTCAAAAGCAGTGTTGATGCGACTGTGTTTGACGTACCGCGAATTCATTTTCAGAAGTAATTACATCTGACCAAAAATCAATATCACTGTTTGTAATAAGTAAGTTAACTAATTACAGCACACCTCTTTTACAATAATTACTTGAATCGGGTAATGGCTGCTTATGAGATTTTTTAAAAGAAAGTTTTTAAAACTGGGTTATTCTGAAATTGGGTTCAATTATTTAGCATAATATTTAATACTGTGGTAAGTGACAAATTATAAAGAATTTATAAGAAAAGCTTAATAAAAAACAGTCATCACATTTGCACAAGCTGATTTTGCAATTTAGAAACTGTGTTTACACCATCGAAAATGTGCTTCTTCAATGATTTGGATAAACGTAAATACGGTCCGTTTACCAGTAGAACGAATGCAGACAGTCGTTGTGAATTTTCCTCGCCGAATAATAATCTGAGCATGAAACGGCGCCACTAGACCTACGCGCGAATTTCGTGTTTCGTCATCTTACGTCGCGGACATCTTTTCTACGACCTAATTATTTACACTGTCTGAGTTTACCTTAGATAGCCTCACTAGAAAACTTCAAACGTAACGACCGCCGAACAGAGCTCTTTACTCAGATTCTTTGATCAGTTACGCCCGATTGCCGAAAGCAGCGCTTTTGCACATTTATTCAGAAATTTTTACCGTGATAGCTGCTTAGTTTAACTAGTTTGATTAAAGTGTCGCAAATCATTCTTGGTTAATAGCATATTTGATTAATTGTGATATCAGAATAATAGTAAAGGAATTTTGATCACATGCCTAATAAATCAGCAGAATCCGTAGATTTTAGAGGCAGCTTTTAAAATAACACTGTTGTGTGATCGATTATAAATTCCATTAAATATATAATTAAATTTAAATGAACCTCAGTAACCACGCTAAGTGGACGATTTCAACCCGAAGGTCTATCTTCCACGCTTGGATACCTGCTTAGTGTGAGCATTTTTAGTTCCTCATTATGCAAGGGCTCTATTAGTTTGCTCTAAATCAAAAGTTCTAAACTAAACAAACCCAACAGGAAAGGGAAGTTTTAATAACTTACTAAGAACGAATGGTCAGGAAGTCCCTGAACAGGTTAATAGACACCTCTACACCAAAAAGATCAACGTGTCGCTTTCCTTGGTTTGCACGAAGTAGGAACAAGTAGCCTTCCAGAATAAAACACATTGTCGAGGGGTATAGTCATGCTGAATGTGATCTTCAAGGAACAGTTCTATTACTTTTAGGGCTACTTGCATTACACAACTGCCGAAAGGAACCATACCGTTCGAAGTCAACTCAGTCGCCTATGGGCGTCGGTTCGAACCATTGCAGATACCATGCAGCTTCAACGTCGGGGGATAGTCTCGTCCATTCAATACGCCTGTCTCTTATTCGGGGCTGGTATCCTGTCGATTTTCTTTGTGCTCCTCATGGTGCCAGTTTGTATATCACTTTCTACTCTGTCAGTGTGCCTTGGAGTTTCCGCTATCGTGCTGATTCCATTTGTCAGCATTGTGTTTCACGTGCTCGGTGTGATTCTGTGGGATCCATACAAACCAGGTAGGCTAACTTTTCAACTTTTATGCAGTTTTTGAATGTTCAATGCCTTTATAGCCGAAGCAGTTGTTACGTTAACTTGTAGCCTAGAATTGTCCTCAGGTTTCTTTCTAACCAGACCAAGCCATGTTATCAATATTTACGACTAATTATCACTTTTATTCAAATTGGGTTTGGTTTGAAGATTCGCGAAATTTCCTTCTCCCAAGTTTATTTTTAAATGGGCGCATTAACTTAACTGGAATCGAATCACATTTTGGTGCTCACAGTCGAAGGATTTCGAGTAAAAAAGCTAGTGGTTTATGCAAAAAATAGCACTAATGACCTTGGATAACACAATGTTCCTCACAATCACTGTATTTTCGGATTTCGTCGTTATCGTTGATGAAATGGGTATAACTAATTTTCATGTCGTAAATAATCTATTTTGTTAATTTTGGAATCCATGTCTAAGCAGTAAGAGTATCAGGTGAATAAATGAAATGGTACCTTAGACATAGCTATAACCTGACTGAATCAGCGTTGTCGGTGTAGCCCTGTCAATAAATGTAGCGGTTTCTCAGAGTATTGAGCTTTAACTTTTAAGCCCAAGAGACCTACAATTACACAAGGAGGCCATTTGAAAGCTACGGTGCTTACTTTGTTTTATCAAACTAACCATTCCTGTTTGTCTATGCACAGCAAAATCCTTTCATAAATCATAAAGGTCAAATTTTCCTGTCTGGGTGCTGGAAAATGTCACTCCAATGAGGTCCACGCATCAAGATTTCCCTACCTAATTAATGGCTGTTTATGTAAACCGGTATCTGGTGAACACAATAGAGACCTCACAATGGTAGGGGTTAAGTTTGAATGTGCCGGTGCTTCTAGACACTATCATCTACCCCAGTGCCTACAACGGCCACATTCAGTCACGTGTCATAGGCAGCGAAATGTCTACTCCATCCCTCAGAACATGGATACGCTGAGATAAAAGATTACAAAATTAGTATAATCTATCAGGCTGGTACAGAAGTAATGTCCACTCACGAGAATATTTTATAATGGAGAAACACTGCCGCTATTTCCTAATCGAGGTGCAATAAAGGTGAGGGTACGCAGTCATTTGAATACCTCAGTTTTGATTCTCACCGCTCCAGCACAATTCTTTTCCAACGAAGTTAGAGGTTGCGCCCTAATCGCGTGGCGTTTGTACTCTCCGTCTGATATCACGACTAAAATGACTGTTAGTAACTTATCAAGAATATGTGGATTGCAAGTTGCACACAATAAAGAAGTTATGGGTGGCATTTCTTCCCTTTCGCTGCCCATGAAGAAACTGAAAATTTATGTGTAGTTGCAGTTTGCACTAGTTGTATAACGGAGGGCAAGTATTGTTCATGTGACCATCTGATTGGGTGTGCTCTCTACCCCGAGGCTGCAGAAAATTCGCCGGTTTGCTCTCAGCCTTTACCCCATCAGCTGGTAAACGATTGATGCAGAAAGCCGTTTTCGCAATATGCCAACCCAGATTCACAATTCTTTGCTAATGTCATTTTAAGGCAAGAAATCAACTGTTTTTTTTTCTGATATAAACTTGTATGTCAGTCACAATTTTCGAGATGCAGTTTTATGCTTTGTATTCACTTAAGCAAAAACGAAATGTACAATGTAATTAGAGGAAACTATTAGAACCAATGTGAATGCAAATGGAAACCCAGAGCCTGACCGCTCTTCCTCACCATTGAGCAATGGATGATAAGGCGCAGGAAAGTATCCGTGCCTTTTACTGAATCAGAGTTTAGAGATTCAGTAATGGATGAGTCATCTAGAATACTCCTTTCGCATAACATTCACGTTCGGAAGGAAGACGCAGGAGAGTGCGTGACTCAGCTAGGATTTCGACCATTCACATTAATGGAGGCGGCATTCACGCGAATTATTGGCCGGCGTCGCAACTGAGTCATCCAGGCCAAGTAACTTTCTGCACTGAGACACGGTGAGGCTCCTTGAGTGCTCTGGCGCACGCAATTTCCTTTTAGCCACACATCCAAACCGTTTGCTTCCAATTTTTGAAGTCGTCGTCTGGCATCTTGGGATTCGATGCATTATCCAACTAACTGCGGCTCTACTTACCGGCTTTGTGGTTTTTCCCCTTGTCGCGTTGGCGACGGCAACTTTTGGGTTATTGCGATGGTGCTTCCGCTCTGCATGGGACGCCCTCGTATACCACCTCTGCTTAAAATTTTGCATCCGAATTCCTTCCGAGGACTCCTGTATCCTTCAAAGACGTGCAGGACCTGGTCTCTCACCTTCTCAGTTTTATAAGGTAAATAATTCTCACTTTTATAAGTCTATCAAATTGGCCAATCGGAGCCTGGGCTATACTTAAGTTTCTCTATTCAACAACTAATGGTAAATTTCACACGGTCGCAATAACGAGGGCATAGCAAATTCAAGTTCATCATTTGAGGTACAATGAAACGGCGAGACACTTATCTAAATTTTCACCTAGTTAATTTCTCTCAAATTAGATCAAATAATGCGGCTTCATTTTGATAAGAAGTGGAACTTAGTGTTGCAGCTTATGTCTCAACAGTCATCTCTTTGTTACCTACATTAACTAAATATATTATCAAAAAATGTAGGAGGCAAATCCATGTCCCTAGTAACGTAATGGTACATTCACTTGGCTGTAAAAAGAGATACTATAATTTATACGGTGCCAGAGTCAATTTCGGACGGAAATTAGACAACGTCTGTTTAATGTTTGAGTTGTCCTATTTATGGTTTGGTTCAGTATAGAAACTGATGCATATTTTTCTAAAGAAGCTCACAGCCTTTTACCTAGGTGAATGTTCACCACTTCCTTCAGTGTTTTGGTTGAGCTTCACCCCATTATTCATGATGATATTGTCCGAGAAGCCTGATTTGCTGACTGATACCGACATCGAAGTCATCTAAAAATTGTCCCTTCCGCGATCCCATTTAGGAGTTGGTCAAAATAAACACTGTCAGGAACCCGCTACAAATAGTTTTGACCGTTTGGGATAAAATTAGCCTATTATTCGATGTTTAGAATGGCTGCCAGGTTGGTTTCGAGTAATAAGCCTTTGATGATTTAATCGTGCGCTTCGTTTCTGTACAATTTTCTACAATCTGAGCCTTCTTATTATTTCCTATTGTGTCCATCGTGCTGAGCTATTCTTGTCAAAATGAATGGTGGGAGGTAACTTCGGCGATGATGGAGGTATCTTTGCACTAACAATGTGCGTTTTGAAGGAATGACCTGAGAAATTTCTTTCATTGCCTGCACTGATGTTGTTTTTCTACAATCTAGGCCTTGATTATTGTTTTGTGTTCTGCACAATGCCGTACGAACAGGCCACATCAAATGCACATAAACCGTTTGGTCGATTTCGAAACACAGGATTTCTAGACAGTGTAGTCGTATTTTGATCCTAGATTTGAGCTTAGCAACTCATTAGGATCAAATTGGAAAAGTTTACTTAATAAAGGCGTTTTTAAGTTCTGCATATTGTGCACTGTAAAGTGTACAACCAACTCCCAAGGGGTAAATTTTTGACATACATTTTATCTCAAAAGGAGGTCATCTTCCGTTTGCAGCAGACGGGGCTTGAGCATGACCAGATAAAGCGATAAATGTTTTTTTCGAAGATGGCAGTAATAGCCCTCCTTCTCGTTGAAGTTAACCGAATCAAAACAATTTGTTTTAAAAGGCCCCAATGAAACAATTTTTGCTAATCAGACCAATCACATATTGGGCTAGTGTACTGCACGATCAAATCAATCTATCAGTATTATGACTTTAGAAGTTGGATTTATTTGGGGACTTTTATAAATCACAACTAAAGGAAATGATAAAAAGATAAGCGTTTGTAGGATTCGTTGCTTAACTACTTCAGCATCGTCTAAGTGGACTTGAATCCAATGTAGTAGCCCCAAATGAATCAAATGTGAAATTGCTTTGGACTCCCGAATTTACTTATTTGTGTGGGGAACAGAAAAAGGTTATGGATCACAGCGGGTATGCGACGCGATCACGCTTCAGTACATAAAGAAAGGAAATAAGAGGTGCATCAGTCAGTGCTTTTCCTTTTCCATTTAGCAAAGCAATTAATGCCAGTTACTGTGGGATTTGGAAGTCATGACTTGATTAGGGAGAGAATTTGTTTGTGATTTTAGGAGCTGATCTAAAGGCATTTCATCCAACTGTGTGATGTTTTTCCCATGGAAAAGGTCATTTAAAAACTCGAGCTGCTTTGGATAAAGTCATTTTTGAACTCAGGTTTGTGTTGTGAGAATGCAATGCCACTTTGAATGCAGGATCGTACTTGTGCTTGAAGTAGATCCGGCGTTCAAAACACCGATTTCCTAATCCTCTTTTATAAGTGGAGCCATGAGTGCCTATTTTCATTGCATTCAGGCGCCAGGTACTTAACTTTAGAGGGGAACGTCACAAACAATTCGTGTACGCACTCACACGGTTCGAAGACAAATATCCACGTGATAGCGACACTGCACGGACAAACCCTTCCGGTTTCCGGAGCATCCCTGGGATGCCTCGTTCCGGTTTCGTGCTAGGTGCGCGTTGCAAATAACCCGCTGAGCAAAGCAAATTTTTCTACTACCAGTGACTTCAGGGCCAGGAGTTGAAAGTCACTCCTTGTTTGCTGATGCACATCAACAACCTGTGCTTCAGTGTGAGTGTAAACGCGAGTCCTGCTAATGTCGCCTAATGTGACTAACTGCGGTAGCTCTTACAGTAGCGTGGTTATGTTGGCTTCAGATACTGGGAAGAAAGCCGGAAATTCCTTCAAGACAGGTATTATGCAGAAGCTCCCAGGGTCCTAAGGTTGTAGTGGAACAAGGACTGCATCTTTATGGCTTTACAGGCTTCCTTTTATTTACCATTCAACGAGAGGCATTAAATGAAGTGATTTCTGTGAGAAATGTTGGAATTTGGTGGAGTCTCCTTGACACGACCATCAACTTTTGATTTTTCTGACTTTCTAGAGCTTGTTTTTAACTTATCGTGCGTCTTAATACTTTACCTCTTCAACAATAGAAACTCTTGGTTAATTATTTTAATGATTTTTTTTATCAGGTTATTAAATTTTTTTATCCTAAGTTGAAATAAAAAACGAGTCAAGGAGGGACTCTATCCTTGTCGTGAATTCAACTAATCTTTTTGGATATTTTCAAAGGCTTACGTAGGGCTCTGTTGTTGGTTGGCATCTAACATCAGGACTTTAGTAAATGCAATTCGTTTCCAAAATCATAGCAAATATTAAGACATCTCCTGGAGACCAAGTTGGCAGCCAAGTTTCGTAGAAAGCAATAGTAGTAGTTCTAGTTTAATCTTATGTCAAAAACCAAGTCCTTCTGAGTAAATTAAGAACCGCACGAACTGGAATGGTATCAGTGACCGTCATTTTTATCTCATGAAGCCTTAATCGTTCGTTTCCAAAGTAATTTAATTGGTGATTCGTGTGTTGCACGTGTTTTGCTGCTACTTTTGTGCAAACGTCAATTTTCAGGCTCGATTGGCGGATGCTTGTGTCATTTTGGCTAGTCAGCTAGAAACATTGGAGCTCGATGAATGGAAGCTACAAATGCAAGAAATCGCCCGTGAACCCATAATGGCGTACAAGTATGTGCCATTTCCAATGATCCCAATTTGAATGTTTCCTTTGCTGTTCATTGATTTCACTGAAATGTCGCAATTTCTGGATATGCTAATAAAAGGAATCATTGCATTTGAAATCCACGCAATGATAGGTACTAATCTTAACCCATTCGGTCAGATCGTTTGTCCAAGTAGTTACTAGAAAGACTAACTTGTAAAAATCTAATTTTATTAGGTTGATGCTGTTGCCATTTTCGTAACCAGCAAAATTTTAAATGCGGGTAAGAAATATTTTCGTTCTGTGGTGAACTACCTTAATTCACTTCCCTTTAATCTGTTACCGCATTTCACAGCGTCCCCACTCACTCATGCCGACACATCGGATCACACATCCTCGTACACATACCTGCCCTGCTTCCCGCACCGCTCATCTGGCCATGTAGCCGCTACTACTACGTTTAGTGGTTCGTCTGATTCGCGTGGGTCAGCAGCCTCCGTTAGGCACACACGAATTTGTACTCACAGTGATGCTAAAAACAAAAAGACAACAGTGCTGAGATATTCCCTAAATGGCTAAGTGCCTCCTTCTCTCCTCACGTCTTACTCCTTTCTAGGTACATCGTATCGTATCATGCTACAGCAGTTTTAGGGACCAACCGCCAAATCATGTCACTTTAAATTGTTGATAAGTTCTGCTTCCTATGGATTCGCTGCTTCAAACATGTGAAAGATTTGAGTTAGTGGTGGATGTTCATGGGTCTCCACAGTTAGGAAAAACCTGCAGTCAGATGTGTAGAACTACCTTTGTTGCAACACTCACCATGTTAATTCTGAAGGTTCATTAACACACAAGCACAAGCTACCTGTCAAGCATTAAGGTCGTTTTGGAAAATCTAGAAACAAATTAAGCCCTTGCATGAATTGAGTTAAAGTAAAAAGCTTAATTTTTTAAATTCAATTGAACGACCTATTTAGTGTCGAACCGTTTCTAGTCGTGTTCAACGTCAGTGTTATTACTGCCGTTTTGGATGCGTAAATCGACTAAATACGCGGTGTAGATGTCGCGCTATTATTTGCCTCAGCATGTGCTGGTTTCACTTCGTTCGCCGCACGTTTCCCATTTCCTTGTCTCTTTGACGAGTCCTTGAGCTCCGTGTGAGAACGTCTCACGACTGTTAAAGTGTGATCCAAGTCAAAACTGTAACATCCCACTTCTTCCTCGATTAGATTCACTTGAGGCGTTGCTTGCAACTACAATAAAAAAGAACAAAAATTAGCTCACCATCCAATAAATGTGGGATGGATTTTGTGTTCTTGTTTTATTCTCAAAGTGCCCAGATTTAGTTATAAGATTTTAATAAGAAGGACAAATTAAAGTAGCCTTTTGTTTGTGACTTTGTTGAGCGTGCAATGCATCTGCCCTCAGTCATTGGATTTCGTGCCTTGGACAGGGTAGGCGTGCAATCCCTGGTTTGATGGACGAGGCTCGCCAAACTCTTGTGCTGGAACTTCAGATTTAATGTACAATTGCAAGAAATAACGCCCTGGCAACGCTACCTAGCACTATCATCCAGAGAAAGTGCTCTTTACCGGGGAAACAATGCACAATCGCGGAGGTCTTATCGCTTGTATGCTTGATCGTCTGGTCGAAATGAGTGCTGAAATTGTTGAGCACAACTGTCACGAGCACAATAACACGTTGGCTGCCAGCTGAAGTTGTATTTTTGAGTAAACGCTGCTTCGCTCTCTTTGCGGCACGATACAGCATGAGATACCAAAGGGAAGAATATGACAAGAGAAGGAAACTGACCATTAATTCGATGTCTCAATGAGGTTGTGTTGCTGTGTATGGGTGTGTGTGGCGGGTGTAGTTGTTGCCCGATGTAATTTGCGTGACCTGCTAAAAGTACAATTGACTGCTTGGCCAGGTGAGTGAGCGGATGGCGGGGGAGGTGCATGCAGAGGAGTGCGGACGCAGACGGTCTCGCATGGCTGACGGGAACGCTGTGAAACGGGGGCGTTGTGCGTAACAGAGCATGCGGCAACCGGGTCGATGGTCGTGAATCGATACAACTCACTACAAGCTGAATAAATTTCTAGTTTATTCAGCTAATTGGGGTTTGCGGGCTTCCAAGATTTCAGTAATTAATTTGCTTTACCATGGTCAATAGACCTTGTTGATCAACCGTTTGTTTTGTTAGTGGCAATCAAAGACACGATTATTTCTCTGCTCCCTCTGTCCTTCAAAACCTAGTTACATAGAGGGTTGCTGTCATTACTTCACTCACCGAAATGGTTATTTCACCCATAGCCTTTGTTAATGGACCTGAGAGGCCGGGTAGAATACTGGTAAATGTATTGAAAATACGTCTAAAGTTTAATAATTTTAGGCAATGATGCGCTGTTTTTAAACCTTCTATTGCCTTATCAACCAAATCAGGAAGTTCTCTTTGCCGTTATAAATTTCAAATGGGAACGTTGTGGCTACAAAAGGCTAAACGGTAGAAGGGTGACTGGTTTTATTAATTATAAATCTCATGGGCGTCTTGCCGCCAGAGCCTACGGCAGTTGTCTTAATAATTAAGGCTTGCTCAGAGATCGTTGTTAGTAAAAAATCCTGACTTGTATTGGGTTGGCCAGTCAACTTTGGAGTTCACCTTGTGTGCCTTAAATCGCTGTCGCCTTAAATTGTGATTTTTGAATGCAGTTAGTGAATTCCTTCGTTTCAGTTTAATTGAACGATAAAATAGGGATGTGTGTCATTAGTACAGGTCACCACATTGGAACCGAAGCGATGTTGTAGTTGTTTACTAGTACGAGTCCGTGTAACCCCTGTATTATCACTGATTTATTGCAAGATTATACACTTTAAGTAATTAGTATATTCAGTTTTTTTAATCGAGTTTCTGAAAGAAGCTAAGTCTTTAGTATCCCAGACACATTAACAGTCCATAATTGTGATTGAAAACTGAAGAATAAATCGGCTAAGGTTATCCTTGAAAATTCTTGATGATGTTTGTCCACAATTTAGGTTTCTTTTTGGAAAATTCCATTCTTATAGTTTGCACTCAAAATAGTGAAACCGTTAGGCTATCCTGAGTGTAGGTTTTGCATTGCGGTTTTTAGATTTCCTTCATAGCTGAGATGAAATAAAAATGTTGTCAACACGACGGTTTGGATGATTGTTATGTTTTTTCTTTTTTACAGAACATTGGCCGAGAGCCTTGCATGGCTTTCACTGTCACCAGTCGACAAAGGAATTTTTAGTAAACTTCGTAGTCAGACAAAATCCTGGCTAGATGATGTTGAGGCTAAAGCGAACCAGTAAGCTTGCTTTACAGTCTGAATCTAAATTTGATGTTTGAATTTTTGCAGTACAGCGAAAATCGTGTTTCACAAATTCAATTCAACACCCTTAGGCTTTTTAAAGGACACTTGTAAAATTATATCGCTGGATCGTTGTCGTTACCTTGTCGGCGCTCATCAAAGGCGCAAAATACTACATTGGAATTGTAACATTATTCTGATTATTAGGGACTAGGGAGTACGTACTTACTGCTATCGGCCACCTCACTTCACTATAGCGCTAACATTTGCAAGAGGTCCTGTCTATGTTGCACCTAATAACCTCAGTCGAAGTAGGCGTGCCATTATTAGGCCACATTAGCCGCCTTTAGTTCCCTGTTATGTGTCATCCACACACTCAACTTCCCTGCCTCCTTTGGCTCTTTTAATTTATTATCCGCTCTAACAATTTGCACTGGCTCAAATCTCAACCTCATCGAAGACATTCACTTGTTATTCCTCAATTTGACATCTGCAGGAATGTAATATATGGGTGTCTGGCCAATTAAGCAGATCTTCTGATTACACAAAAGACACTTTAGCAATAGTTGGCCATGCTTGTAAGTAATTGGGGGCAAATATTACGAATTACCACCAAATTTCGGTTTCAAACGCACTTGGACCGGGGAAGAACGATTTATGTGAGTGACCTTCACATGCCAGAACTCCAATAGCGTGAGCACTTCGGGTTATAACTGCAGGGAGGTACTTGCAAGTGAATCCAGTGAAGCCGAGAATTGGGGTAAAAATTGAGCGCTGTGCTCCCTTTACACTTACCCACTGGGGCTACAGCAAATTGTTTTCACCGCTTGTCCTTCATTTTGCAGTGAATGATTTTTTAAGCTAAATTATATCCTAAAATCGCTACACTTTTATCACTGACATCGCATTCATTATGCGCATAAACCAGGGTCTTCACGCTCCCAATTAAATATGGCGTCAGAGCCTCCATTTCGCGGCGTCTTGCCTCTCGCTGTAAAATTAATCTTCGTTGATTACCGCTAAGCGCATTTGGGCGACTGGAGCCAAATGCCTGTGATGCTGATTTATAGGAAGTCTGAGAATACGTCTTGCGCTCGTGAGTCCATGGTGTCACAGATTGCCACGGTTGGGCTATTCCGATAGTAAACAGGGAGAAAAGCTGAATGCTTTATAACTTCACATACCCTTAAATGTAGATGAGTAGTCAATATATAGTTAGGAGCCAGATGCCTCGCTAGAGTCAGATCGCCAAGATGAATAACATTCAGCGATAAGTTCTAAAAATCTAGTATTTTAGCTATTGCTAGCGCTTCTTATGTTTTGGATTTACGCCATCAGTAAACTTACCTAAATTCCATCGGTGTGTTCAAGTGAGGCTATAATATTTAACCCGCGATAGCGGAAGGATTATAAGAGAAATTTTGCTCTTTTAAGTATTAGAACGATGATTTTGCACTGTGCATGTTTTTGTTGACTCAAGATACACATTTGTATATTTCCAAGCAGGCGAGAATTTGTTCGATGCTTGTCAAGTAATACTATTATTCTACAAAGTATTTAATATCAAACCGTTTAAATTAGACGGAGAGAGGCACTTCAGCCGATGTTCCCTCAGTGTCAAGCGAGTCGAATAAAGCTCTCTGCAGTCGAGCTACAGGTGAGTTTCTGTAGTTAGTGAATTATCTTTTCAATTTACGACTGAACGAATTGTTCGTTGATGAACTAACGGTACATAGCGTTGCCTTTGTTTACGTAATTTAAAAGCTGCTTGGTCTGTTGAGGCAGAATTGTTATCATGGCTGAATTCATAGTGTTTAAAACTGTCCAGGCATTGACATGTCTGCCAATCACAGCCTTGCTATAGCTATTTCCTAAATATTTAAAAGTATGCTTTAGGCAATATGTCCAGAAGGAATAGCTCTTTTGAACGCGGTCTGCAATTACGTTATAGGGACGGCAAAGGAAATTTATTACTCGGTTATGCAAAATCGCAACAAACTTTTAGATTAAATCAATATCTCATGCAAATCAAGGCATAGTTTTCAAGATTCCGAATACGTTCATCTAGATCATCCTCACCACTCTTAAAATAACAAGGATTCGAGAAATGCACATTGTCTTTTTTCTGTGTCTCCATTTTCTTTGCAGAGATTTGTCGTTGTTGGGGCCACACAAACCCAGAGGTTCTATGAAGCTCGAATCCTTCCCAGGTTACAGCTGCTTAATCGCAACTCTGATGAATGGTGGTCGAGTCGAGGTCTTTCGACAAACGACTTTCCTGGTATGTAAGTCCATGGATGTCTGCCATAATTTTGCATTTAAATAGGTCTCCTATGCACCACAAGATATCGAGAAGCGTTTACCTAGTGTAGCTTGAACAAACAATAATTCATTTTTGCTGGCCTTCAATGAGGAAATCCGCCCAAATCCCTGCTTGCATATTTGCATAAAAAGTTGTTTGGAGATCGCCAAGCAATTGTTACTGAAGATGCTTAAGCATGGGTCTAATGAGATTTCGGTGGCCTTTCAAATGGATTTGACCTGTTATATAAAGGAGCGATGCTGTTATTTTTTTCAATAGTGGAACTTCTTACTCTAATGCACAAAATGCCACTAACGTAGTAATCGAAACATATTTGTGAGCTGCACCAGAGTTAATGCAGAGAATTTTCAATGGATTTTTACCGGTACACCGTCAAATCTTTTAAATTCAAATCTGGTGGAGACAAAACTATTATAATAAATTCTGATCAGTGCTTTATTGTGTGGAAGGCTGGGGACTTCACACAGCTGGATGACCAGACGCCGAGTCGAGTACTGTGACCGAAACGCGAATAGGTTCCCATTGCCTACAAACAATCCGGCTTTCACTATCAGGTCCTCAGTTTACGTGTAGCCACTCAGACTCTTTGAACGCAGTTTCGACAAGTTGAATCTTCTATATTATCTACCTTGAATGGATTCATTCATATTCGAATTTACATTCCCCCCAACCCCACAGTCTGATCGTATTCACCATTTCCTCAAAAACGGTATTTCATTTTGACGAATGCGTGTGAGTAGGTTTTTACGTGTAAACCTAGGATACAACAACAATGCACAAGATTTACTGTAATCAAAACATTCCTGGTGAAGGGGGGTTTGAGTGCTTACGGGCTCTTACCAACCACCGTGTGTCGTAATGGGCACCGTCCATTTCAAGGTCTCAGTTTATTAATAACATTTCGTGAAGCTGCCGAAATTTTACAAATTAGTTTTTCGAAATTGCAGTTTTCAGGTTTTTTTTCAGACTTCAGACGATTTTATGGTGTTTCTGTCTAGGATTATTTTTGATTATGACCACCACGAACTTCCGGTATAAATGTTTTGTGTAGCAGCTGGGTGTAGGCGTGCCTACGGCTTATCTCAGCGATACTATAAAGATCTTGAATAATGTAATAAAAGGCTGTCTAGCTTCCGTTGGCGGTTTCAAGATGATCCTTAGTTTTTCTCTGAAGGTTAAGAAAATCCTCCTTCTAGTTCCTGTTGAATTAATCAAAATGAACATTTCTTGCCGTCTGACAGACAGTGTCATTTTGTCCTTATTTCAGAACTCTGCACGAGACTGATGAAGAGAGTTTTGGGTGAACAATTTCTAACAAGCCTGAAGGCGACAGACACGGCATTCCCACTACTTGTGAGTTCATTTGATGCATCGGTCAGTCACGGATGAGGATAAAGCAGACAAAATGCGTAGACTGCTCAACATGGATCATTTACGTAATATCATTGAAGAACAGGAATCCAAGCATCACATTCTTTGATGTTCGCATTTAATTGTGAATTTTAAGCACACAATGTCACAATAAGTTGGGGGGTAAGGTGATGAGCAATTTCCTCTGTAACTAGATAAATGGAATTTGGGGATAGAATAAAAGTAACTTGAAGCGGCGATGTTTAAGAGCGCACAGGATTAAGGTCGTGCAGTGAGTAGGAAGAGAGATGCTAACAGTGAGATAGCCAGCCATGTATCGTTCCTAACATACGGGTAGACCTACTACCAGCAGTTCTAACTTTCTGCTCTCTCGAAAAGCCACGCCCCAGTAGTTTCCCAAGCTTCTTATGCCTCATCGTCCTAGGCTGTCCATGCACCCTTCACGTTCGTGGAAGTCTAACAATGAAGTGGCTACTTTCACGTTACTATCGCTAATTATGCTAAGGGTTGCGCAAAATTAACAGGATTTGGTGGACCGCGAGGGGCTTAACAGGTTGGAGGAGAGACGTACGTTTGTCTTGAAACAAGATACAAATAATTTTTACCATATTGACTGAGAGCTAAGGTTGATGGTAAGTTCATTAACATAGGGTTTTATTTTTAACTACTGGAAGGGACATTTGACCATGCTCACGTACAGTCGGGTCCCTTTCCGGATACTTTTATCAATCCATAATGCGTCTGTGTATCGCTGGAAAGTGCTCCCTGGGAATCCTTCAAAACCACTTTGTCTGGGAGTACTTGACTTGATAGCAGATAATCGGAGAGATCATTTTTTTTCACATTTAACATGTTTTGCTCGGGTGGGTATGGAATATGGGCGGTGCTCTCATGTTAGTAGCGAAAAAATATCCAGACATTTTGAAGAGTTTACAGTGGAAATTTTAAGTCAATTTATGAGAAGCATAAAATATACTTATTTACTGAAAATCGAAACGTACTCAAACCAATTCATCAATGCAATATATTGGGAACATAAATTAGGTGTCTAGTCTGTACGTATTATTTGACCATAAAATGCAGCGTAACGTTAGCACCAAGAGATCGGCATTACGTCAGCCCTAAAGGTCATGAGTTGGTTGTAAACGCCCTGTGGCGAAGGCCTAAGACTCACGAAGAGTAAAAGGGGTGTGCTCAATAGTTGTTCAGTCATATCAAAAATAGCCCAACTACAGTACGGATAGTTTCAATGCATCAGAAGGTCTGGGTACGGCATACCCAATGCCTACCCCCGTTGCTGATTTACGTTAACTCAGAGGGTCAGAGTACTAGAGGCTTCACAACGCGTGGTCATTTGGCAACGTAAGGTGCAGTGGGTTGGTGGAATTGTGGGGAACGCATCGCAGGGATATCGGGGACGGCTTCCTTGAGTTCAAAACCAGTTAAAATTACAGAGAAAGCAGCGACAAGTCCCCGTCGGAGACGAGTAGAAATTAACAGCTGTTAGTTTGCGAGGTGAAAGTGTCTTAATAGTTGGTTGTAGACACTTTGAGGACATGGATAGAATTTAATAAAAATGGCCTTTGCTAAGTGTGACAAGACGTTACTAATACTTGATAAGTAGTGCAAATGAACTAGTGCTGTATGTCCTTTAATGTTTCGTTTTGTATATCTTCTGTCAATAAGTTTTATTTGACAATGGATAAATCAAGGCTTATTCACTTGACATAATCCTCCACGGTTACTATGATACAATCAAAGGAGCTCCTAGTTTCGAAGACCTGTAGGAGGAAAAATTCTCAGTTGATAATTTGCGTTGGATTACATACCTTGCACTTAAAAAAACTACTGCACCAGATAAATTGCCAGATCATGGCTAAAGCTCACTTCAATACCTAATGTCAGCACGAAAGTAAACATTCTTTTTCTTTTTCAAGGTCCGTAAAAAGGATGTTGTAAGCCGGTTTGTCCCAGTTGTTCTACCAACACCGCTTGTCACCCACCGAGTTTCACCAGCAGTTGAACGGCCTATCAAAGAAGTCAACAAAGAGACTTGTATGGCGGTGCCTTCTACAACTGGAGGGCAATCAGGAATAAATAAGGGGTCGCTGCCTTTAATTTTTGGGACAAGGAAAATTAGCCATAATGACTTACCACTACGTCACACGGCTCCAGCAATTTTCAGTGCATCGTCCAGTCGCTGCAATTCACACTTCAACGAGCAGCCTTCTGTCGATGTTGGCCTTGATGAGAGCGACCTGGAGAGCTTTTCTGAGGATTCAAAATGTCAAACAATGATTTTAGCCAAAAGCGTTCAGTCAGACACAGGAGCTCCTGCTGAAGACACAAGCTCTGTGGGATCGGTGGTTTACACCCACATCGAGTTACCCCTGTTTCCTCTGTCAGCTTTTGTTCCAAATGCTCTACAGGAAACTGCCACATCGAAGCCTCCAAGTTGGGAATCTGTATGGCCAAGAGTTAAGATGTGAGTGTTGTTTAAGTTCGTGAATCCAGGTAAAAATTATTGAAAAAGCATTATTGGCTAAACAAATGATTTTAATTCCAATGCTATCCTGCGTGCAGCACATTCCAGTCTGATAGGTCTCGTCCTAGAATCTTATAACTTTGCCTCCTACTAACCCGATTTACTGCTTTTGATAGAAAACCCAGAAAAATAAATAGCTGATTTCTATTTTACAGTAATTTAGAGAAGTTCTCAAAGATAAAGCAGTTGTTGCAAAGGTGAATCCGACTTTGTGATTTCAGTTGATTTCTTAAGGGAACAATGTCATTGTGCGCAGTTACATAACCAAATGGCACCTATATATCATATCCTCCCTTTTCAATCACAGAAACGTCTCAAGTCAATTGCGCGGTTTCCCCTAATTTAATAGGCATTTTTTACCTGTTTTTTTCGAACGTCCATTTGAGCGTCTAACTGTAGACCGCTAAATGCGCAGATTGCAAGGTTTAACTGCGGCTGGCGTGAATATGTGCCTTCACGTCTACTGACCCTTGTAATTAAAATCGAATACCTAGTTTTCATAGAAATCGGTGAAAGCAGGTCTTTTGCTAGAGGCTCGCTAAATCATAGGAAATAAAGGTTGTTGGGGCCCCATTCTGTGGCAATTAACTGGTCATGTCTAGCATCTTTGTAAAAACGGTCTATTCCGTGTTGGCTTAGAAGCATCATCTAATCTGCTCGCACTGCAACGAGCCTGGCCACAGCATTCAAGGTTTGCCGCAGGTGAACACTTTCAAGTTTCCTTCATAGCATTCGATAAGGTCCCAAAAGAGTCCGCTTGTGGATTCGACTAAGGGTTCCGAAATAAGAGTCGTAGAACTAAGCATTATTGTCGAGCCATTATGAGAAGTTGGGGGATAATTCAACTAAGACAAATTTGTGGGTTTAATAATGTCGTTAATCACTGTTGTTACGGCATCACGAACTATGTAAAATTATTGATCATGCAGAACTTTCTAAGACTCATGTAGTCCCTGGTTGTTGTCTTCCCTTGCCTGTCTTGTAGGATAACTCACAGTATTGCTCTGATTTCAGGGATGCCTCATCCCAGGGTGCCGCTGGTAACAATCACCGACAAACGGAAGGCATCAGAACACTTCTCAGAAAGGAGCGATTCCAAACCCCCAGTACTCTCCCTCTGCTCCAAACAAACCCCTTCGCCACCCACGTTCGGTGGACCTCTTTCGGTCACCGTATGATAGAAACCCTAAGAACGTGCTTTCTGCGGACCTTTACAAAAAACTGGAGGCTAGACAAATTCCCGAAAGCGCATAAAGAATTGCCAATTGATAGTGTAATTGAGAACATCGGCAGGCTTATGCATCCCGTGGGGATTGCCTTGACGATGCACTCAAGGTAGACCTTTTGTTCGCTTGTTGCTCTAATTGTTCCCTAATGTCTGCTAAGGCCAAAATTAGCATGCCTTCGTTGAAACCTACATCCCCATAAGCTTAGGAGTGGTTTCCTGAAACATGTGAACCACATTAAAAAAAACTTAAGCTGATTGCAAACCACTTCTTCGTGCAACCTTTCTACACACTTTTATCTGTGCTCTGAATGATCAAAATCAAATGAAGGCTCTAGTTTGAATAACAAATTACGAAAAGGAAGGTCCCTGAATACGGATGTTTTATTGCTGTTAAAAAATGCATATTATACAACCCAATGCAACTTGAATTGCGTAAGAGAAATAGATTGTCCAAAAATAAGTTGAGCAACGATTTTGAGGGCAGACATGCAGAAACAAACAATAAATAACGTTTTTACTGAAATTCTAGCTCTAGGAATTGAAAAAAATCATCACCAGCAGTATCTGCGTTAAAATCAGGAATTGGTTGCTACTTCGGACAGATCTGTTGATTTCGTGTGTTTATGATCCCAACGGAAATCCACTTTACTATAGAATGAAGTGTTTTAATTTGAAAATGACCTTTTTTCGCATAAATTAAACAAAGCTACCTAGAGTTGTTAGGAAGAAGGTTGCGGATTGCCAGACATAACGAAAATACACCATAGTCTTGAAGCTACGATATTTTTCACGTATTCGTTGACATCCACAAGGAAGGAAGGCTGTGTCAATGCATATCCCCTTTTTGGGTGTGACTAACAATCGGTTAATTCCCGGGACGTTAAACAGCAAACAGATGCTATTCAAATTGAGTGCTGTTCATTCATTGTTAATCAGAAACATTCGCAAACTCTTCTAAGAATACCATGCTGGAGAATGCTGGTCATCAGAATGACGTGATCGCTTTTATGCCCAAGACACGCCTAGATACTACATCGGTCTCTGGATACTAAACAAAATATCTTATGGCCACCGTTGAACTGGTCAGAAAAGGTTGTGCTACATGTTAATCCGGCGTCCAATTTCGGATAGTCGTCAGTGTCAAATAGAATGATATCTGTGTAAGAATGCTAAACACGTGACAGCCTTTTAGCCGATGTGATGGAAGAGGGCAAAATAAAAGTAATTGATTTCGTAAATAACACTGATTGCCACTCTCTTACTTTTGTAGAAGGAGGCTTCAACTAATTTATGCTACAGATTGGCAAATCAACATGAAAACCGCCCAACTGGGTTTGACCACTTTCCTACTAGCACGTGTCGACTTGGTTTTTCTGCTCTAATCCACCAGTCCTAATGAGTTAACATATGCTTCAAGGCATACGAAGATCCGTTAAAGGTTCAGAGAAAAGAATAGAAATAAGATTAACTGAAGCGTGCTTGAGGGCTGATTTGTAGAGAAACTGGAGAAAATATGTGGTCTGTCGTGGCCGAATGCTCAGGAGCAACTTGGACGCGAGCTAATTTCACGCGTTGATAAATTTTTGTTGTATTGGATGTAGGGTATTGAAGCAACATTGCACCTTTGAATGGCGATAAGAGCCGATCAAATTGCAATACAATTTCGCTCTAGCCTGAGATCTGAAGGGACCTTTGGAGTAAACTCAATTATTTCAAGTTTTTCATAAGGTGGCACAAAGGCTATTTAATGAAAATAGGACAAAATTGACTTTATCGTTAGGAGAGGTCCGTATTTTTGCTATTTAATCCATGAATGTGTGCTAAGTAGCATAAGTATGAAACTCCACACACAGAATTACACCTTAGACCGGGAGCATTGGAAATTGTATTTTTTGAGTTGTTTCTTTTGTTGTTCAAAGCTTTATTCGACTTTTAATGTAGAATTCTTGAAGAGCGCAAAATAAATCTGAACCACCCCCTTCTTGCGGCACATATCGCGAATTTAACTGCCTTTCCTCCGCCACTTGTGGAGTCCATTAAACCACGCGCCACCGCTCCTCATGTAGCCCACCAACAGGCCCACACGCTGGAGTTTGTGGTTGCACAACTAACCTCAAGCAGCGGCGTCTCAGCCACTGTTGGTCCCCGAACATCGCGGACTTACGAAAGTCACTTCGGGCAAGTGAAACCTGAAAGCCCTCGAAATCGGAGGGACTGGGACGAATTCAACCTTGCTAACTGGTGGGATGTTGAAACTCGTAGGGGGCGACATTACTTGGACGCGACGGGGCCTATTGGGGACTTTTACTCTACAGTGACGGACACGACGACCTCGGTTTATGAAGAAACAGAAGAGCTAGATGAGGACGATGATGAGGAAATTAATCCCCTTTTAGAGAGCGCTGTATTCATACGTGAACCAATAGTCGAGACAGGTGGCAGTGTCTTTCCGGAGTATGGAAATCATCCAAAGACATCAGAATGCTTTCAATTAGTCACTATCAATGGAAATGGGCAAAAAGGATGTAAGTGTCCATAGGCTACATAATCCACCAGATATTTCTCTTCTGCGGTCTTCAATTTATAAGCCCAGCTCAGATCGGCGTCTGATGTTAAATGCAAAAACCGCTCTTGTTTATGCTACACAGCGGTTGGTTCAGCATCCCAATGTTGTCTGTATAATGTTGCTAGACCTGCCTAAAATTCAAATGAGTAATCTCGAGGTGTACACACCTATTACTTAGTAGTCTAGAATTTATTGCTGTTTCATATACATTAGGTTTTTCAGTGTGGGTTTTCCATAACTAAACCATTTAATAGAACTGGCCTTTTCAAAATTGGCTTTTTATAAAATGGAGTCAGTTTGTTAGACAGACTTTTAAGATTTTTCAAAAAATCGATTTCTCGTCCTTTTGATACTCTTTCTTAAATGCATATACGTGGGCATCTATATTAGTAGTCACGATGAGTAAAAGCCAACTTCGTTGTTATGAGCACTTACTATTCCTACAAGTGATGATGACGCATCATTTCACCAAATGAGCTGCTTGAATCTGCGCTGAAGGTCCTTTGTTTGTTAACTTTTATTTTAGTATTTGCGATTTTTTTGAAGGACATCTTCCATCCTATTTGCATTTATCCTTATTCAGTCCTTTTAATTTTGTATACCGCGGAAATTTGTTTTTTTCTCATTCCCAGCACAACTTCAGCATTTGACAGTGACAATACTACCTGGTGAACACGTCCAAAAAGAGTGCACCCGCATAGTTCACTGCGGGTGACATTTGCTGCACTTAATCAGTCATCTATGTTTTTGGACACCTCGAATTAATTGTTAAGCTATCAGCACCGAAATAGCCGTAACCTACATTCAATCAAGTTGGGTACATCATGTGTCGAAATGAGCTCACATCCAGAGCTAGGTCTGCTGTCTCTGTTGATAGCCTAAGCACCAGGAATGCGCGTTACAGTATGATGAGTTTTTTTCGTCATGTTTATATGTTCAGAAACAAATAACTTACTTTTCTACCAAAAAGCATGGGATGAGTTAAGTTAGCCTACACATAAATGCACGCAAATATTCCACCATGAACGTTGCAGTGCCAGTGCGCTTTAGGACTTGTTTCTTGCTGGTTTTCTGTCGCTTTGAGGGCTGATTTATTTGTGCACGCACGGAAGATAGCAACATGTAATTTGCATTCTGTGGAAGCTTCTTAGTTTCTTTAGATAAAAATGTTGGGTTACCTATTAAGGCAAACCAAATGAAATCTCTAAAAATAATTACTTTTAAGAGGGTTTGGTTCTCTATAGGTCAAAGCCCGATCAAGTGCTACGCCAACAAGCTACTGTCATTTTTTTGAAAACCTCACATTAAGCTGACGATTTCTTTGTACAAAACAGAATTTGCATTCTTAGTCTACTTATTCAAAAATCACAAACCCTCTAATTGCCACTTTTCTGGCAATACTTCCATCAATCGCCTGGTCGTGCAAAGAGGCGTGATTTACCGTTTTCTGAAATAATTTTAAGCATTACTAATTGGGTGTTAAAGCGTTGGATACTTGTGTGTGCTCAACGAACCTTTCCATTGTCGTCAACACCTGCTTTCCATGGGCGGTTTTGTTAGTGATCAAGCACGATTGTAGCACACCGCAACAGTCGTAACAGGAGTGCGTGTATGACTTCACAATTGAGTCCACTTAGAGTATTTTATTTGTAGTACATTTTAATGGAGATTCTTTTACTGGAATTTTGCAGTGTATTTTAAATAACAACAACAACAAACCCATATACTCAGTTCATACATTGAGTATTCGGTCTTCAAAAGTTCGACTAAAATAGAGGGCCATTCGAGGTGTCATCAATTAGATGCTTGCATTGGTTTTAGCTTTAATAAGGCAGAATTTGTTTGCTAATAAATTGACATTGAAGTCATCGCACCTTACTAGTACGTATGATGTTGTGTCCTCAAGTTAACGAATATAGGGGTTTTTAAATTATTTTGCTTGTTTTAATTCACACTAGCCCTGGCCTCCACACAACAGTTATCTATTCTAAAAGTACTTATACTCGATGGTCTTTATTTCAGTCTGACGGTTATAACGTTTTGTAAATTTACTTCAGACTTTCTGGTGAGTGCATTTCGGCAGTGCATTGATAATGTAATTGTGAGTACTAAATTATGTGCGGTCAGATTTTTCAAATAGGGTTTCAAATGCCTTGACTTAATGGCTATTTGCTGATTTTGTCAAAGGTATCTGTGGTGAGCGCAGGTGTGTTCCATGCTCCGTCCGTAATGGTCACAAGTTCGAGCTCTGCAAATTCATGGCCGATATACTGTCTAGAGTCACCAGCAGAAGCGAGTAGTGAGGTTAGTAATAAAGGACACAAACGTTGTTCCAACAGAACTCTCATCACTTCTCAGCTTGTCATCTATCTAAATAAAAGTAACTCCAATTACATGATATTCAAGTGAAATGACTTAATGGGTCTATCAAAATGAATGTTTTTGGTATTATGGTGATTTATCTACATCAATTTTGAAATAAGTTTTATTCTAGCTTCGATTAGGCTAGCGCGATGGTTCCCTTTCCTCTTTTGCCCTATTCATTGTTCTCTATTTGTGTTCTTCCCTTTTTGCAAAAGCGCAAAGTGCATTTCTTGGGTTTTATATTTGGCAGGATAGGAACCTAAAATGCACAAGGTGTCGGAGCTTATAGGTTCGGAAAAGCCATGCTTGAGTGGTGAATAAAGTGTAAGCGGTTCAAATGGTTACAAAATGAGTACATGAAAGACAATCTTTTTCGTGACGCTGCATCGGACCTCTTTGACCTCTAGTAATAGATGGCTTTTTCTGCTAAAATTTTACGTTGCGCCCATAAGCAGGGTTACCATAAGGTTATGGTAGTTTCACTACTATTTAACGTATTTTTTTCTTAGTGAAATCTACTCCTAGATTACAAATGAGTATCTCCTGTTGTAAGAAAAAGTATGAGATAAAGGCACACCGTGAGGAGAAGAATTATGAAATATTCCACATCGATGTGACTTAACCGCAAAATTCTCCTAAATACTTGGGAGAATATCAGTGAGGCAACAGGCAATGAAAAAAGTGCTTAAATAATAGTTTGTTTTCTCGTCAGCTCCAGCACAAGAAGCAATTGTCACTACATGCATTAGAAACTCTCAGGCTGAGAAAGCCACGGAGGCTAGTCTGAAAAATAAAGGAAGTCTTTTCAATATCCAGGGGCTCTTTAAGATTTTAAAAGGCGACGTGCTTCGAAGTTGTATCACTTCACTAACATTCTGTTTAAAGACTGACTTTAAACTTGGGGGATCGCTAACTACAAGATAACCTTCGAATAAATTTTAACAACTGCGCTCCTTCTGCTTGAATTTTCTTTCTCCATGTTTTTAATTTTGACACATCATTTTTAGTAAGATTCCTGAATACATATTGGTTAAAAAGTCATTTGCAAGTGTTAAAATAGGGAGTTTAAATTTAATGTGCAAGTTCTATAGGTATGAATTAAATAACGCAATCTTTGTTTTTTAGAGGTTTGTCTGAATGTCCTCGCCCTTTCGTCCCATGTGGCCAATCGGATTCGGAATTGATGTGACGCGTTTATTTTACGTACCTTTAATTAACCATTTTAGTCATTTTTCTTTCTTGACCGCTATGTAAATCTACGATTTAAAGAACTAAGAACGGCTGGAAAGTGCGAATTCCGAAACTTTACATCAAACAAACTCTTTCCGCTATAATTTAAAAAGACTTCAGAAATATTTGGGACAATGTGACTTTACTGCAGTGTCCAGTGGTCATTTTTAAGTAGAATGTTAATTCTGTCACGAGAATCCAATTGTTGTCTTTTGTCGACATTAATAGTTTTATTGGCTACAAAAATTCATTTTACACTTTAATTGTAGCCCATGTCCTTTTTAAACTGATACATGGTCTAAGGATTTGTAAAATTAGGAGCTCAAAAGGGAAGTAAACATAACTCAACCCAAAATCCTATGAGTGACTAAAAGCGCTGCCAGAAGTTGTAAACAGCCCAAAAATAGTTTAAAACAACTGAAATATAAACAATGCCGAGGTCTCATAAGGCTCCAATGACGACATTTCTGTGATTCTTCGTCGAAATGGTCATGTTGAGGATAGTGTGATAGCTAACGGGATCTAACTGCGACCCTGCCAACCGGCAAGCCACAACTTCCTAATCCTGGGAAGTGAAACTGCGTGTGTGGGTTCTACCTAAATTCACTAAAGTGACCAGGCTCACTGATGATTTTACAACCACCAACTTACCTCATTGGATAGATGCATTGTAAAGGCTCAAAGTTGTATTTCGTATAAGCGTTTCATTTGAAAGAACGACGGGATGGCAAAACTTAGTAATAATTGTAGGTAAACAGTGCACCACTTGTTTTTGACAAATCGTTAACACCAACTTTACCTTTTATTGCTGATTTACCTGTAAAAGGAAGTGCAACAATAGGTCGTGACCATAAATAACTACCCGTAAAAAGCATCGAAAGAAAATGCCAGCATTTTAGAATTTAAGGTGTGCAGAATTCTTCGGGTGTGGGTTTAAATGATTTCCAGTCAAGACTAACTTGAAGATTAACTAAATTCTGCAGTCTGATGCAAGAATGGTGAAGCCTACGCCACAGTTTACACCGAAAGGCATCAAGCTAAATTGTGACCACGTGTCATTGGTCAGTAAAGGGTGAATCACACTGGTAGTTGCCCATGTCTATGGACGCTCATGTGGGTTACATCACACCTATCTTAAAAAAATACGGATGGGTGAAAGACAAAGAAGAATGCTAATATAAGTGGGTGAAAATCGTTTCCCTTCATCTTTAATGTAGTTGCATGTAGCAGACTGTGCATTTAATAATACTTTTTAGGGTTTTTGAAATGATACTGAATACCAATTACCTCAACTGTATACTTTAAAGGTTAAGACAACGCTAAATTTGATTCATTGCTCCGCCTGGTTGACGATTACCATGCCACCTCCCTGTCTAGTT